CACAATAACCTTAAATATACAAACAATTGCATAACAGACATGCTAATTCATCACCTTTATATTTTTGTCCGACATGTAACCAGTCTCTCGAAGCCACCATTATAGACCCGGTTGTCATCAAATAGAGTTGAGAGTAAGACGTGTTTATTGTTTAAAGGGCATCCACCCTTCCGATTTCAAACATTGGTTAGACTTACAGTGAGTTTATTAGACATTAACAAGTGTATATTATTACTGATGTTTGACGACTCGAACATGTGTTTTTTAATATAATATGGAGATGTATTGGAGGCAGAAAGTGTGACGAATGTAAAACATCTCAATTATTAAGAGTTTCTACCCACAAGACAATAGTGAAGGGACGCATTGACGCGCTTTGCGTCATGGTTTTAGAGACGTTGCATGTATTGAACTAATAATATTAGTGTATGAATTATGTGTTAAGAGTTAGAATTATGTCGTGAATAACGCTCCATATAGCACATGCAATCAATCTGCTTCCTATTAATTGAAGAGTGTGAATGCTGCTTACGATCGATTGCGGTTAATTATGATTTTTAACTTGATAATAATCATTTTCTACTGCTATTCTAATAAACGTTCAAGACATCAGCCATTGCAAACTTTGTTTCACACAGGAGCTCGCCTTGTGTCTGTCTGATCTTGACCGTGTTTGATCCACTGTATTTTACAGTCTGGTCTCAATTGTCAGAGGTACAGGACAGAGGGCCTGGCATGGAAACGCGTCGCAGGTATGGGACGAAAAATTAAGTCCAGACGTGGACTTGTTGGCGTGCGCATAAAAGACCCCTTGGCAGTTGGGATCCCTCATAGTACATTACAGTGTGCATGGCGTATGTCCGTCTTTATTTCTAGTGTTGGTGCAGAAGAGAAGGTTTTTTTGGGTTTTTTTAAAAAAAAGTACATTTCATTTCACTTTGTGTCTTGCTTGGTTCGGTTAACGGTGACTGGCATTATTGGTTGATGAATTAAACTGAAGTACGCCACTTACTTTAAGCTTTGTAAAGAAAGGGGTCATATTGGAAATTGAGTTGTACTTTTATTTGTAAAGAGCATGGGAAATTAACCCAAAGCACACGAGAAATGAACTATAACAATGAATATAAAGAACATGGACAATGAATTATACTGCACACAATTATTACTCAAGGCCATCGTATGCTAAAGTAGTTTAATCTGAAAATATTTTCCATGTGATGGGTATGTGAACGAAGCAGGGTGTGCTTACTTTGACTAGAACACCCGGTTGTGAGGGTTACATAGGATTGCTCAAGTAGGAATATTTACACACACTTAAACTAATTGTTGCTTCTTCCCAAGTTTTAAAAGGTTACCCTGTCTGTTGTAAACTTTCCAGATTCCTACTGAGGTTGGCTTCGCGGAGTAGTCAAACCTAAAAATGTTGAGGTTGATTTGACTTGAAGTACATTATGTAGGAACGTTTGCAGTTTGATTCTGCTCAGCAGGCTATAATAATAGAAAAAAACATATACATTGTTGGACTCCCGCCGACGAGTAAGTTGCCAAGAAAGTCAATGTCGTTTTGCTTGTTTTGTTAATTTAAGGAGGTGGTTACGGTGGCATAGTGGGTATTGCGCTGGCTCACTAATCAGGAGGTCTCGGCATCCATCCGGTGTTTCCCGGGATTTTCCATCCTGGTTTTCCATTGTCAGGGGTGCAGGATGCAGGTCTTGGCAAGGACAAACTCCTAGTTCTTTGAATTGGTTTAGCAAACGAGGTCCCGTGTATACCAGTAACGGTTGAATATCGAAAGACAAATTGGCCGTACCGCCTCTGTGAGGCTAAATGTCCATCATATGGCAAACTGTGTGGCGTATGCCCGTCTTCATTAGCCCGGTTTGTACAGAAAGGTAAGACGCTAAACCCATCGCATTATAAGGAAATGGATTCGAAAAGCCCCCCAACTAAACCGTTATAACAATCCAATTAGTTTTTTGTATAATTTAAACGCCAAACCACATCACAGCAATTAAAGACTGGGGTTATCAAATCAAAACGTGACCTTTGAATGTTTGAATTATATTAAAACCGATAAAAATATAATTTTGAGGAACTGCCATAGATAGCCTCCCTTCCTCCCTTGTCTTCATTTATGAACTGATTAAAAAAAATAATTTATAAAAAATTGCCACCTGTTCCTTCCTTCAGCGTTTCTTTCCTTATAGATAATCAATGATATGTCATTGTATCGATAATACTAATATTTTCTGTGGGGTTTTTTTAAAAATATTTATAATTGTACAAACGTGTGTTGTAAATTGATAGATCTAGCTATAAAAGTCTGAAATTAACTATATCAAAATAAAATGGGATCAAGCGGAATTCCTTTTTTATCATTAATTTTTTTTAATTCTCCTATTTAAAGATTAATCATGCAGTCATTTATCATTGAAAATCACACTGTTTTCAATATTTGTATTATTTTAACTTCAATTCATTTAAACTCGCTTACTTCAATTTTATCACGTAGTTGTTTTTATGTAATATATACAGTTGCTTTTACTAAATAAATGTTATTCTTAATCCGTACAAAAAATCAAGAAATTGAAAGTGTTTTTTTGTTATTTAGGAATGGATAGAAAATAAAATGCCACTATTTCTAACACGCTAGTAGCAGTGATAAATTGGTGGGAGTGTTGGTTTGTAGAAACAAAGAAAAAGTGTCTGTTTGAGATTTGTGGAGTTTTTTCTCCCAATCTTATCAATTAACATGTCTAGAAATTGGAAACCCAAATAACAGGTTTAATTGGCGGAGGTCGGATATAGAGGGTGAGAATGAAACCAAAGTAAACAAAGGGTAAAATGAATTTGATATTGAAACTTTCATCAGTACCAAGATGATGTCATTAGCCATGGATTTAATTAGAATGTAGGCCTAATTGATTATACATCAAAAAAAAAACGACCGACTTATTTAAATGGATTATTATTGGAAGTATGTTTGCAGGTGCTCGTTATACTGTGCATGATACCACCCAAATCGACAGGGAGGATATCATTTTGTAGATTTTGTCTCGTTTGGTTTCAGATGACTTTAAAACGACGTTGATACCCCGTACTCCCAAGAGTGTATTATATAAAATTTATGACATATATATGGATACTGTATGATTAGCGTGATCTGAATACACGAACCGTCTTTAATATGCACTGGGTTCTGTTACATCATGTGTACGGATAACAGCAGCACAACGCATCCATTGTAATCTCGTCACAGAAACAAAACCATATATATTTTTTAATTGAGTAAAATAAACTATCAACAGTAAGAATCGGTTGTATAGTTATGTTTATGTTAGGGTATGTGACAAGGTTATCTCGTATAGCCTCATCTGTTGCATAATGTTATAGAAAAACTCTTCAAGTGTCTTTTAAAGAAATTCATCAACTTCATGCCTTGTTTATGTCCAAGTGATAGGTTACGATAATGTGTTGTCGTTATTGGATTAGATAAAAATAAAAAGTTATAACTGTCTTGAACAATCTTTGAGTGGAGTTTAAAACGATATATCTATAGCTTTTATCTAGAGACTTGTATATGCCAGCTACACAGTGTTCGTGTTTTTCAACACTGGGTCAACCTACTTGAAGTTTTATTTTGAAGTAGAATAATTGAACACAAAGGAAATTTACGCTACAAAAAATATTTTTAATATTTGTATCGCACTAGGGCATGTCTTTTATGTAAAGGATCTTTTGATTATTGTTGTGTGTTTGAGTGCGCATGATGTCATTTGATATTGGGACCTAGATTATAATCTGGATACTATTTTAATAATATCTATCAAGCTCTAATAGCGAAACTTGAGGTGCTGTATTTTATATTTTAAGCTATTTGTAGGTAGGATTCCTTAATTTGATGTTTTGCCATATAGATACTACAATTAAAACAATTTGTAGATATGTTAAGCGAGAATATTAACGAATAGCGGATATTCATTCAAATGAATGTATCAACACTTAGATGCTACAATTATAACAATTTGTAGATATGTTAACCGATAATATTAACAAATATAACGTACGGGTATTTATTTATTAATTTGATATTTCCGTACTAGGAAGCTACAATTACAACAATTTTTGTGTACTTTAGCGTGAATATTACAAATTATAACGGATTTTTATTTATAAATTGAATATAATTTGGTCACTTGGGTGCTACAATTATAAAAATTTACGAATAACGGATATTTTTTATTACACGAGTGAATATTAATTGAACACTTGGATTCTAAAATTATAATAATTTGTAGGTACTTTAGAATATTAACGAATAACAACTATTTATTTATTTATTAAGTGGCAGTTATATGCTGCAATTGTAACTATTTGTAGGTATGTTAAGCATGAATATTGACGAATAACGGATATTTATTTATTAATTGAATATTTGGACACTTGGATACTACAATTTTAACAATTTGTTACCCAATAGATAATATAAACGAATATAAAGAATAGATATGTATTTATACCTTTAAGCAATTTGTTCGTGTAACTAAATAGATGACTAAAATAAAAAAAATAGATAATTGGAAACATGGATGATACGCGTGATATCTTATATGTTTCGTGCGAAAGATAACTAAAATAGTGAGGGGGTAACTATAGAAACCTAGATGCTGCGTGTTTTTAAGCAAATTTCTCAGCAAGTTTCGATGGACTAGTTAACTAATGAAAAGAATGGATATTTATTAATTGAATATCTGGACACATGGATGCTATACGCTTGATATCTTTAAGCGACTTGTTTAAAAGTTTCGTTGGAATAGTAGCTAACTGCTAATTTAACTAGGGATATTTTTTATCAACTGAATATAATTAGACACTTAATCTGATGCCGCGTGATGTCTCTTTAAGCAATTTGTTGGTAAGTTTCATGCGACTGGTAACTGATACAGAGTATGAATATTTATACCAATTGAATACTTAATGGATTCTTTTATCTTTTACAGCTGTACATTATGATGACCAAAATTCGATGAACAAAACAGAAAGATGGTGAAATCGCAAGATCTGGGGAAGACTGTTCCTGTATTTATTTTGATATTAACAATATTATTTGTAGACAATGCCGCATCAATAAGTAAGCTTTGATATTTGATCTCTTTAATGCCATTTTAAACAGTATATATATATATATATATATATATATATATATATATATATATATATATATATATATATATACCGAGGATGATGGCGGATGCATTGCGTGTAAGAGAGATTCATGACAGTGTCAAAATCACCTTGAACGGATGTTCATTCAGATTTGTTTGTGGACACTCTATAAATATACGTTCATATTCTAAAGATCTCGAATGTGTTCGATTTTGGCACGTGTCGGACCGTAACTGCATGGATTATTGCCACTGATTGTACGAAATCTGCGTAAATAGCAAGTGGACCCTCTAGAGGTCACACTTTTTTATTCGATTTTAAATACCCTTCAAATATATGATGAGGTCAATTTTCGTGAAAATCGGATCTTCCAGTTAAAATGGCCACTTCCCTTCACGCAAATTATATAGTGCCAAAAGTTGTAATATACTCTTCAAAAAAAGTAGGGGATATTCAGAAACAATACAAAACTACGGAAATGCGCTGCTGTTTTTATTAGAGGTAACCAGTGTATGTTAATAACAGGCCAGTTGCCTACACATGAACATAAACAGTTCATATGGACGGCTTATCTGACGGTCCCATTTCACTCGCAAAAAGATACACTATCAAAAGTGAAAATGGACGTTTTTGATTTTTGTCTTAATAATGAGTAATTGCTCCACCAATCCTCAGACATTCAGCAATTCGTCGTGGCATGCTCCTAATCAACCGTCTAATCAGGATTTGGGTCAATCTGACCCACTCCTCTTGCTGTGCCACGGCCAATTCTTGCAGTGTTGTCGGTTGACGTTGACGTCGACGAACACGTCTCCCGATCAAATTAAACGTAACACACTAAAGCAAAGATATGTTAAACAGTCAATCTTATGCTAGAACCGATAGGAAAGCAAACATAGATAGATAAACCAGCACGCGGCAGTTTTCATCAACCCTTCCTTGAAGTGTCAAATTTGACAATGAACCCCTCCCACGTGTATGGCGCTATTGCGTGTCACATGTGCAGCTCAGTGATTCTGTTGGGGCGATAAGTTCTTCATCTGTGAACATACTCTCAAAGCATGTCAAATGTCCATGACTATTTATCATATCACAACCTGCATATGTATTTGAATTTCAATATCCCCTACTTTTTTTGAAGAGTATACTTTGTGGACCATCTAGACACCACAATTTTTGTTATATTTAGATGAAACTTAACATATGTTTACGGATCGGGATATCATGGATGCAACTTCTCGGGTTATGATCCTTGCTTTTTACGCAAAATATGAGATATGTAAAATTTTGTCGACCCACTAGATTTAAATGAAACTTAAAATATATGTTAAAGAATCAAAAGATCTCGGTTGAGTTTGATTTGGTGCGCATCTTACCTTCCGTTCTGAGTTATTCTACCTTTTGCGAAAACCGTGTGCACGCGATAGAGGCTATATAGTGTTGAACAGGTGGGTTTTTTTCAATTTGGTTTGAAGCATTTGGGGTCTTGAGAAAACGGGTCTTTTCGATAATAAGCGGTCCAAAGTTGTGGTGTAAAAGCAACAAAAGCAACAGTTTCAACAGATCTTTTTCCAAATTTGGTATAAAGCATTGGGTCAAGAGAGGACGAACCCTATCGATATTCAGCGTTCCGCAACCTTCCGCAACTGAGTTAACCATCTTTGCAAAGAAATCTTCTGAACGCGATAAAGGCTACAGATTTATTTCAAATTTGTAACCGGTAGTTCAGTAGCTATCTTAGCTATCTTATATGCATTTCGTTTTCCGGAAAAATGTTCGGTGGTTCTATATTTCGACTATGGGTTTAAGTTTTTTGGTACCTGGCAAGCTGCCAAGCAGCCTCTTTGGCACCTGTGTACAGCTAGGTAATATTTCCATGGACTGAGCCACGTTTCGACTAGGCTTCTCTAGCAAATACACAGGTCACATTTCTATGGAATACAATTACTGCTTAAGAATGAGCGACCTTTCGACTTTAATCTATTTATCGAGCAATGATACAGTAAATAAGCAACAATTGTATTCCATAGAATTATGACCTGTGTATTAGTTCAATTACTGTCATATTATTGAAACAATTTCATTAGCAGAGTCTACCGTTTTCTCTGCACAGTCATTGCCCGTGAAATATTTTGATATTTTTGTATTCTGTAAGAGTATATCTTTCTAATTATGCATGTAGCCTATATTGTTTTTAATTGCGTTGTCGACAGTATTGTATTTTTATGCAAGAACTTGACCATGTATCGGCGTTTGTTATAACGTTTCGTGGGCAGATTTTATAAGTGAACATTTTTGATAGAAAACGGTATGTATCTGGTAGAGACATCATTTAACTATTTTTGCCTATCATTTGTTTTGTCGTGGTATGTGTCAAACAAAAGTTCTACGTATGTTTTCAATAGTACCCGTGTCTGGAATTAGAATTCCATGTCGACTACTCCAAGGGAGATAATTTTAACTTCTTGTTTTAAAAGATCAAGACTTGTAGTCAATTAGTAGGCATGGTTAATTGAATTGAAGACTTGTTTGTGTATTTTGTACTTTCAAATTATTTTCTATGCATGTTGTAAGCCATGTCAGATGTTGGTTAAGTTGGGGCATGGGTTCTTTTATTTTTTTATGTCTCTGTTAGGTAGAATTTTACCTCCGGCTTTTGATTAGGTGAAGTAATAAATTGAGTCCCATACACTCTGAAGCATCCACAGTATTTTGAAAGTGAATATATTAATAACTGGCTTATAGATTGGGAAGAAAACAAACCCTTCAAATTGGATTAAATGAGACCAACACCATCACCAACCAAAATTACATATATGAATTTTACTTATTATAGTTTTATTAAATTAGACCAACGATATCACCAACTGAAATAATTTGTATTTTACATTTCATAGTTTTATTCAAGGTTTTTTAACTTCTAGTTTTTGTTGAACCTTATCCATATCCAGCACTCCCTTTCCGAAAATCATGTGAATGCGAAAGAGGCTACAGTTTTTCACAATTTGAAACACTGAGACAATGATAGGATGAGGCTTGTCAATTTTCCCTCTTCTCCTTCCACCTGTTGTAAAATGTGTGCCTATCTTAAATTACATGGCAACTGCTTATTATTAATTTTAAATTAAATATAATTAATTGTTACTGATCTTTTTTTTTAAATATTTATTTTCAGACCCAACATGTCGGAACGAATCATTGTATATTTCCTATAATAAAACAGTACAGCGGATAAATGATGATATTTATTGTTTAAATCGAACCAACACGAATGAGAATGCTGACAATTTGTGCCAACACGATTCCGAGAACTTAACGTTTGCTTTAAGTGATGTTGAATTAACATATATTAGCCTAGTGGATACTGAAAATATTTCCTGTATCCAGTTAAATAAACTCGATTTACCAGTTAAAGAAACTTGTGTAAGTACCATATAATTACTGGTAACAGATCTAGTTTGTGTCGAGTGGAGCTGCCCAACTAATACTTAAAATTAGTATCCATAAGAGCCAATGATAAGCTCCGCCCCTTTTCCTTATTTGGGCGACAATATAGGATCCACCCTTTACGTAAGGTCCTTCAGCCGAGACGTTTAAAGGTCTTTATGCACTGCATAGTCTCTTTTAGCAACCAACAACAGCAGTAGCAGTAAGCCTACCAGATTTAATTGAGGACGACCATAGGCCATTCTTAAAATTTACTTCTTGTGTTTTAACATTTAGGTATTTTTTTTCAATCACTACAGTGTATGATATGATTAGCATTTTATGTCTTTTAGAGAAGGAATTGTGAATCGCAGTTATCCTCAGGTTTGCTCAATTTTGATAAAAACACAATTCCATCTTTCTCTGTAGGACGTAGCCCTGCAGTTCAAAGAAAATTTCACTCATAACATACTGATGGGTGCAGAAAAATAGGACATTAAACCTCATTTCCTTTTACTTTTGGTTTCATTTCAGATCAATATTTCTGCAGAGACCACTGCAGATCCCAGAAATAGATCGGAAAATCCAGCAGTTATATGTATTGTATTTAATAGAGAGGGACCCGTCATCATACCCAATCTGTCATTCAGAATAAATGTGGCAGCAACTGATAAAGTAAAGAATGTCTCAGTTCTACTTTCTTCTGTTGATGGTATTTCTGACATCATCATACCAGGTGAGTAAGCCTATTGTCTCATCTCCAGGGTTGGTCAACATCTTATGTTCAATGTGCCAAATAATAATTATTAGTCCCTACTATTAAAACTGGTCCAATGTGCCACTTGGGCCATAGATTTTTGGATGTGCAAATTCTCTCTTCGGATAAAACACACTTTGAATGGTTCTTCAATTCTTTAAAGATACATTACATGTAAAATTTAGATAAAGAGCTAGCCATTCTTGCTATAACAGTTCGATAATGTAAAATGAATAATTTGAAAATTTCATTCAAATTTCTCTATTGCGAGCAAAGATATTAACCTTTGAAGGTTTGACAAGATGTTTGCAATAATTTCAACCCTACTGGTTGTTCGAAGCTAAGTCTCGCTCCTCCATTTTTAGCTTACATCAAAATATGGCTGAACTATTCTAATCTATTTAATATCGGAGAAATCTGATGCCATCGAGAGTTGATTATGGCCTGGATAAGTTAATTAATGTCTAATTAATAATTTAGAAAACATTTCAGGCCTAAAGAAAGACCTGCAATAGGCAGATTTGGCTCTTGCATAATGTATGTTTAATATACTGAAACATAAATATACATATATCGTCATACAGTACTGTCAGGCCAGCTACTGCACATAGTAGGGGATCCTAACCAGTGATTGCCATCAATGTACAAATTTGTTATATTTGAGAAAAATCAAATAATAGGATGTATATATGGTTTTATTAAAACTGACATGGCGATAGATGAATAAGACATAAAGGATTAAGCAATATAATAAATGAACAAAAACAATACATGGGATTAACGTAGTTACCCAATGTAGGTTTGAAAACTGTCAACAGGTAAATGACTTACTTGCCAGTTAATCTTATTATCACACTATTACAGGTTGACTACCCTTTGAATTGATTTGATTATTTTGATTATTTGAAATACATAATTTGTAATTATTTATACTTGTAAGGCCCCTTGGTACAAAATGCAGTGTCTTGGAAAGCTTGGTCAGTCAATAAAAATGATTATTTGACTTAACATGATTTGCATATAGAGTCATGGATTCTCTAGAAGCTAAGAAATACAGGGGGTTTGGGTGGTCGAATGGCTTAATGCCACTATAACTTCTCCTCGCTGGCATGGTACACATAACCATAGAAATAGAAATTAACATATTATTATGTTTTATTATGTTTGTCACAAAATGACCCAAATATTGTCTTGACTAGTCTGAGAGAGTTTGGGTGTACATGGGACCTCGGTTTTCATCCTATCCAAAAGACTGTGCATTGTCTAGTGCCAGACACTCCATTTTGTACTGATTGTGGGAACCACGTTAAAAAATCCTCTTGAACTTTCACAACAAAAACTGGTATTAAACACGGGACCTTCAGGTTAACAAGCCAACATCTTACTCACTGAGCCACCACAGCCCCAAGAAGCTTATAAAATTCTAATTATTTCTCATAATTACTTCATGGGTTGTTTGTGGCCCTTGATCAGTTCTTATTGTCTGTAAGTGATACCATTACTTAAACAGAATAAAAAGGAGACAACCTTGATGGACTGCTCAGATGACTAAACTGCTGTGGGCAATGTTTGCTAAGATGGCTTTGATAACAGACACTGAAATTTTTGCAGAAGTTTATTGATGACATATCCAACTTTTGACACCGTGAAACTTTTCCCTGTACTCTTCACTCTTCTTGAGATTAACTTGATGAGTTCCAACTAAACAATGTCATTCTTTAAGGTATCGTTTTCCCCTATTTGTAGGTATAGAGACAAGTAATTCACAAATCAATTTTACTGACCTGATCAAAGTAAAAAGTTTTGATCCAGCAGTTTTTGAGATTCATTCACCAAACCAGTTACTCAGTGATCAAGATATCATTGTTAATTTCCAGGTAAGTTCTGCTGTTATGTCATATTGTAATTTCCAGGTAAGTTCTACCATTATGTTATATTGTAGTTTTTAGGTACATGTAAGTTCTGCCATTATATTGTAATTTTAAGGTAAGTTCTGCCATTATATTGTAATTTCCAGGTAAGTTCTGCCATTATGTTATATAGTAATTCTGTTTTAACGATATTAGGCAGTGGTGGCATTCTCACCCTGTCCCTCTACCCGGTATGTGATTTTCATCTTAAGCTGTCAATAATGAGTCAGTTTCTCCGTTTCTGATCAACACTATATGCAATTATTTCTGTTAATTATATTCCTTGTCAACTAAATACTCCAAACAGTATATTTCCCTGGGAAATTTTGGAAACTTTATGAGTGAGACCCCTAGACCCCCTCCTTCTGGAAAATCCTGTTAGGAATAAATATATTCTGATTCTATACTTACAAAATCTATTGTTTTTTGATATTGGTTTGCTAGACATTCTCCCATATCTCAAGGATCGATAATTGTAATCAGTGGTAATTGTATTACAGCAAAAACTTGTATTTTGTCATTCATTAGCAATTAATTGTCTATCAAATATTTTTTCTATATTTTCTGATTATTTTTAGGCAACAGACGATGGAAACCCTAAAATATCGGAAAACGGTAGTTTTTTGATTCAATATTTTAATGACACAATTACATGTAGTGATCTAATGTTTAAAGTGGATTTAAAAAGTCTTGCTACCATAAAGAACACATCTATTGGTGAACTTGACTGTCAATCAACAGCTGGAAATATTACTTATAGTATTGTTCAGGGTAAGATTGCTCTCTCATGTATGCTTACTGTGTCTAGAACACATTATACCACTTCTGTATTTAGGAAATGCATTTAACTAACAATTTTGATTTTTAGAAAATATTATATAATATTGTGATTCCAAAACAAACTGGTATTTGTCAAATGAAATTAAGCTTCATTCATAAAGAACCTTTGTTCGCATTGGAATCTTTATCGTGCACATCAAAATACTGACATCATTCATAATAGAAGAGCAAATTTAGGAAGAACTAGTTTCAGAAGACAAGTAATTTCAGTCGATAGAAAGATAATTTTGTTTGATGTAAAGATACTTTGATTCGTACAATAAGAATTAATGTTGTCTGTATTAATGTGTAATTTTTCAGCCACAGATTTAATTGTTGGTGTAGAAAATGAAAGTGAAGTAATATTTTACAATACAACTATAGATCAACCTTCGAATAAATCATTAATTCTAAATGTTACTTCATCTACTGGGAGCTATAAAACTTTTACATTATGGGTTATACTAGGTATGTATTTTTTCTTAGTTTGTTTTCATAGTAAGACTGGGTCCTGATTCTTGTAATAATTGGACAGTTTTCAAATGAGTCCAAAAATGTGGTAATTTTGCAGAATAGTCCAAATTGAACATTTTTTAGTTCAGTCCAAAATGGACATTTTTTTAGATGAGTTCAAAGTAGACATTCTTCAGAGTTCAAAATGATAATTTTACAGAGAAGTGCAACAATGGATTTTTTTGGGGGGAGTAGTCCAAAAATGAACATTTGTTTAGTTCAGTTCATGATGGACATTTTTCAGAAGATTCCAGAAGCTGAATATGATATACGGTGAAGCCTTTTTAAGTAAAATTAATTATTTTCAGCGATAAATGAACAGCCTGTTGAAGCATATAGCTCACGAACAATGTACACATTTTTTATATATTATATATATTAAATTTTAAAAATATTCAGAGCCAGAACTGTGGTCGTAGTCTCTGTCTATACTTTGGCAGCCAGAACTGTTGCCGATGTTGTGTTGTCAGCTTGTTTCATAAGTTATTATCTATTTCATTCTAATTGTTTATTTTGTTCTTCATTGTTTCCATTGTAGGAAATTCTCCATCTTTCCAGAACAGTCCATATCGATTAACATTGAATGAAACTACAGCAGTTGAGACATGTTTTAATGTGGTAGATATTAGTCATGTTGGTACATTAACCAGCAATACTGATAAGTTTGAGTTTACTCATGGTAATACTTCCATCTGTGTCACAGAATCTCTGATATCAAATTCCCGGTCAGATTATAATGTAAGTAGTGTAACATTATTTTATCCCATGCTGAACTAAGTTAGAGGAGAGATATTGAAATGAGCTCTGTCCACCTATACTGGTTTTACTTCCAGAGTATATCTCATAAACCATATCTTGATGAAAATTTCTAAACACATCAATTAGAAATTACTTGGATTTAATAATAATTGTGTTTTACCATGGAAACAATTTGACTTAAATTTTGGTATACAAGGGCACAGTTGAAGAGTCATCTGGTCTCATTACATATTATATGTTTGATTTCAGGTGTAAAATACACAATTGTTGCCCTATGGTTATATTTGTTGTTTTTTACTTCCTATGAAAACAATCCAGCTCAGTCCTAACCAGGAGAGTTCAATAGAAATGGAATGAAATGGGGTTTATTTGCACCAACCAAGTTTATGAAGACAGGTGTATGCCATGCAATGTAATGGAAATAATGCCCTGACAGCAGCGTTTCTGCCAAAGGATCTTTTACATGCACAATCATGGCTTTAATTACCTATAATCAGTGGCGGGGGGGGGGGGGGGGTGGATGGCCGAATGGTTAGTGCGTGCGCTGTATCATAAGGTTTGTCATTGAGTCAACTGGTGTCGTTTCGATTCCCCGGTTGTACGTGACAAGGAGTAGGGTCGCCTGTCAAACCTCATTGTCTTTCTCCGCAATCGAATTACTGAAATAGAATTGAAACACATGATAGTCCCGAAATGACCTAGTTTTTCTCGAGTGGACATTAAACCCCATTTCTCTCTCTCTCTCTCTCTATAATCAGTGGCAGCTATTTATTGTGTACGCGGCAAGGTAGGCTCCAATCTGTACTACCCTACTCATTTTATATGGAATGATCAACATTCCCTTTCACATTTGTATCTATTCACTCTTGTATTTTGTTTTCAGATAACAGGTGATCTGAATGTATCAAATGATTTTGGTATGGATTCATCTCAGTTATTTGTGGAAGTTAAAACTGTGCTTATTCCACCAATAATTAATATAACCAAATCTAATGTCTATGTTAAAGATAACACACCATCAGGAACAATTGTTTTAACCATTCAAGTTATACCCAATGATGCCGAATTGACAATCGTGAGGAGAGGTAAGACTTCCCAGGAACATTTTTGTGACCATATCCAGGGCCAGATTTACCTACTTGTGGTCCCTAGGTCAAACTTATCAGTACCTCCCCCCCCCCCTTAATTTATGGATTTAAATTATATAATGAAATATCTGGTGTACACTTGAAGCAAGGCTATAAGCTGGTATGCAGCACGACAAATTGGTTTCATTGGACCCACAGATACTTGCAGGCAATGGGCCCTATTGCAATGGCCTGCTATGCCTATTGGTAAATCCGGCCCTGACCAAGCTTTAGTAATAACATCAAATAGTTCTTAGGCACTCTTTTATAAGAAAGATAACAACCACTAATCTAAATCAGTATTAACAAAAGCTAAAATTCTAAATATCGGTAGCATCTAAATGCCTAGAATAGTGGAATGGGGAATTTCGGGTATGGTAGAATATCTCAACCAACCACCACAGCTAAAACATACTCACTGTGCTTAATAATGTCACATTAATCTCAGTTGTTGGGGCTCACACAGAACTGTGACAGAACGTAATTCTGTGTAAATCAATTGCAATTCTATGAATTTGGAACATTCTACTTAAACAATGGAGTATCCCCATTGTAATCATCTTGTGAGTTATAAAAATTTATATTTAACTAATAGTCAAATGCAGGAAAATATGATCAAATAACAAAAATAACCATTAAAACATAGAGATCTTTAACCAAACACTTTCTTTCGGAAACTTTCATACATTTAGAGAAAAGGATAAAAATTTTTAGAATAGGCAGCTTCTCAAATTTAGCTACATCCAACTGGACTCGACGAACTTCTCCATCAACCACAAGTACATTTCATTCCACATCTAGGCCTACCTGGACTCCGTCAACGTCTCCGACAACCACAAGTACATTTCATTCCACATCTATGCCTACCTGGACTCTGTCATCTTCTCCAACAACCACAAGTACATTTCATTCCACATCTATGCCTACCTGGACTCCGTCAACTTCTCCAACAACCACAAGTACATTTCATTCCACATCTATGCCTACCTGGACTCCGTCAACTTCTCCGACAACCACAAGTACATTTCATTCCACATCTATGCCTACCTGGACTCCGTCATCTTCTCCAACAAACACAAGTACATTTCATTCCACATCTATGCCTACCTGGACTCCGTCAACTTCTCCAACAACCACAAGTACATTTCATTCCACATCTATGCCTACCTGGACTCCGTCAACTTCTCCGACAACCACAAGTACATTTCATTCCACATCTACCTGGACTCCGTCAACTTCTCCATCAACCACAAGTACATCTCATTCCACATCTACCTGGACTCTGTCAACTTCTCCATCAACCACAAGTACATCTCATTTCACATCTACCTGGACTCCGTCAATTTCTCCGACAACTACAAGTACATCTCATTCCACATATACCTGGAGACCGACATCATATTGGAATAGGACAGCCATGAGTATGATATAATGGTTATCTTCTATTTTTCATATTTTTCTCTTATTCAGCTGTCTTGCTCATTCCTAGAGCACGCAATCCTACCCGAAACAGCTTTTGTAAAGAAGAACAACATTTAATGTTTCTTGTTGTTTATGTGTCAGCTTTATTCCATTATATCTTCAAGCCTATGTGCCACACAATATCATTGTTCATTGTCTGTTCATAGTTGAGGGAAGTTTTGAGCAGAAGCAGATCTCTTGAACCTAAAATACCAGCTTTAACCAACTTATGGTTGTATCGCCATGCTGATTTATTGAAAAGAAGAAACCGATACTCAAAACAACCACAGTTTTTTCTATTCACAGTAAATCTTCATTTTCACTCAAGCTCTTTTAAGAAAAGGGGGGAGCCACGGTGGCAGGGTGGTTAAGACGCTGGCTCGCTAGCCTGGAGGTCAGGTGTTCGATTCCTGCATTGGCCGAGAAAGTTCATCTGGATTTTCCAACATGGTTTCCCCTTGTCAGTGGTGCAGAACGGAGGGCCTGACAAGGACAGCTGTCTAGTCCTTCGGTTGTGACGAAAAACCGAGGTCCCGTGAATACATTGGAAAGCACGTAAAAGATCCCTTGGCAGTTGGAATTCGATATAAGAGTAGGCGATAGTGCCGCTGCCCGGGCAAAATTTCCCTCATAGCACACTGTATGGCGTATGCCCATCTTCATTAGCCCAGTATAGGAGTAGGACGTTAAACCCCATTTCATTTCATTTCATTTAAGAAAAGGTCCATTAAAGTAGATAAGTCTCTAACTCAATATCATCCAAAATCTTCGACATTGAAAACACGAATTATTTGTCAATTTAAATCAACATTGATGTTGTGATCTTACTGGGAAAAGATGGGCTTCTGATATCCAATATTTAAGACAAAATAAACATTTTACCATTGGTACACGAATCATGTATCATAATGCGTTTCAGTGCCATTTGTAATAAGGGACTCGAAAAACGAGGCTAAGCATATTCCACAAGTTATATGTCAAACTGTGACGTCATATTCTTATCTGGAGAGCATGCACAATAAATACTATTGGTGTAGACTGGAATAACCAGACGCTAGAGATTGCCATTCGATTGAGACTTCTGGTGTATTTCGCCAAACATAACTGATTAGAAATTACAGTAAAACAGAAACGATTGAATGTAAATCAGTTTATATGCATCCATATTACATTATTATATGCGTTGCCACCCATTTGTGTCAATTTCTAGGTCCCAAATATTAGCGATTTAGCTCCTTTAATGATATAATTAACAATGCAAAATGTTACAGCATTACAGCATATTGCAAGCATAATAATGTAAGGCCACATGAGCTTGGTGTGCATATTTCTTTCCTTGTTATGCTTTGTTTATTACATATATTATTTAACTCTAACCTGAAACATTTAGCTAATATTTTATTCTGTGGTCTTAACCTCAGCAAAATCATCAGTCTACCATTTATATCTTGCACAATCTGTTCACTATTTAATTATAACTGAACGGGCAAGAATTTTGAGGTTCTAGCTTTGATCATTGCAAAAATGTGCCACTAGTCAAACGATATGAACGCTGTGCCAATTGCTTTTTTTAAGTCATTAACTATTAAACCATACATAATAATTATTGTATTTAACATGTAACTTAACAAGTTGTTATTATCAGTCACTAACTAAAGCCAAAGAAATTTATTAATATAATTTGCTTGAAATTAATTCTGATACATTTACACATTTAATTATTTTCAGTGTACTGACAATAAATGTTTAAATTGATAGGTTTTGAATATTTGGGGTATTTTAGATTGACTTTCTAGTAATTCTTATTTAATGTAGGTTATTTCGGTGTACAAATAGTATACGTTTAAATTGTTATATCTTTCAAATTTTTTGTGTATGTTAGATGGAAGTGTTAGTCCTCCATTTTCCTTGAATAAGCAGTCAGGTGATGGTGGATTGTGGGAATTAAAACTTGATAGTGATGTGACTGGTAAAGCAGACACAACTTACCAAATAAACTTACAGGTAATTCCTATTATTTCGAATATATTTTGGAGTTTAATAACTGTAAATATTAGTTTCTTTCAATGTTTTGTAATGTAGGATTATGTTTAGATGTCCTTACTGTAGACTTCATCCAATCCATAGGTCCATTTTGTGATGAGGCAAACAGTTCTATTGTGAAGTCATGAATGTGTACAATTGAGATATTAGGTTACAGTGTCGGTCGTATAGACCAAGTAATGTTGCCAAAACAAGAATCAATTTCGTCACTGTGGGGATACTCGATTGAACGTTCCGGAATTAAATTATCTCAATTCCAAAAATAGTGTCAATCGAGTGAAAGGGAGAATTTCGGAGTACAATGCATGTGCCGACTGCATAAAAAAATATCTCAACCAATCATGACAGCTGAAACATATTTATTACTTAAAATACGTCATGATTCTACTCACACCACCTCAGCTTTCGAGACTTGCAGAACTGTTACAGAGTTCCATATCACTTGATTGCAATTCTGTCAATTCGGGACGTTCCAGACTGACAATCGAGCACCCCCTTTATGTAATTGAATTCTTAACACAGTTGTATTTATAGCCCAGTTTGTATTTCACTTTGTATTTATCGTTATTTACTGGTTTTGGAATGAATCACAACGACCAATTTCTAAATTTGATGGCTAGTACAGTAGTATGTATACAAGCTTTGAACCTCATATGACAAAAGAACTTTTCTTTAACCGAGTTTTATTATTTGAATTTCAGGCAACAAGTACTATTGGTGATAAATCCAATGAATCTGTCAGTATATTTATAATAGATGATACTGTACCGGTGTGTACAAGTTATGATATACCTAGAGATTTACCTATAGATTCATCTGTTGATACATTAATAACAACTTTACAATGTAATGATAGTGATGGTGATGATATCAACTATACTTTTACAAGTGATACACCACAATATATACAAGGTAAGAATATACCTGTCTCATTTCATAGTGGGGTGGTTGAATGGTCTAAGGCATGCACTTTATGTCTAAAGGTCTGCCATTGAGTCAAGTGGTGTGGTTTTGATCCCAAGCTTGTACGTGATAAGGATTAGGGTTTTCTCCAGGTCATCCAGTTTTCTCCTACTGCCAAAGATCCCTATGAGCAAGCGAATTATTGAAATAAAAATGAACCATGTTAGTCCCAAAATGACCTAGTGGATGTTAAGCTCCATTTCTCTCTCTCATACAACTACAAGCCTTCCTCGGTAGTGAATATTATTGAAATAGAATTGTACATGTTAGTCCCAAAATGACCAATTCTGTGTTGAGTTGACATTAACCCCAATTTCTCTTTCTCTTCGCTTTGATAGGCATTTAGTACATATTATACCATTCTTGTCCAAGATAAACCTAGAATACCCACTGTGACTGCAGTAAACATGCTAAGATTCCATCCAAAACTTTATTTATAAACTGACTTTAGTCTTGTGAATAACACTTAAAGGACAAAATGTTCTGAATATCTAGATCCTATATAGTGTAGAAAATGAAACACAATAAAGATATAATTTTAAATTGACTTGTATTATGTATACTCACTTCCACATGTTTGTTTCAGATCATTTTTCATTGAGTTCCAATTCTGTAGAACTAACCGTAAAACTGAAGCGTGAGTTGTCTGACCTTACCTTGGAACAATTGAAAAACCTGGAATTTCGTATCAGAATTGGTGATACCAATAAGAGTGTAAATGCAACTATTAGACTGACAATAACTGGTGAGTTGTCGAGTTTTTCTTGTTACATCATCCAAATACACAACAAGTCATTCTCTTTAACCTATTATGTACCAAATAACCCATATTGATGTCAACATTCCATTGGTGTGTTGCCCTGCATGATATTATACATTGAAGTGTTCAAATTAAGGCCATTACATATGCAACCAAACATTTTTATTGTTTGTGCATTCAAAATTGAATTTAATTTAATAGCAACATCTACATACATGTTATCTCTGCTCTCTTGGTCCAGTTTATAAAAATACAAAAAAAAAAATGATAAAATTAGTACCATATCATGAGATATCTGCTGACTATGCAAGTTGTGAGTTGTTCCCCCTTTGTTCTTAACAAAGAGTGGGATCAACCAACCTAAGCTCGTGGGCCATCTACAATTTGTTTCCCATTGCTAATTAAAGAACCCTGTGTGCATATGAATTAATTAAATAATGTTATCCCATCTTGAATTTGCCTTATTTTATGTGAAGTAGGTGTTAAACCCCTTCCATCTTTACTATCATTCCAGTTCCAAATCCACCTGTTTGTAATGGTGAGATACCAATAACTATAACAGAGACAACAAACCCTGGTTCTTGTCAAGATCTACAAACTTCATGTTCAACTACATATAATCTGAATCTAACTTACTCTCTGGTTGATAATGCCTACCTTAGCTCAGGCATCCAGACCAAAAACAGCGGGAAAATAGAAATTTGTACCAATTCTACTAGTCAAAGTTTTCCTGCTGGAAGCTACTCAGTAAGATTTTTTGTTGTGAAAGTGAAATTGATTGGTTGGGGAATTTACCTGTCAGTCATTTTACATGCCATAAAATTAGAATATCAAACAATTTAACCTTAATACACAATAAATACAGTTAAATACTTAAAAATATATACTAAAATTGAGATTATGCTATACATGATCACATTCTCAGAAGAAAGTATATTGACTATTTGAAAAGGACAAAATACCTAAAATAAATTAACGGTGAACAAAATTTTGAGGTCAAAGTCATGGATTAGTCACAAACCCAGTGAGGTAAGGTCCACACATTCGGACTGACATATGCTTCAATTTTATTTCATTATTTCACTTGTGCAGATTATGTGAATAAGACATCGGAATTGACTCAAAAAAAACGATTTGTCGTCAAAAATCTGCAAAATATATCGGTCACTTCTATTCTAGCAACAAGTGCAGTTTTTAGTATGTTCAGCATCTAGTTGAGACCTTCTCCGGTAGGTTACTGCTCATGGTCCCACAAGATTGACCGATGACATTTTCTATGATTTACCTCAGAAATCATTATTATTATAAAATGAAATGATTATTGTAGATATCTGCACTTGTCAGTGATGGTTTTCAAAATGTTACTACCAGTGTTAATCTAACAATAGAAGCAGTCAATCAGTTTTCACCGGTCTTCGATAGTGTAGTTAACGGTATGGACACCATCTTTGTCAACGAAACCAAACAACAAGGCAAACCAATCTATTCATTTACAGTAACTGATCAAGATGGTGGAGACTTTGGTCAGTTCAATGTTGAAGCTTTTGGTAAGTGTGATATGTTTTTTAAAAGGATCATTAATTTTTCTGTAAAAACAGATAGGATAGATAGGATAGGATGGCATGGGAGTTGACTGTCTCGTCAGCATAAACTTCAGTCATTTTGAGACTAACATGGTTATATTTTCCATGATTACATGTGCTATAGTAGGGAAGAGAATTTTCCCTGGACAGCAGGTTTTTTTTTATGTACCCTCCAGTGTATGAACGTGTGGTCCTAGGTTTTTATTTGTGTGACTCATCTGCACAACAAGGTGACACTTATCTTGTCAGACTGTCCTCCCTTCCCAGATGCTACCCCTGATGAGTGGAAACCAGGCTTGCAAAATGTTTTCAAACAGATCAACAAAGCTTGTGCAATAATTGTTTCTGTAGATAATTTGATTTGTAATAAATTTCATGAGTCTATATATATTGATTAATAATTTATTATTGTCTTGGCATAATATGCCATATCCAAATATTTTACTTGGCCCCCAATTTTTGGAGAAAGCAATCAATCGACCGTCTCTTTGTTGGATGTCATTACCCTTACTGTTGATTTGTTTTGTTTCAGATCTTGGTTTAGCATTCTCTATGAATTCAACGGGCAACGTATACACCATTTTCCATAACCATCCCTTAAATAGTGCCGACTTTCTGTCCAAGAATGTTTCATTTGTCGTAAGTATTTTAAGTTTTACTTATTTTAACAAGGAACATGTGACTCGGTTTGCGACGACTATGGCTAACAGGCTGTTCAGATGAGAGTATTATATTATAGACAGAAGCTATAAATCCAGACTTTCTTATCTTTCTTGAAGTAAGCAAAAAATGTGACTTAATCTATTATCTTAAAGTTGCATTATGTAAGATTTAGATAAAGAGCTGGCTATTCTTGCTATAATAGTTTAAAAATAGATATGAAATATGAATATATTGAAAATTACTGAGCTAAGTTATGGAAGATGCAGCACAGAGTGTTTATTATCGTAGCAACGGTACTGGACATTCGAGACTCAGCATCGCTTCTCCATTTTTAAATTAAATCATTAAATGGCAATCATATTTTAATCCGTTTAAATCTCTGTCATCCGATGATCTAGAGAGTTGATATAGGCTTGTTATGTTAATAATGCCTAAATAATAGTTTATATAAAATTTGAAGCCAAAATAAAGACATGCAATAGCCTAATAGATACAATTAGCTCTGAATTGAATCTCCCAAATATTTCAAAAGACAGTCAACATTCTTGCTATAACAAGATACTTTGTAATTCAATCACATATTTTGAATATGACCTTTTTTCTACTCTAGGCTACAGACACTGGTGGCCGATCATCAAATTTGAATTTAACCATAAATATAATAGATATCAACGAAGCACCTGTTTGTCAAATTATCAGGATATTTAATGTTTCTGTTCTGACTGCTACTGGTACAACAATAGGTGAATTGGACTGCATGGACAATGATACAAAAACAGAATATAAACAGATTCAATACAGTATAGTCCAGCGAACACCAAATACAGGTACATATTATTTGTTTACCTTATTTTTGTTTGACAAATAAACATTGAATGTCCTGGAAATACAACAAAATGTTTTATTAAATTCCTGAGAAGTTGCATCAAATGTTCTAGTAAATATATTCAAACATGACAGTGTGGACAGGGATTTGACTACAGAGGAATTTTCCTTGCTATTTTATGACTTAGTGACCATCAGTATAAGGTACCCTAATCTAGCTATTTTATAACCTAGGGGCTAGGAACCGTCAGTATAAGGTACACTAATCTAGCTATTTTATAACCTAGGGGCTAGGGACCATCAGTATAAGGTACCCTAATCTAGCTATTTTATAACCTAGGAAACATCAGTATAATTACTGGAACATTTTTGGAAGGTACCCTAATCTAGCTATTTTATAAGTTGTGGCTTCTAACCGTAAGTATTGGGCAGTTGTTGGTCACAAACCTTTATCTTTTTCTTTTCAGTACCTTTCAGAGTTGGAGTTAATGGCTCCATCAATGTTATCGAAAGTCTACTAAATCAACCAAGCGTTATAGATTTTGTTGTTTCTGCATCTTCTCTAGATCTAACAACATATATTAATATAACGGTCAATATAGAACGTAAGTTTTATTGTTATAAGAAGTTGTCATATTTTGTGCACACAGCATTATCAATATTACCCATTTTGTCATATTTTGTGCACACGGCATAATCAGTATAGCCCATAAGTTGTGATATTTTGTGCAGATGCCCTTGTTAGTATTGTTTGTACTTCTTGTATATCGGTCTTTGTTAATTTCTAAAATTTTGTACGTCTGTGATCAGTTTTGTTCACTTTTCCTCGTCCTTGTAGAGTGTAATCTGTAATATGTTAATGGAATAATCTACTTAAACTTTCTGCACTGCACTAACTAGCCCAACGAAGACGGGCATACAACATGCCCAGGACAGTGTCTCCATGGCCTAATCTGATTTCACATTACAACTGTCAAGGGTTTTGTTCTTGCACGCCAAACCTTTACACAAGACCTCGGTTTTTCATCACTTCCTAATAGCTAGACACTTCCTTGCCAGGCGTTCCACTGTCCTAAACCACTGACAAGAAGCAACCTTACTGAAAAATCTTTCCTAAGGTACTTCCACAGCCAACACCGGAATCGAACACTGAATCTCCTTGTTAATGAGCTAGCACCTTCACCACTGAGCCACCATGGATTCCCTGTACAGTTTTAATATATAACATGTTTTCTGTACATTTTTTCAGGCAATTTTCCACCTGTATGTAACACAACTAACCTTCAAACTGTTTTCCTTGAAACTACGACTCGCTGTAATCAAGAAAAGATACGATGTAATAGTTCGGTTGATACAACGTTCACATGGACAATATTTAACAATCGTACAAATGACTTACGTGTTAATGTTGACAACACTACTGCTGGTATTCTAGATATCAGAATGTGTCTTCCACATCAAATACGGCGTAACATATTTATGGACACAGTAAGATATTCATTCCTTTGTTTTCATCCCCGTTCTTTTGGAGATAGCGGGGACCTATTTAAATGTTATGGTCTTCCATCTGTCTGATAGTCAGCCTGTCCGTCACACTTTTCGAAACACAATAAGGTAGAATGTTCAATAGTCGATAGGTGAGTTCGATGATGAACATTTTCTGTTTGGGCTAAGCAGAGATAAGCAATATGATTTGTCGTTGCTTGGAAAAAAGATGACTCTGATTCAAATTGAATAAGAGTGATTAAATTTTGTGTATAGTTAAACAGCATCAGTATCTTGACTATGTTCGATAATAGATTATTTTCTACATTGATTTCTAGCTGCTTTATATAAAGATAAATATTCAAGTAATTGATGAGTTACATATATTTATTTTGGGATTAAGATGGGACATTGTTGGTGTGTATTTGATAATAGTAATCAATTTTGTTATACACCCATATTTGTTTTATAGCACAAATGACGATACTATGGGCAAATGTAGCATCAATTATAATTGTAGTTATATTCTGTTAGTTATATGTGGAGACTATGTATATTGAATGTATTTTGTCCTAATCACCAGAAATAACCTTTCTGTTGAAATAGCTTCTGAATCAGTTGCTTAAACTCATTAAGTAGATTGAATGTCAGGTATGAAATAAGCATCTAATAGTATGGTAATCTTATGGGGTTTAATGTCCTTCACACAAACTACGTCATTTCAGGACTGACATATGGTTCCATTTTATGTCATTAATTCACATATATGCCACCTTATTGTTAGGATTGTGACATTTGGCTTTACTCTTTTAGGTTAGAATTGAAGTCGGAAACGGTCTGGGATCAGAAACCATAAACTGGGCTGTAGAAGTCAAAGATGTAAATGAAGCGCCACGGTTCGAAAACGACACCTATGATATTGATGTTTTAGAAACTACTGCCAATGGTACAAATATTGCAATGATTGATTTTGTACGGGCTTTTATTGATACGAGTGCTGACCCCCTGCACGTCATTCAACTTCTTGACCCAGATATTGAAGACAAATTTAGAGTAAAGAATATTCACGGATCAGGTAAAAGTTATTTCCTCAACTTTGGCATGATTATTTTCACACAGATATGAACAATGGGTCCTTTGCATTTTTCTCTAAAATATCAAATTTCTCACTCAGATTGATTATTTAACATTTAACACAAGGTACAATTTTATTGATACACAATTACTGAGTTTAATACTAAACGACGTTTCAACGGGGATACTCTCGTCTTTATCAAGCAAATAAGCAAATGATACAGGTATGTGAATAGTAGGCAAATATTTACAGAATATGCAACAAAAATAACAATCAAATACAATTAAAACTTAACACCTTAAGGGGGCCATTAACAACTAAACCCACACAGCATTTTGTTCATTTATCAGGTGTACTATATACATTTTGTCTTTATCAAGGGATCGTCATAACTTTGCATGTTAAAAATGCTGTAAGTGTTATTCCACGTATGAGCATCAATTTATTCAATTCTATTTTAATGTATACTGTTGCAGTAAACATTTTTAAAACCATTATGTAATTTTAATTTTCAGCCATACTCATAGATAAACTCAGCAATCAAGAAGTTCCTAGTTTAACAATACCGATACAATATGCCAACCAAGATTTTGATATTATTCGTCCTTTAGATCCAAGATATATTGTTGAATTCACTATTCAGGTAAAAACCCTTTAGTTCTTGATATATTGTTAGCTTCACTATTCAAGTAAAGCCCTTTTAGATATATTATTAGCTTCACTATTCAAGTAAAGCCCTTCTAGATATATTAATTGTTAGCTTCACTATTCAAGTAAAGCCCTTCTAGATATATTATTAGCTTCACTATTCAAGTAAAGCCCTTCTAGATATATTAATTGTTAGCTTCACTATTCAAGTAAAAACCTTTAATTTAGATCCTAGATATATTATTAGCTTCACTATTCAAGTAAAAATCTTTAGATCCTAGATTATATTGTTAGCTTCACTATTTGAATGCTTTTTTGATAAATGACAAAATATATATGTCTACTTTTTAAAATGCAGGCTTCTGATGGAGGGAATCTAAACGCATCAGCGATCGTTAATTTCAAAATAAAAGATGTGAATGAAAAGCCATCTTGTACAACATATGATGTTGCATTATCTATAATAAGAAGTACAACAGCAGATGATTTTCTTACAGTACAATGTAATGATACTGATGTTGATCCAAATTTTAAAAATCTTCAGTATTCTATAATAACCCAACCATATCCAGGTTTGTATTGCAGGACCAATCTCATTATAGTTACTAAAAATGCCAAATTTTTACAGTTATGTTTAGTTCAATAGTATTTAGATCATGTATATATTCTAATTAGTTGATAAATGCGAAGCCACTGTTCAGGCTATCTCGTTTGCATTGTAAATATGATAGAATTTAAAATCTCATTATTGTTGCTGAAAGTGCCAAATTGTAACACATATATTTAATTCAAAAGTGTGTATTGGGTATGAAGATACTATCTGGGCAAACTCATGTTTAATGATCAGATGATGCTCTCCTCCTCCGCCATTAGTATCAAAATGACTTGAGTATTGTTCTGACCAAAGTGTTATATTTAAATCCCTCCCATCTTCCTTTACCCATTCAGTGCACAAAAGTATGACGTTTAATTTCATTTCTATTTTAATTCCACACATTTTTGTTTTTTCGGTAAGTCATAATGCATCAGTGATATGGCGCTGGCTCTGTAAACAGGATTTTGTCAGTGGTGGAGGTTGGAGGGTCTATAAGTGTATTGCCCTTTCAATAGGTCATAAAATTAAATTCCAATGTATACCATTGGCATCGTGTTAAAGATCCCCTAACAGTTTCAAATCAAAATAAGAATAGTTTTCAGTCTTGATGTTTGGGCAATATTTTCCTCATTAGTCATATATGTGCAGAAAATTTATATTTGTTTCTTTTTTGCAGATGTATTCAAAGTTCGAACTTCTGGTGCAATGTATTTAGGTAAGAGATTACCACGTGAGACAGGTCAGCATATTGTAACTATACAAGCTAGAGATAATGGTACCCCACCACTTAGTTCCACGGCTACAGTGACAATAAATGTTAATAGTAAGTATATTGTCACAACTATTATTACCGTATATTAGTATCACATAGTATCTTATGATAATTAACACCAGATAATTTACAGTCCCTGTTGTGATTAACACCACATATTCACTGTTATTACAGTAAGATAATTAACACCACATATTCACTGTTATTACATTAAGATAGTTAACACCACATAGTCACCATTAATACAGTAAGATAATTAGCACCATGTAGTTGCTGTTATTAGAGTAAGATAGTTAACACCAGATAGTAACTGTTATTACATGCTTTATGCTGGGAGGTCACTGTTATTACAGTAATATAGTTAACACTCCATATTCACTGTTATTACAGTCAGATAATTAACACAATATAGTCACTGTTATTACATTCAGATAATTAAAACCACATATGTTAATACCACATAGTCACATGGCAAGAAGCAGTGTCTAGTTTTCTGGATGTTACTAAAAACCTCGGTCCTGTGTAGGACACATTTTTCAGGAAATATTTCTCCCATAGCACACAGGATGCCCATCTTTATTAGCCCAGTGGGAGCAGAAAAGTAGGATGTTAAAACTCCATTTCATTCTAAATTGGTGATGTTATTGCATTTACTTACAAAACAACATCAGTCACAAGCAGAACTACATTATAATACACAAGAAATAGATAATAACTTACCCAATATATTACACATATATTGTTCTGAATACATGGGTAATATAATAGTATACTTTTCACTGAATTACCGTCTTGCCTATAGATTTAAGTATTGCAGGCACAGTGCTTCTACTGTGAGGAGTCCTATAGGCAAAACGCAACTCCCTATTTTTTTTTATTTTTTTTTTTAATACCTTACTTATGAAAGGTGCACTACTGACAATGACAGAGCCCGATCCCTATTTGGCATTATCTTACTAACTACCGTGTAGGCTGCCTGGAAGGACACTTTTTTTTAATACCTTACTTATGAAAGGTGCACTACTGACAATGACAGAGCCCGATCCCTATTTGGCATTATCTTACTAACTACCGTGTAGGCTGCCTGGAAGGACACTTGTCTCTTACGGCAAGGACCGGTAACTCAGTGAATAGTATACTTTCCACTGAATTACCGTCTTGCCTATAGATTTAAGTATTGCAGGCACAGTGCTTCTGCTCCGGTATCATTTTACGAATATCAAAACTAAGACAATGACAACAATATGAACTTTATTAACATCCAATACTATCTCAACTCACAACTCACTTCGCCCCATAACACACTTCGCCCCATAACACACTTCGCCCCACAACACACTTCGCCCCACAACGCCCCACAACGCCCCACACCACACTTCGCCCCACAACACACTTCGCCCCATAACACACTTCATCCCACCACATATTTTTCCCGTTTAACCCATTTTTGGTAATCTCGGTCAATTATTCCGTACATAAGGCTTTGAACTTTTATACATTCTGTTCCCATTTTTGAATATCTTCGTGGTTTCAGTCCCGATAATTTAACCACTATGATTCTAGCTAAATTTTAATGCCACAGATTAAAAAGGTCATAATGGCTATTATAGATGACTACCCAAATCCCAAATTGCTTTGCAACCTTTCTTTGATTTCACACAGGTAAGCCCCCTTAAAAACTGCTTCCACACAGGTAGGCCCCTTAATCTGCTTCTACACAGGTAAACCCCCTTCCACACAAGTAAGCCAACTAATCTATGCTTTCACACAGGTAAGCCTCTTAATCTGCTTCCACACAGGTAAGCCTCATTTTGCTTCCATACAGGTAAGCCTCCTTTTGCTTCCACACAGGTAAGCCAACTAAACTATGCTTCCACACAGGCAAGCTCACTTACTTTGCTTCAACGTGACAGGGAAGCCATCTAAACTATGCTTCCACACAGGTAAGCCTCTTAATTCGCTTCCACACAGGTAAGCCCCATTTAATTTGCTTCCACACAGGTCAGCAATCTAAACTATGCTCCCCTTAATTAAATTGCTTCCACTCAAGCCATCTAAACTTTGTTTCCACAACTTTCACACAGGTAAGCCCCCTTTAATTTGCTTCCACACAGGTAAGCCCCCTTAATTTGCTTCCACACAGGTAAGCCCCCTTAATTTGCTTCCACACAGGTAAGCCCCCTTAACTTCGCTTGCGCAGAGATAAGCCCTCTTAGTGTATGTTCCATGTTAGGTTGTGGAATAATAAGGCTGAACAGTCTCACTCAAAGTTATTAAAGAAAAACTTTCACTTTACTACTTGCCGACACAGAATAAATAAATTAAAACAACCTTAGTGTATGTCCCATGTTAGATTGAGGAACAACAAGGCTGAACAGTTTCACTCTAAATTAAATTAAAACAACCTTAGTCTCTGTCTCATGTTAGATTGCTGAACAACAAGGCTGAACAGGTTCACCCAAAATTATTAAAGAAAACATTAGCTTTACTACTTGCCTGCACACAGGTAAAGCCCTTTTATATACTAAAAAAGAGGTCAACCGTAGCGTATCTTCCATGTTAGATTGAGGAACATCAAGGCTGAACAGTCTCTCATAAAATTATTAAAGAAAAACATTCAGTTTACTTCTTGCCGACACAGTAGAAATAAATTAAAACAAAGTTATTGTATGTCCCATGTTAGACTGCGGAACAACAAGGCTGAACGGTTTCAACCTAAATTATTAAAGAAAACATTTGCTTTACTTCTTGCCAACACAGTTGAAATAAATTAAGACAACCTTATTTTGTGCTCCATGTTAGATCACGAAACAACAAGGTTGAGCACGACTCGCCCAAATTATTGAAGAAAACATTCATTACTTTGTCTACACAGTAGAAATAAATAAGACAACCTTTGGTGGATGCTCTATGTTATAATTATATTGCGGAACAACAAAGCCGAACAGGCTCACCCAAAATTATTAATAAAGACAAACAGACATTTAATACATCCTAATCAATTGACCACAGCTAAACACAAGTGACGCATGCACGTGCGTGACCCATATCAACGTTTTTCTTCAAATACTGATATACATATAATATTATTATGCTATTACTATACCTTCTAGATTCAGATTCAGATACTTTCATGTCGAACACTTTAATAGCCGAGAAATAATGCCAGATAATCCTCCATTCTAGCATCCAAGATTTTCTCTGGCCCGTTCATTATCAAAGTTTATGTCAGTCGCAAACCTTTTTCGATCTACATGTATTGCATTTAAAGTTTCGGTATTTACATCAGGTACTATATTGAGCAATATCTTCGGGGTGAACCATTTCCTCTTAACGCCTTCAGAAATTTATTTGCAAAGGGTTTACTTTCCCGTTCCACGCTGTTTGCGACATTTCAACAGATCGAGAACTTGTGTGCGAACTTGACTTGACTACTCAAGTGTTTCAGACAAAGTAACAGTTGGGACACTTGTCTCTTACGGCAAGGGCCGGTAACTCAGTGAATAGTGGATATGAGCAGAGCTATCCATAATGTGTGACATTTGTCAGCAAATACAGTCATTACTAACTTGACATAACTATAATTTTATATTATTTTTTTTTAACAGGAGATGTAAGTGCTGTGTGTAATCCAGTAGTAACACCTCCTCAAGTTTGGTTAAAAGACGAATGTACCACTATTGATAGTGGATGTACTGACCCTACTACTGACCCTGGAGATACATCAACATTAACTTATGTATCTACCGGTGACTACATTCCAGACTTCTACGTTTACAATTCAACTTTCGATGGATCAAATGGTATTCTTAGACTCTGTTATAATAGATCAGTTAATGGAGATTATCAGGTAAGAAACAGCGAGATATTGTAATTTCATTTTGAATAAAAGTGGGGACATTGGCAAATCACATGTATATAATTTTGTTTTTGTTTGCAACATTGTATGCGACATTAATCCAAACCTAGCTTAAAACTCCACTAAATAGACCATTTTATTGGCTGATATTTTATATTAGAAAGAAAGGGGTTATTTAAAAAATCATTTCAGATCTTTCTGTCATGAATACTAATAATATATTAGAATGTGAACTCTAAAAATGAATGAATGAATGAAATGGGGTATAATGTCCTACTTTTCTGCTCCACAGGGAGCTAATGACAATGTGCATACGCCATGTAGTTTGCTATGAGGGAAATTTTGCTGTGACAGCGATTGAATTCGGTCATGGGTTCTAGACACAGGAATAAACAAAAACTTAAACTAAAATATTTTAAGGATTCCAAATTCTCTTTTACTGAGAATAAAAATTCTAGTACACATTATAGTTCTTATCCGATGAAAGAACTGCATTCTTGAAATATTTTAGTTAAAGTATTCGTAAACAAAGCCCCCGAGCCTTTAATATGAAAATTTCTAATTCATTTAATAATTTGTCTTTTATTTTTCTCCAGGCTTCTATAAGAGTTAATAATGGATTTAAGAATATAACGTTGCCTTTTAATATATCCGTCTTGTATTTACAATCGGTACCTGTATTCTCACAGCAACGTTACACTACAACAACACGAGAAGATATAGCAATAGGCACAAAGATAATAGCTGTACATGCAGAATCAGCCGGTAACTTCTCTGGGAACGTTACCTATTCAATAAAAGGTGAGATTTTATGGGTATATATATACTATCCCTTAAGTGGCTCAGTGATATAGTGCTAGTTCGCAAAACCTGGAGGTCCCGACTTCCATCTCATTATTGGGCCTGAAAATTCATTGGGATTTCCCAGTATGGGAATGAAAAACCATTGACATACATGTAAAAGAAACTTTTCCAGGTCCAGAAAAGTTGGACATTAATTGAACCTATTATTGAAGTCGGTGTATGTGTTTAAATATTGATTATAGAAAATTATCTTTTGCAAATTCCTGGATGTGCTATTGTTGTGTTTTGATGGTTGCCATGACACAGGCCATCAGTAACGTTACCGTTGGAATCCTAGCATTGGTAAAATCTGCCTGTATGCTGAACATATTTAATAAGACAGTGAAGCACACTACCCTACAAAACATATCAAGCAGTCTCTTTAATACATTGCAAACAAAAATGATAATTGCAAAATCCCACACGTCACAATTGTAATTAAAGCAATAGGATAAACTTTAAGTGGTAAGTCACTTAAATCTGCTGCAAGACATCTTAAATACGACATTTAACAGGTAGTATCAGGTATTCTAGAAATAGTTTATTTGCATTTGTTATTGGTGTTTGTGTTATGAATATATGTTGGGATGGGTTTCACCATGGAAACTGTATCACAAATGTTTATTTATTGTTATATTTGTAGGGGAAAACTTGGCAGGGTTTGAAATTGATGAAAATGGAACATTAATAACCACATCATCATTAAAACGATTCAGCAATGAAGAAATAATTTTAACTGTTGAGGTAGGAAAGTCATATCACTCAAATATTTAAATAGGCAATGAGTTTAGCCAAGTCGATATACTGTATTTTAATTAATCAGCCTACTCACTGTTAAATAGCCATATTAAAATCTAACCTCTGCCTCTGTTTTAAGCAACCCCTTCAATGATCTTCCTTGTTTATCTCTTGATAAGAGCCTTTACAATAAACACACACCATTTTGAATGCCAACTAATTACAGAAACTGAGTTTTCAAACACTGCATTTGAGAAATGCGGAGAGTTTGTAAGATGCAGTTGTGTTGAAATACTTATAATATTGTGTGGAAATAATTTATTCTATCATTTTGTTGTGTTTTAGTAATTATTTTGGAAATAGTTTATCCTATTGTTTATTTTTGGTTATGTGTTGAAATAATTATTGTGTCATGTTGTTAAAATAATCAATTGAGAAGTCATACCAGATGCTCTTGAATGACAACTACATGTATAGGTAGTTTGTGAGGTGGTTTTCACTTATCTGGATTGCAGAAACCAAAGCTACTTGGTATATAGTGTACCCAAAGGGTAATGGTCACCAGCCGACTCTAAATTTCAATAAAAATACAAATATGAACTTTCTGACTCGTATTTTATTTTTTATTCAGGCTGAAGATGATCGTTCCCGCCTGGCATCTAGTGTAACTGTTACTATAGATGTTACTGATATAAATGAAAAACCAGTATGTTCAGACGATCGTTCAGTTAAAGTGACGGTTGATGCTTCTGTTAGTGTAGGATATGTTGTTTATAGATTTAACTGTACTGATTCAGATAGAAATCCAAAGTTTGATCAACTGACACCAAATTTAAATGGTAAGTATCCTAGTTTTATCAAAGGGGCTGGCTCATTAACCATGAGGTCTGGGGTTCGATTCCCAGTGTTGGCCAAGAAAGTTCCCCGAGATTTTACAATGTGGTTTCCCCTTGTCAGTGGTGCAAGATGGAGGGCCTCACAAGGACAGTATCTAGTTATTGGGAAGGGACAAAAAACCAAGTTCCTGTGTACACATTGACGTGGATGTAAAAGAAAACTTGACATAAGAGTAGGCTGTAGTACAGCTGTCCATGCAACATTTCTTTCATATCACAATGTAACAATGTAGGATGTTAATTCACATTTCATTTATCAAAGGGGGCTGATTTTATTTACCTACATTTACGTTGGGATCCACGGTGGCTCTAGTTCCCTAACCAGGATGTTCCAGGTTCCATCTTATTCAGTCTATCTATACTTAATAAAAACATGGTAGTGCACAGACTTTTTCTTCTTTTCTCTTATCGAGTGACTGCCGATTATTTTTTTGAATTGTCAGATATCCTCCCACAGGATCTTCAAAGGAATTATTAGTGAACAGAAATTGGCCTGTGAATCTGTTATCACTCGTCACTTCAGTCATTTATATAGGATATCTCGTGTTTTTCTTTTGCTTTCGTCACTTCTGTTTCTTGAAATCTTCATTGTGCATCTATCCTAGCAATGATCTCTGTGTTGAAATTATGTTTGGAACGTGTTTTATCAGTTCTATCATATATGATAATGACTGACACCAATATTGTCTTTTACAAAGTGTACATAATGTATTAGATTCTAACATCATGGAATTTCAAGATATATATATATACACAATACTTTTGTTGCATTTAGATTGATTTGTTTTGTGTTTTTCAGGTTCAACATACTTCCGTCTATCACCTGGAACCCAGAATATCGAAACAAAGTCTCAACTTCCTGTGACCAGTAGTCCTACATATTTAACATTTAGTGTTACTGATGGACTTTTGACTACCATTATAGATGTTACTGTGAATATATCTTGTAAGTCAATCATAATTAGATCCAGTTGAAATATCTTTGCCCTAGAATTTTTAGGAAATTTCTAGATACTTTCGCCTCTCCTGTTCAGGTGACCTACATTTCATTATCCCTATTTGTCGTTATTTATTGTGGTAATCACATATATTATATTTGCCTATTCGGAGTACAATATTCTACATTTTTGGGGTTGAAGTCTGATTATAAAGGGAGCACGCTATGATACACTAGTTTGGTGTGGTTTCATGCAGCCATGTGAATGTGAATGAGAAGAAGTAGTTGATAAAACTTTATCAAATGTTGCCATACGGTCAATTTTTGATGTATTTTGATAAGAAAGATATTTTATTCCAAAGAAAATGATAATTATTAGCATTATCACAATTTTTGAATTCATATTATGTGTTTTTTTACTCATAAGAACTATCAATTTGAACCAGTGTTCGACACAAACGTCGGTCCGTAGGCCCGAGACCGACTGATTTATCGGAGGACTCCTGCTTGCCTATTTCACTCGGGTCCGCCGGGCCTTCGCCTTCTTTCTTATCTCGCATAGTTAGTGTCCACATACGACAATTCGGGAAATGCCAGAACTGTCATAGAAACGCAACCTCCGAGTCTCCGATAGTTGACAGTTATTGTTTACTTGTCATCGACATGACGGAAGCTGCTGTTTTTCCAGACATTGACTCGCGTAACCAGCCTTTGATTTGTAACTGGGTTTTTTTTGTCGGCTTTAGCCGCTTGAACTTTAAACAAACCGATTGGTAAAAACAATGAATCGGCCACTATGGTATCATAAATCAATCTACTTTCGGCTAAATTTAACGGGTTAATTATTACTTTTTGATTAAGTAGTCAATCAACTTGCTTGTTGGCTACAATAACAGTCATACCTCTCGGTATGGACTGCGAATCTCGCTCGGGAATCGCGCTTCTTCGACGCTCCATATATATTCCAGGTACCGGTAGATAATAAAATAATAATTGGATCATGCATTTAATGGTTTGGCTGACCAGTTGTTACAGAAATTTAAATCTTAGTTGAATATAATCCTCAGAACAGTCATTAATAATATATTTTTCCGACAAAATCTTCGATGCCAAATCCGCCGATGACACGTGACATCAGTTGGAATTTCTAGGTCAATAAGCCAGCGATGCTAGGTTTAGTTTTAAGTAACGTTTACCGTTATGATTTTTTATTTGATACACATGCTGGCAGAGGCTAAATTTTAAACATATTGTCGTTATTATTATTGAAAACTATATGGCATAGTCGTACGGAATTTTATTTTAAAGTAATTTCAATTATGGCTGTCACGTGATCACTGTGCCGTGTGTCTCTCATGGACGAATGAATAAAAACATATTTGCAAGTTATGTGATAGACAAAAACTATAAATTGTGTTATGAAAAATACCACCGTGCTGTATCATTTTATATCCATCCAAAAAAACGAAGACAGTAATTTATTTAGGAATATTACTGACACGAAAATTTTCCGAACGGTGTAGCTGTAGGCCTACCTATTATTAAAGGTAATGGAAGCTTATAATTTTAAAACCATTTCCTACGGGACCTCATTTGACTCAATTCTGGGCTATTGTGCTAACAATCTACGGTGGGATAAGCGAGTTTATGCCATTCCTCAACGTTATCGCCAGGCGTCAAGTTTTTTTGTGTAACTATTTGAAGTTGACCTAGTTTGATGAGACAAAACGGTAAATTATGTAGCCGTGAATAGATTTGTTGCCATTAAATTGAAATGAAATTAAGTTACTAAACCCTTAGTCCTTCTGTGGTGTACTGGCTTTATATGTACTTCCTTTATTCTGATCGTTCTGCGCTTCGCTTGGAAACTATAAATATTATTATTATTGGTTGGACCTGCGTGTCACCTGAAGGACCCACATGATCACGTGTCACACAGGTCCTGCGGGCCTGTGCTTGGAAAATGTTTGTTTCGGACACTGATTTGAACTGTGTTTAAGTTAAATTGTTTGAAATTCTAATTTTATGGCATATAAAATTGACTGACAGGTAAGTTCTGTAGCCAGTCAATTTCTCTGCCAGTCAAGATACATTATGGGAGATTCGATAACAAGTTGGCTGTTCTCACTATAATAGTTAAAAACTAGATCATGTAAAGGCAATTTGCTGAAAATTTCATTCAAATTGATCCACTATGAACCGAGAACTAAGCGATTGAAATTTCCGCCTAGCCTCGATCATCATTACTAAAGTCAGTACGATAAACAGCACAGTCTCGATTATCCATTTAAATCGTGAATGAAAGTTATGCCGTAAATCAGCCCATAATCCACTAAAGATCACAGGCTAGCGATGCCATCAAGAAGCTGATTATTAATGTCTAATTAATGATTTAGATAACATTTCAGGCCTAAAGAAAGACCTGCAATAGACAGATTTAGCTCTTGCATAATGTATGTTTAAACAAGAGCCCTAACTGGTTATAACTATGGTTTATAATTAAATACACCATTTGCCACCAAAACATGTATATGTATGTATTCTTTTATGCTTCAGTTCAACCATCAGTACCAAAATTAACTGTTTCTGAACTTGGAATCTACAATGTGGAGTTGTGTTGGTCTTATGATAGACCTGAATCCCAGAATCTAGTATTAAGACATATATTGGAAGTTACATATAGCAGAACCGATATCCGGTATATCAAACTAGATCGATCTAATACATCTTATAACGTAACCGATCTTAAAGCAGCCAATCTTTATCAATTCCGGATCATAGCAGAAACCAACAATAATAACTTAACGTCACTTAAAGAATTTGTTACTACACTAGGTGAGTGATTTAGAACTGAAATTGTCTGAATGAATAAAATTGGGTTTAACTTCCAATAGGCTAATGAACACAAATCAGATGCTATGAGGGGAAATTTTGCCCGGACAGCAGAGTTTTTTTCACCTACACTGCATTGAATTCTAACTGTCAAGAGTTCTTCCATGTGCATGTCAACTAGTAAATGGGTGGACCTTGCTGTTTCAAACCATGCAAACAACTAGATGCTTTTTCCTTGCCCGGCCCTCCATCCTACAAAACTAACAAGCGTGAACCAGCTTGTAAAATCATCAGGAACTTTCTCTCAGCCAACACCAGAATTGAACGCGGCACCTCCTGGTCAGTGAGCTAGTGCCATATTTGCCAAGCCACTGAATTATTAACTTCAACCTATAACTTTTAATACATCCCTGAATACATCTGAATACATCTGAGTAGATCTGCTTAATGTTGATCTAAATACGTCTGCTGAATGTTGTCCGAGTGTTATTGAATAAAGGATGGATGATATTCTTAAAATCAAACACTCAGTAAAGTAGAGCAGAAAAAAATCATTTAGCTGTTGCTTTTCATGTCCCCCGGTTGTACGTGACAAGGAGTAGGGTTGCCTGTCCAACCTCGTTGGTTTTCTCCAGGTCCTCCGGTTTCCTCCCACTGCTAAAGACCCCTACGCGCAAGCGAATTATTGAAATAAAATTAAACCATATGTTAGTCCTGAAATGACCTAGTCTGTGTCGAGTGGACGTTAATACTCCATTTCTCTCGCTCTCTCTCGCTTTTCATGTCAATGTGCTGTTAAACGAAACAGTAAACACTCGTTTAGATAAACAATAAACACTAGATATTGTTCAGCGTTTTCCTAAACATGTTTACATTTGGCCAATCGTATATGATCTGACATTCGAATGATGACTCCCATCAAAGATACTGAATCCAAGGAAATTCTTACTGAGCCGAGGGATGTTACTTCTATGAAATTAAAAAAACTAGGGCAATGATCTTATATTTAATGTACTCCCCAATATGAAATAATGTTTTTTTTTCTTTAATGTCATTACCCAGTTGTGGAGTTATTATGTTGTTTCTTATATATTTTTGTTTGGTAGTTAGAGAGTGAATCAACAAATATAATTGTTATTATTAGGAATGATTGTTGTAAAACTTGGCATGTCACATCTTTCTTTTAAGAAATCCCCATCTTGACCACGGTGTTGGTTGGATTTAGAGTAACCAATCGGGACTGGAATAACATCATGGTAAACAACAAATCACAGGCATACATTGATTTAAAACGGGAAGTAGAAACAAATGTAAGTATTCCAGTATTTTTAAATTCTTATAATATTGGTTAATAGCGATCAAATCTACATGCAACATATTGTTTTTAGTTGCAGTCATTTAAAAATCGCTCTGTCTTTGAAAACTAAAACCAAAATAAGAAAATTCAGATGTATTTTATATATTTCAGTTAACAGTTGGACTTTCTGAAGATAAAGGTCTACATAAGACAGAAGTAATAAATATGAGGTAAGGTAATCGCTTTGTTCACAGTGTAGCCAATCAATTACCACATGCATTACAGCAGGACTCGCCAACCTCCAACACATGTGGTACGTTTGATTAGAAGTGGTACACTACATCACTGTTATAATAAGGCAGTAAGCCTACTAATTATTTTTAGCCATTTTCTTATTTCGTGCACATCCTTTTTAGTGAATGTTATCTTCTTTCACATTATTCTGTTTTCATTTTAAAATATGCTTAATGAATCACACAGGAAAATTTGACTTTTTTCTTCAATCCTCCCATAACTGTTCAATATGCATTTATTTAATACTTGTGTGGTCATGATGTGCTAGACATCTGCACACGAGTGCATCACAGGTTCTTGCCAGTTACATCTCTCACGTTTGATCTGGTATGAACTTGTGTTCTATTTATGACACATTTGAATATGTGAGTGAACAAATTGACGCATGGTGTAAATAATTGCCACCCCTGTATTGGAGTATTAACAAAGGAAAGAAGTTCTCTGGGAATATTGATTAAAATCAAAGATATGTTTTGATGGTATGACAATAATGGCTTCCATCTTAAGACATGACTTACATTTGAGTTGTTTGTTATTCTTAGTGGTTGAACCAAGGTAGCCGTTTAGTCTCTGTGTACTTTTGTTCTCATGACAGAGCCATGGTGGCTCAGTGTGTATGCCACTAGCTCATTAACCACATTGGTTCTTGTAAGAGAACCACTGACAGTTGGATTTGGTTGGAAAGTAGACGAAACTGCCGCAAAAATCATTTGCTCTCATGATTTTATTGTTAGAAAAACAAATCATAATTTTTCTTTATTTTTAAACAACCAATGTAATTACTAAAAGGTTTTTTTTGTTTTTTTTTCAGACCTGGAAGTGTTATATTTGATGCTGTTTTTTTTGTTAATCAAACTGGTACAGTCAATGAGACTATAGCCAATTTCCGAGATAGCATATATACTGGTGCTGTAGGTACATTGATCACTGATACCAGATCTGGAGTAGCCTATCGAGGAGGTATGTGTACAGTTGTATATCTTAAATATTATTTCAGCATGTATTTAACAAACTATAGCTAGTACCTGACTTTATCAACTTTTTAGGGGCTTTTTAATAGTAAGTTTGATAATATCAAATGAAAATGAAATGAAATGAAATGGGGCTTAATGTCCTACTGTTCTGCTCCGACCTGGGTTAATAAAGACGGGCATATGCCATACAGTGTGCTATGAGGAGAATTTTGCCCGGACAACGGCACTATGGCCAACTCTTATATCGAATTCCAACTGTCAAGGGATTTTTTACGTGCACACCAATGTGTACACGGGACCATGGTCTTTCGTCAGATCTGAATGACTAGACAGGGGGAACCATGCCGGAAAATCTGGATGAACTTTCTCGGCCAATGCAGGGATCGAACAATCAACCTACAGGCTAGCTAGCCAGCGTCTTACCCACTTAGCCACCGTGACCCCTTGATAATATCAAGCAACAATGATTTATATTGTGTATATAAGACTTTACACAGATTGAACCATCTAATATGTTGACAAAAATGGAGGAGTAACCACAATATCAAAAAAAGCATTTTAACAAAAGTAATTCATGATCGTTTAAGGTTGAAGTTGGATAAAGAGTTTGTTAGTTCAAGATCTCATTTCTGAACCCAGACTTGTATATTGTATATTGTATATTTCAGCTCAGTATATTTCTACACCAACATTACATCTTGAGGCGGGAGACCCTAATCATCTGAAAGAAGGGATTATTATTACATACGCCTGTACATTTAGAATGGTCAGCTTATCAGGCAACACTGGCGTCAAAGTGGAGTGGTTCATAGATGACTCTCCCCTGATTTTGAGTCATACATCGAGAATTCAGTTGGCAAATTTTCCTGTTACTAATGATAGATTTGGATATCTTTATACTCTTACATTTAATAAAACAGCACCAAGTCATACAGGTGAATATATCGTACCATCATTTACACAACAGTTGAACAAATCTGACCATATTGGTGATAATGATCTGTATATAACTGATTATAAAAACTGTAGGTTAAATTAAGGGAATAAATTAATCAAAAACATGCAGAAATCAAAAAATATTTCAAATTTTCTTGATGTTTTTGAAAAAGCAATGTTTAATTCATGAGGGCATAAACTCCTAAAAAAAAAACCCAAAAAACATGCAGAAATCAAAAAATATGTTTTCAAATTTTCTGGATGCATGCCACTCATAATAATCTATAAGGTTAAGGTATGGTTAGCATTCAGGTCTTCTTTCAAATTTTCATTTGTTTTTGTTGATTTTGCAGGAAGCCTGAAATGTGAGATTACCAGCGTTGAGAATTCGAGTGTAACAATATCTGCATCAACAAATGTCAATATTATATCAAAACCTGTAGTCACCCTGTGGCCGTTGACAGTATTTTTAAATGGTGGAGGTACTGTGACGTTACGATGTACATCTGTTCTAGCAAGTAGTGCACCTGTTACCTATAGCTGGTTTAATATTAACACTAATTCTATTGTAGCAAACGGTATGTTAATTATTTATTATCTTTCATTGATCATTGGGAGTCACAATAATCAGGAGGTCCAGGATTTGATCCTGGCGTTGGCCTGGCGTTGGCCTCAAAATTTCTCTGGAATTTTCCAGTCTTATTTCCCCTTTTCAGTGGTGCAGAACAAAAGACCTGGCAAGGAACTGTAGCCAGTTGTTCGAATGGAATGAAAAACTGAGGTCCTGTAAATAAAAGAGCCCTTGAAAGTTGGAAATCAAAATAACAATAGGCTGTAGCATTCATGGACTGACAGAATTTCCCTCAAAACACACTCCATGGCTTCATTAGTGTTCATTGCATTTCATTGATCATTGTCCATCCGTCCATCTGTCTTTCACCCAAAATTTCTTGTGAACACTCTACATTTATTGTATGACCTATTTAAAATTAATATATGTCACATTAGAGATATGAAGCAGTCTATTGAATATCAATTTTGTCCTGTTAAAATTGTAAAATTTTATGAATGTTCAATCAGATTATTGAGACAAAGAACCAACTAAATTCCCACTAATTACATTTGTATGTTCTGTCATTCAGAAAATACAGACACCTTATCAGTAACAGTTCAGAACTCGGATAGCGAGTATTATTGTATTGTTTCTAATGCTGCTGGACAGACAAACAGTTTAACTGCAGCAATTCATTATGTTCCCCCAAATGGTGAGTACAAAGCAGATATTACTTATCTAAAAACAAAAGAATTAATGTTTCTGTCAACTTTAAATCATAGCTCATGGTACTTTAAAATTATAGTATTGTACCATCCGTAAGCATATTAATCTAGCTCATAATAAATATCTTAGTAATAGCTTTAGGAGTGGCACAGGCCAAGGGTTATTTGTTGCCGACAGCCGGGTTTATGTGTGGCAGGAAACCAGCTCACACCAGATCATTTATCTAGATACTTTGCCTTACTCACTGGACAAGTCACTTCGAGATTGGAAGAAGGATGTTTATGGGACAGACGGCTCCTGATGCCAACATTTGTCTACTTGTCAAATGTCATCATTTAATACATCTTTATATATCTGGCTATATCCAGAAAGTTTCTGAGGATTTTGTGCAACCTTTCTGTTAAAACAGGTGTAGTTTAGTGGACAGTAAATTTCTTATATTGTTTTGACTATTATACTTTATAATTTTTAAAATTTTTGTTGTTTTTGTTTTTTATTTTGTAAATACAGACGATCGACCCTGTTCTGAAATAACTGACATAAGGAATACAACATGGCCGTCTGCACATAGAGATGCAGATGTAAAATTAGAATGTGGCCCTGGTTATGATGGTGAGCCTCACTCTTTTGAATATGTCAAAACAAATTGAAACCTGTTTTGTTTTAGAACAGTGTGGATAATACAATAATTAATTGTATTTATTTTTCTTGCCCATTAAAAACACATTTTCCTTGATAGACATAGTTTAGTTTGATTTTGTGAACGGTAAATGAAGCTCCAAATTAGTCTAAGACTCCCAGCTCTCCACAAGCCATTTTCATGGCTGATTTGATGGGTTGGAAGATTTTTTGGCAGTTTCTGAAACTTCAAGGGTTTTGAAAATGTTCACATCATTTTCAAACATTTTATAGTTATTCATCCCTCCGTGGTTGCAACCGAGATTGTTTCATGACTTTTATAGTAAAACCGTAAAGACAAACCGTGGACAAGACGCGCCACACACAGGCATTGCTAGTAAAAAAAGAGCATTATCTCTTTGTCTATTGAGTAGCGCCAACTATCTCAAATGTCGTAAAAGAACCAAGGAAAAGGTCATATAGCTTAGGCTTCATTCATTGGTGAGAAAAAATTTAGTTGACAATAAATATTAATATCCAGATGTTCTATAAGAAAATGTTATTTAATATAGACTGATTTCTGGAATAAAATTTGTCATACCATCCGATGTGAGAGTACGGTATATCGTTCGAAAGTATGGTTCAGTAATATCTTCAACTGAAACCCTCGTATCTGGCTTAAAACAATCACAAATCTAGCTGTCCTTGGTGTAAACACAAATTAATATTTATTCATACAGGCTTGGCTCGTAGACATTGTTCTTCTAGTGGAATGTGGTTACAACCTGATTACTCAAACTGTAAGAAGACAAACTTGGTTATATTGAAGCGAAAGGTAAGTAGAAAACATAGAGGAAACCCACAAAGTTAGGCAGGCAACCCTACTCCTGGGATTGAAACCACCTCACATAACCTTGTGATCTGAAGTGCATGCCACCCAACCCTTCCTAGATAAGTCAGAAATATCTTTCTTGATTTAATTGGTGTTTCCATGGAGATATTGTTGTGGATATAGTTAAATATTTGTGGTTAATTTGAGACTAACATATGGCTGTCTTTTTATACTTTCAAATGGACAGTAAGGAGGAATATTTTCAAGACCTTTTTCTATAGTTATTCATTGTATTCCAAATGTCAATGGAAGTTGTTTATAGAAACTGCAAACTGGTCTTTCATCTGATCCGAATGACAAGATACCTTTTTATGTTTTCATAACGCAAACGGTACACATAAAAGAAGGCAACAGCATTAAAAAACATTTATCCTTGTAAGCAAATTTTAGCTGTGCATTGATTGCACTAACTAATCCACCACCACCGCCACCCACATGCTCTTTTTAGGGCGGGGGGTCACGGTGGCTAAGTGGGTAAGAAGCTGGCTCGCTAGCCTGGAGGTCGGGTGTCCTATCCCTGCATTGGCCAAGAAAGTTCATCCAGATTTTCCGGCGTGGTTCCCCCTTGTCAGTGATGCAGGACAGAGGGCCTGACAAGAACAGCTGTCTAATCATTCGGATGGGACGAAAAACCAAGGTTCCGTGTACATATTGGCGTGCACGTAAAAGATCCCTTGACAGATGGAATTCAATATAAGAGTAGGCCATAGTGCCACTGTCTGGGCAAAATTTCCCTCATAGCACACTGTATGGCATATGCCCGTCTTCATCAGCCCAGTTCGGAGCAAAACAGTAGGACGTTAAACCCCATTTCATTTCATTTCATTTCTTTTTAGGGCAATATAAGGAAATTTTGTGGGGTTTTGTCTAATAAACCCTGGAGGTTATTACTTATACCATGTTTTTTTAAAATTTTTCAGACAGAAGATGTAAAAGAGGGTAAAGTTGTTGAAGTACCAGAAGATACATTAAAGACTTTGGTTAATTTAACAGTTGAAGCTAGAAGGTTTTCAGCTGGGGATGTAGAAACAACTATACAAATATTACTAGATATTATAGATATAAATAATGATAATGAATCCAAAGTTATAGAGAAACCAGAATTGGAGGTAATATTATCTTCATTTTAATAATGCATTCTTTTAACCGTAACATGATATATTGGAAGTTATGATTAGCGGTATATATGAGCGAAAATTTAGCAATGTCATATTCACGAACTACTGCATAAGCTTAAAGACCCTATGCATGATTTTAGAATCCCTTGAAAACTACAATTTTGTGAAAGATGAATAGAAATATCAGTACAAAAATGGTTCCATTCTAACAAATTTTCATCTATCTATGCTGCTCCCTTTGTAACAATACGGCCACCATCTATATTTGCTGTGAAACAAATTGATGGACCTGTTTTATATCTGATTGAATCAGTTATTTAGTATTGGTTTTAATTCTGTTTTCTGAATTAAATGCTAAATAATCAATCTAAGTATAAATTAGCATGGATTAAGTCATGAGAAATTTGATGTTTTTCGAAAAATGTAAATCATGCATCGTTACTTTAATTACTTTGCAGTGTTAGGCTGGTAGCCACCCCCAATTTTCAGTGGTGATCTTGTAGCAATGTTATTGCTGCCTGCATGTCGAATGTTTGAATGCATTGTGTGTCTCATTTCCATTATTGCAAATGCCCTATATTGTCCTAAGCTATTTATCAACATTACTAATAGAATGTCTAAATTTTTATTGTTTCAGAATTTTGCTAAATCAGCTAGTAATATATTAGATGCTGATGACGAGGAGTGGAGCACACTGTCAGAACAGGTTAGTTTTAATGAATCTATAGGTTGTTTTAAATAAAAATCATATCATAAAATATTGTTATATAGCATAGCTTTAATGCGTCTGTTAACTTTAAATCACATATTTTTATAATCATGTCCAACATAAGCATACTTTCTTTTTAATACTTGATAGATTTCTACACATAAAGGGACATTGAAAGAAAGCAAATGCAATTCAGAATATTTGAATAAACTAGTAGCTAGAAATTGAAACGATTGCAAATTTGTTTATGTTTGCATCCTATTGTTTGCGAGATGGGGAATCTTGAAATTGATAATATTCCTACAAATTAATTATTAAAATGTGCTTTTCATTAATAATTGTTTCTGCAGAATAAGAGTGGTCTAGCTGCTATGCTAGGTACAGTTGATGATATGGCTAAACTAACCAGTAGTCGTCTAAGGACTAGAACACCAATAACGGCAGTGACAACTAAAATAGGTATACATGTAATTAATATTTACACCAATAAATAACAAAAATGAAATGTGGATTATGTCCTACTATTGTGAACCAACTGGGCTAGTAAAGACAGTGTGCTATGTGGGAAGTTTGTCCGAACAGTGGCGCTACGGCCTACTCTTATATCAAATTGAACTGTCAAGTGTTCTTTTACATGTACAAGGGACCTCAGTTTTTTGGCCCTGTTATATTTATATAAGTTGGACAGTAATAAATACAATAGTTATATTTATATGTTACACTTACAACAGTAATAAATGTTATAGTTGTAGAAATATAAGTTGGATTTACAACAATTATTATCACAATAGTTATAAATGCAAATGTAATTCATATCTTACTAATAGCTTGAGCAACAAATAAATTAAATTTTTATAATACTCTGCAAATAACAAGTTGTAGGAAAACTATGGCAACATTTCAACCTACTCTGTGGTCTTATTCCAACTTGTCAAGAGTTCTATAACGTTTAAGCCAAAGTGTACGTGGCTGGACCTCTGCATACTTCTCCTGACAAGGCTGGGTTTGAATAATGATGAAGTTTCTTCACAATTACAACCAGGAACATTCCTTTTGAGACTCCAGTGTCCTGGCCACTGGACCGCAACAGCAATATCTGGGCCCAAGAGACATATTAGACTGCCTCATATTTAACAGGATATTATCAAGTTCATTAATTAGGTGCATACAAATATGTAATAATACTAATATTCATTATTTCAGTCATTGAAGTTGGAAGAACGTCATTAAGTGATATTGAATTTCCTAGAATGAGTGCTACTGACTACCCATCATGGGTGTCACAGTCAAAGAATCAAGTTTTCTTACCAAAAGGTGCTCTAGCTGCACATTTTGAAGGTGTGTATGTAGTTTACTGCATATATATTTATAAAAGCATCTTCTAGTATTCTTACTTCGTGGTATGGCAGACATTTATCTATGTAGTGTATAAAAGAAGCTTGTCGATAAACATCATTCCAAAGCAAGAGAGGGAGAGAAATGGGGTTTAGAGTCCACTTGACACAACCTAGGTCAATTTGGCAACAACATATGGTTCAGTTTTATTTCATGAATGTGCTTGCATGTAGGGTCTTTAACAGTGGGAGAAATCCAAAGGAACCAGAGAAAACCCATAAGGTTGAACAGAACCCTACTCCTTGTCATTTGACTCAATGAAAGACCTTATGATCTAAAGTGCATATATTAAATCATTTGGCCACACAACCCTTCGTTTATTCTAGGGCTTGAATGGTTCTACATACCTTTGGCTTTTAATCCTTTAACACCTGGACTGGCTGAATCACCTCAAACCAAACTAGGTAGACTAGTTATGGACTATGAATTGGGTGGTTTGACATGGTGCAGGAAACAATATTTACATGTACCAGATGCTTAAGGGTTAAAGTTGGGTTTAATTTGAAAGTAGTTTGGGTGTTTTCTTTATGTAATACCCAGTTGTTTTAATATATATGACAGATGATACTGAAGTTGGTTATAATGCTGTATTTTATAATGATGTTACAACTATATTAGAAGATATGGTTTTACAACAAGGGTAAGTTTTATCATAGGAATTTACAGACATTTTGTTATAGTAGAATACATGAATCACAAAATGAATTTTAAAAATCGTTTCATGCATCCACCACAGCAAGGTAGATCATGATGTGCCACATCGGGCTAGGGCGGATTTCAAGCGTGAATTTTATTGTTATTATTATTATTGTTGTTTCATTTATATAGCGTGTCATTACATACAAGTGTTTCTAAGCACATTCACAACAAAAACAATTCCAAAAACATTTTTGAAATAAATGTGTTTTTAAGTTAATCTCAGAGTTCTTGATAGTCGTTGTACTGAAAGTAGTCATATATTTTGGTATCGTTATATATTTTGGTCTCTTATGATGTCTCTTATGATGTGCCCAATTGGAAGAATGTAGAGGAGAAAAAGTGGAGGTCCCAGTACAGATCCTTGTGGAAAGCCTATACAGACCTATTGATTTGTTACTGTTGTGTTCTATCTTGAAGATATGACTTTATGAAGATATGATTTTATATCAAAAAGTACAAAATTTATACCAAAAAGTACAAAATTTATATCAAAAATTACAAAATTAAATTTGACCCTTTCATTACTGGTCATTCTGGTTACCAAATGTCGCATTATATATATATATATACTCCACCCCTTTCATTTCACTTTTCTAGAATTGTGACATTGTAAGGAAAGAGTTAATTTTTGTTATTAAATTCATGCTTGGCATCTACCCTAGCCAGATGCAACAATTCATGATCTACCTTGCTGCGGTGGATGAAATGATTTTTAAAACTCTAATCCTGGTATCTGTTTGAGTTTCACGTCTCTACTATTATAGTATTTGTGATTTTATTGGGGCTGTGACCAGGGCCTTGATTTCTGGGTTTGAATTTAGTTATGGGCCGAGTAAAACCTTCAGGATTTTTAAGCCCAGCCATCACTGCTTGCTGTTATCCTGCTTTTTATGAATCCTTTACTTATCTGTAATTTTTATTTTATTTACAGTGGAACAGATAATATGTATAACATCAGTGGTTTCGATATTAACAGTAAAGTTTTAGCTTTTTCTGTTGATATGTTACATGAGAAGAAATTAAACCCACCAATAACATTAACATTTCAACATATGGCTGTGAGTAACATTTAATTTAACCTAGTATCAAACTTCATCTTCATCATTTTCATCATTTGTAATTTGACCATCGATTCGTTGTGTTATTCATAATGATAAATACTCCTTTTATGAGAACAGGGCTTGTATCACATTTGGTGACAGATGCAGTGGCTTAGTAAGGCTCTGGCTTGCCATCCAAGAGGGCCTTTTGCTATGGCCTTAGTTTAAGGAAACTAAGATTGGATTTACTTAAATGAAAGAAGTGATGAATTTGACATGCATTGATATTTTGTTCATCTTTCAGGAAAATTACTCAAATCCTCAATGTGTATTTTTGAATCTAAGACCACCGTAAGTAAAGACATTTTCAAATCTATTTAATTTTTCTTTTAAATCAGGTTGAATTATCGTAGGATTGAAAAACAATATTTCAAGTTGTAAGATAAAATGTGCTGCTATGTATTTCACATTTAATTGTCTTGAATCCACCAATTTTAATTGTGGGGGGAATTGTGGTTGTTCGGAAAGAAGTGAAATGGGCTTGACCTGTTTCGTCCCTCCATTTTGGTTTCATATTCATGGATCATTTCTCAGGAACCACTCAATATATCTGTAGGAACCCTTTGTTCACATATCAAGCAATTACAGCAATTACTCATTTTGCTAATTAGACACAATTCACACATTTTATCATTTTTGTGTTTCCATGGAAAGAAATTTGACTTTTCTTTTGTGCAAGGATGCATGATGTTGATTTATATATTAACTTGTACCTTGTTATTATAGATATGAGAATGTAGGAAGATGGTCAAGTGAAGGATGTATAGCAGAATCATCACCAGATTCTAATGTTACTATCTGTAAATGTGATCATTTAACTAACTTTGCAATTTTGATGAGCCCTGGCAAAACTGTAAGTTATCACCATACTAAAAACAACTGTTGGATATGGTTCACTCTTTTATTATATTTAAGTTAACTCTTGTAGGACTTAAAATATCAGTTGTCATTTATACTTAGATGAATCCCGCACTAAATGTATGTTTACACTTAGCCACTATAATAAGGAACCAAGATATGTTTATTTTTTGATTGACTTGATGCCCATCTGAAATAAGTTACCAATCTCATAATGTTATTCAATGACACTACCAGAGGAAACATAAGCAGACAGTCATACCAATTATTAATGAAGAGAAACTGTCATGGTTAATATTGTTCTCAGAACAGATACTGTTTACACTACTAATATTTAAATGTGCTGTTCTCAGAACGGTTCCGAGACCGCCTCCTATCAGTGATGCAGTTTGGAAGCGTTCTCAGAATGGGGTGCTTATGTTAGACCTTTATTTACTCAAAATTTAACCATTACATTCACTGAAATAGATAATAAACTCCAAGTCAGAATTAAGTTAGGTTAATTTAAATGAATTAAAAGTTTGATGTTGTTGTTTTTCTTCCAGCCTTTACATCATCAGGAAGCCTTGAGTATAATCTCCATTGTTGGTTGTGCTGTATCATTGTTCTGTTTATTACTTACTATATGTATCTACATTTACTTATGGAGGTATATATTCTTTATAAATTTAATATTTTAACTTTGATAATTAATTTTAGTATTATATTTTCCATGCACTTCTGTGAAAGCACTTCCGTCTTTATCAGATTTTGATTATATGACCTTTATATGCAAGAAATTTCAGATCAATATGGTGCAAATCCGGGACTATTTCTAGAATTAGTTTTCTTTAAAAATAGAATTATCTCCATTTTTATTTTTATTGTATCCATGTAAATAAAGAGTGATAAAGTTATAATATTTTAGCTATGTGAAGAGTGATACAGCTATAATATTAATGGTTATGTTATTTTATTTTAGCTATGTGAAGAGTGATAAAGCTTTAATATTAATGGTAACGTTATTTTATTTTAGATATGTGAAGAGTGATAAAGCTATAATATTAATGAACCTATGTGTAACATTGATCATTTCCTATGTTCTGTTCATCGGTGGTGTCAATCAAACAGAAAACAAGGTATGGTGTAACTACAGGTCATTTCTTTGTCCCTTTCTCACATAGTAATATCAGTCTGAATATGTTTCAGTTCTTAAACAGTTCCATAATTTAGTTAAATTTTGTCTTTAATATACGACAATACATTATAAATAAGACGAAATGAAATGGAGTTTAACATTGCACCGATTGGGCTAATTAGGATGGACACACCATGCAGGGTGCCATGAGGGGAATTTTGCCTGAACAGCAATGTTGCAGCCTACTCTTTATTTTGAAGTACAACCAGGGTTCTGTTAAGTGCACACAAGACATTGTTTTTTGTCCCATTTAAATGACCAGAGACTGCTCCTTGCCAAGCACTCCATCCTGCACCACGGACAATGGGAAACCACGCCTTAAAATCTGAGGAACTTTCTTGGTCAACACCGGGACCTGAGACCTCGTTAATGAGCTAGTGTCTTATTCACTGTGCCACCAAGGCTCACTAATACAATATAAATTGATAGCATAATGTGCAATGTGGAAAAAGTAAAAGTGGGTCTAGATATATAACCAGTGTACATTGCCTGCAGCAGGGTGGTTGGGTAATCAAATGGTTTTAACACATGCACTTTAGATCATAAGCTCTGTCATTGAGTCAAGTGTTGTGGTTTCAGTTTTCGTGATAAGAGAGAGAGAGAGAGAAATGGGGTTTAACGTCCACTCGACACAAACTAGGTCATTTCGGGACTAACATATGGTTTAATTTTATTTCAATAATTCGCTTGCGCATAGGGTCTTTAGCAGTGGGATCAAACCGGAGGACCCGGAGAAAACCCACGAGGTTGGACAGGCGACCCTACTCCTTGTCACGTACAACTGGGGATTCGAAACCACGCCAGTCGACTCAATGACAGACATTATGATACAGCGCGTGCACGCTAACCATTCAGCCATCCACCCCCACCCCCTTTCGTGATAAGAAGTTGGGCTGCCTGTCTTACCTTGTGGTTTTTTCCCAGATCCTCCAGTTTCCTCCCACCGCTGAAGATCCCTATGCATTACAAGCAAATTATTGAAATAAACTGAACCAAATGTTTGTCCTAAAATGACCTAGTTTGTATGGAGTGGACATTAAAACCATATTTCTCTCTCTTTCATCCCTTGTGTTTCAAATATTTAATTCTCAGTTTTATACTATATAGAGTTTAAACAACACTTCCAGAAATTTAGATTTGTTTATCCTTGTTATTATAGGATGTTTGCACAGCGGTGTCAGCTTTATTACATTTCTTCTATCTCGTGGTCTTCTTCCTCATGTTAGCTGAAGGTGTAGAGGTCTTTATATCAGTGGTTTATGTTTTCGCTACAAAATCAAGATTAAAATGGATTATGTTAGGAAGCTGGGGTAAATATTTACAACTCATGTAGTGATCGAAACTAAGTAGTTCCATTACAGTACTGTATGTTACACTGTAGCCAGTTTCCCCTCTTTTATTATTCAAATGGAATTTGGGTTTCAATAGAATGATATCTCGCTTCATCAACATGATATTTCAGATGTTGAAGAACAGATTCTCTTACATTGTGAGGATATTCATGTTACAATAGAACCAATCTGATTCAAATACAGATCTATATTTCATTTCGTTTTTTATACTTTCGATGGCCTACACTACATGATGGTCGTACGAGTGGCTTTTGACCTATGACGTCAGACATTGATTAATCAATCAGCGTTGAAATTTCTACTGGTTTACTCACAGTTCTGTGCATCGCACGCCAAGAACTTGCCGTAACAAAATGATAGGAGCAATCCCCAAACATATGGTACTCTTATCTACAATATGGAAATATAAATTTAATATGATTATTGTATAATTGTAGGTTTTCCAGCTTTAATAGTTGGTATATCACTAGGTGTAACACAATTAGAAGGATATGGAAACAAACACTTGTAAGTAATATTTACATACCTTACCCACACAGATTCTACTAAATCAGTTAATGTCCCCCTTCAGTGTCCAGGAGCCATGGTAGCTCACATCACTAACCATTGGGTCCTGGGTTAATTTTCTCAAGATTTTCAGAAATGGTTTCCCCTTGACAGTGATGCAGGACAAAGGGGCTGACACACAACTGTGTCTAGTTTTTTGGATGTGATGGTCACGCATGTGTACATGTTAGCATGCTAGTAAAAGAACCCTTAACAGTTGGAATTTGACAAAGATTATGCGAAAATGCTGCTGTCAGGACAAAATTTCCCTTAAAGTATACTGCATGCATGGCATATGTCCATCTTACTTAGCCCCGTTAGTGCAGAACAATAAGATGTTAAACCCCTTTTCATTTCATTTCCCTTTGAAGTTTCAGTTTCCTTTAATATCTTTAGACCAGGAACTGGTTTCCAAGAGTTACTCATTTTGATGTTCTTCTTCTTCTTGAAAAAAGTCATGGTTGTTCCTTGGAAAATCGAAAATCAATTGACAGACTTTGATTTTTGATGTCACAATTCCAAGATGGCTGCCAATACATCATTCTTGGTTCCTGGTCCATAGTACGCTCATACTTGTTTCTTTATTACTAAAGATGATATATTTGTTATTTTATAGTTGCTGGTTGTCTTTAGAATCAGGGTTGTTATGGGCATTTGTTGGACCGGCCATTTTTGTTATTGTGGTAAGTTATTTAACTATAATTATATTGAAGTTAAGTGATTTCATTTTAGTATTTTAAGATCGAATTACGCTATAATACGTTATTGAATTAAGATTCTGATACTTGATAAAATTATGTTATTAAAATCCTTGCATTTCAATTAAAAATCTTGACGGTTAAGTATTACATTGTTTTGAACTTTAATATAAGATCTACAAAATTGTTGTAATTCAAGATCAAATTCAGACATTTTGATAATTCAGGATAATATTCAATAAGTAATTTAGTTATATCAAGAGTTTTTTTTATTAAATAGGATATGTGTTATTATTACAGGTTAATATGTGTATCATGATAAAAGTATTAACTGTCATGTTTAGTACAACTACTATGGTAACTAAAACTATGAAGGAGAAGGGAAGGTAAGTTTTTCTCATTAGTCAAGAGAAATAGTTTGAATAGCCTTGAACAATTATTTGTATGCAGATATTGGAATATTTGATGAGCACTACTTACAGGACAATCAGTAATTTGAATCAAAATCTTTAGACACGGCAAGAAAATAGACTTTATGTTCACATTTTACGTTTAGATAATTACATCCAGTTCAAACTTTTGCTATCCCTGTAATTTTATTAAATTCATGTAAAGAATTTCGCTTTTTGACTACTAAGGAAGGCAGATATAAATATATACAGACAACTGTGAAATATAAAATCTAATATTTAATTGATATAATGTAAAGAGTGTGTTTTATGTTTTATTTTAGAACTGGAATAAAAGCTTTATGTGTTTTGTTACCTATCATGGGATTAACCTGGGTATTTGGTGTGTTCTCGGTTAATGAAGATTTAGTCACCTTTCAATATCTGTTTGCTATTTTTAACTCGCTACAGGTAAGTCATATTTGTGTTTTGTTACTACATGTTTAGTAATTGGCCCCAAGAACCATGGTGGTTCAGTGAGTAAGACGTTGGCTAGCTAAGCTGTAGGTTCTTCATTTCAGTACTTGGGTCGCCCAACCGCTGAAACTACTGATCCCTATAAGGAACGTATATTAGTTCTGTGACCCAGGCAGGTTGAGGTGGTCTGGAAAGCAGTAGGTTCAGGCTGTTTCGCAAATCGGCTATAAAAATCAATGTAAAAAAAACTTCTTTGCCCTAATTATTTCAGAAAAACATTGGTAGTCAATGTTTATAAAGTACTAAAGTCTATGCTTGTGGAATATTTATTATCATATTGATACTGTTTTTGTCTATACAACAAAGGTTTCAGGAACAGAAATAGTAGCTTAGTTCTGTGTATTATTCCGCGTTTATGGAATAGTGGTATTTTAGCGGTATGTGGAATGACCTGGATTTGAATTCTGGCATTTGCCAGAACAGTGTGCTACGAGGGAAATTTTGCCCGGACAGCGGCACTACAGCCTACTCTTTTATCGAATTCCAACTGTCAAGGGATCTTTTACGTGCATTCCAATTTGTACATGGGACCTTGGTTTTCTGTCCCATCCGAACGACTAGACAGTTGTCCTTGTCAGGCCCTCTGTCTTGCATCACTGACTAGGGTGAATCACGCCAGATATTCTGGATGAACTGTCCCGGCCAATGCAGGGATCGAACACCATAGCATCCCACCATAGAAAACAATAACTGTATGTTATTGTCAAAATGACCAAATATTGTATTGATGAGATGTTAAACTCCATTCCATGCCATTAATATGTAAGTGTGTGCTTAGAACATTTCAGTCACAAGCAATATTGTTTTACTTACAGGGTCTGTTTATTTTCATCTTCCATTGTCTGATGTGTAGACAGGTAAATATCATTTATATTTCACTTAAATCCTTTTTATTTGTCTGTAGAGTTACATCCTTGTTATTTGTCCAGTTACATCCTTGTTATCTGTCATTCCAGTTATATCATTGTTATTTATCCAGTTACAACCTTGTTATTTGTTTCTACATTTACATCATTGTTATTTGTCCAGTTACAACCTTTTTTTTTCTCTGCAGTTACATCCTTGTTATTTGTCTTTACAGTTACATCCTTGTTATTTGTCTCAACAGTTACATCCTGGTTATTTACATTACAGTTACATCCTTGTTAATTGTCTCTATAATTGCATCCTTGTTATTTATCTCTGTAGTTAAATCCTTGTTATTTGTCTTCAAAGTTACATCCTTGTTATTTATCTCTATAGATAAATCTTTTGTTATGTGTCTTCACAGTTACATCCTTGTTATTTGTCTCTGCAGTTAAATCTTTGTAATGTTGAACTTGTAATATTTTGTCTTTTGTAGCTAAAGATTTATAAACTAACACCTTTGAATTATAAGCCATAAGGTAGTGGACCTGTAGTGTTTGACTTTTTATACCCTTTGTTAGATTAGACAATTCTTTGTTAAGTTACAGTATGACTCAAATTTGGATATATTTCTCCTAATCTACTCACCCTTCATTTAATGAACATGAAATATCTATCTACAGGTTAAAGATGGGTTTAAGATTAAGAGAAGGCGGTACAGAGCTAAATCTGTTGATACTACAAAATCATTTACACAGGTACCTTTACATGTAAGTAATTAACTTATAATAATGCATCCCAACAACCCATTACTGAAGGTGTTAAAGGACTGTATTTAATGTTGCTGATCATCATTTGAATGATTTTAAATCAGTTTTAAAATTTCCGGATTATGAATGTAGAATCTCTAATTTCTATTCAGTATTTACCAAGATATGATGAATTTTCGTCATTCACTGCAATGTAAACAAGCCAGCAACACCTACAAGGGTTAGGTATAATCTTTTGATAGGCCTCTTTTTAATCCTATTGAATCCAATGCAGATTATCTACCAGTGAAATATGTTGAACAATCAAATAAGTAGTGAAAAATGTGTGATTGAGATCGGTGACTTTATCAAACAAAAGTGTAGAAATTCACACCATTTTTGAGGAATTGGTATGTGTCCATTTGTTTCAAACTTTGATTTAACATCCCTAGAATTATTTGCAGTTGTTTGAAACATATGGTGGTTAGATGTCTGAGTTGCCTAATATATATGCTTGAGATGATACGTAAGGTTGATCATTGAGTCAAGGGGCATAGTTTCGATATCAGGCTTGTACATGACAAAGAGAATGAGTCACTTGCCAAACCTTGTTGTTTTCCCCAGGTTCTCTTGCATCCCCCCACTGCAAGTCAAGTATTGAAATAATGTTCATACCGATTGAAACATTTTCTCATATTTAATTTATTTTTTTCAGAATCAATCTAGAAGCACTTCAGAAACAAATGATAAACCAACCAATGATCTAGATAAAAAGAGTAAGTTATTATAAACATACAATATTAAACTATTAAATTCCTGTAGGGTCCATAGGATGTTAAACACCAGTTCATTTCATATAGGTATCCAATTGAACAGTCAGTTGTCTCGACTAGACTTATTTATATATTTTTACCTTTGTATTTACAGCATCTCCATTCAACGAAATAGATAGACAGGTCCAACAATTGGCACTGGCACAAAAACTAGCCAAGGTTGACAACAATAATATTAAAGCCAATCAAAGGAAAGATAACATCGCACCTGATGACAAGGTGATTAACCAATCACGAACGATCTTTGACGATATACCTATCGAATCTGAGCCCGAGCCTGTTGTTCAGGAGCCAAAAACTTTCGAAGATATGTATGTATCAGTAAAAGATATAGATTTAAGAAAAACTATGGAGCGAGAAAAACGAGATTTTCCGAATAAACCAACTAATGCCAGTAAAGGTTTCTCATCCAGTGATCACTCCTCCAGAAAGCGCGAAGAGCCAGGTCCTCGTCCTGTCAGTCAGCACACTTATGATAAATTGTCACCCAGGGACGTAGGAATACCTCACGATTACACAAGACTTGATAAAAGTAAGACTAGACCCGGATATGACCCATTTGTAAACTCAACACAAGCTTTACCTAGAAAGATGCCTAGTATAGAAGATAACTCTAAACAACAAGGGTATTATCCCAGTTCATCAGATTACTTGGTAAGTTTTCAATATGTTAGTCATTCAATAAATTGGAGTCACAGGGATTCAGTGAATAAAGCACTGGCTTACTAGCCTGGGTTCATTACCAATGTTGGCCGAGACGTACAATACCTCAGGATTATCCAACCTGGTTTACCTTTGTCAGTGGTGCAGGACAGAGGGCCTGGCAAGGAACAGTATCTAGGCGTTCAAATGGCACGAAAAACCAAGATCCAGTGTACACCTTGACGTGCACATGAAACAAGCCTTGAATATTTGAATTAGAAATAAGAGTATGCTGTAATGCCACTGCCTTGGCAATATAACACACTGCATGAAATATATCATGCTTGTCTGTTGTTAGTATGGTTGGTGCAGAACACTAGCACACTAAATCCTATTTCATTCCATTAAGTTAATTAAGAAATTTGACATACAAGCGAAAGTAGACCGAAATAACTATAATCTTGCTGTCAATGTATAATCAGTTGAAGTTGAATCAATAACGATTTCACACCCAATTCTAACGTAGTTGTATCTTGTCACCGTCCCTTTCATTCAGGCTGTTCACATTTGGTTGTATTAACTTTACTAAAGTTAACTTCTTAATCCAGTTTATCAAATTTTCTAAGACAAACATGGACCCTGTCAATCTGGGTTGTTTTCACCAAAGTAATTCCAGATGTATGGCCCCTAACTGCTTATGATTTACTCAGTTATCAGATGGTCTCTATTAATTCTGAGCATTTTCTCAGATAATTGTATTTCATTCAATTCTTCTCATCAGATTTTTAGAAATAGTTAGTATTGGCGTAAAGATGGTGCAGATTGATTTGAATTCTAGAGTTATTGCTGATGACTTAAACAATTGTTGTTAGAATAATTATTTGTTCAAATTAGATTTTGCCCGATTTTTGAAAGTTATTACTGGGCTAAACATAATTCCTATCAACTTTTAAGCACTCTCAGAAAACTACCTTTAGATAGAGTTGCTGTTATGATTGTTGATAAAATGATAATACTCTCTTGTACTCGTTCTACATAGTTGTTCTTGACCAAAATTTGTATTGTGGTCTTTTTTTACTGGAAATGTACATAATCTGAAAACTTTGTTAATTTTTAAAAGGAGAAAAATCATGAGACAACGAGTCTTATTATATAGCATATTTTATGTTTTCAGCCTCAGACTGTGCCAGCTTTGAACCGTGATCTAAGTCCACCAAGACGACAAGAGTATAGTAAACCACCAGCAGTTGCACCTAAATCTAAGGTATGATGGACATTCTTCCACAGATAGATGGGTATTAATCTATATATTCATCAATGAGGATAACTGTGTATATCTAGCTAGATTGACTGAATTACATATTATTCTGTCCATCTCTTCTGTATTTCATCAGTTTTATTGATTTCTTTTTGTCTATTAAATAGGGTTTGTCCTTCATTCCGTCACACTTCTAGTGAATGAATTATAATCAAACTTGGCTTTTGCCTTCATTTTAATAGTCAATCACAACAGTTTGTCATCCCATAATTGATAGTTTCTATATTATGATCTGTAGTGTGCATGTTTGATTTCAAGAATTGATACCTAGTCCTTGCTTCCTTTATCCCTATATAGTGCTCAGTTAGCACTAAACATCCTCTCAAGAAAGTTACCTATCTGTGTTTTAAAACCATTGTTTACAAATGAAACAGCGTGTTATGTGTCTTATAAATTAATGATGGGTAGATATACAATTTTGTTTTCAATTACAGCCAAGACGAGATGAAGAAGATGATAATGGAGGTAATGCTTATGATGCTGTTGATGCCTATTATATTGGTCCTAAAACTAAACCATCAAAGGTATATAACCTACAATAAATTATTTATATTCTCAGACTGTCACAGACAAAGCCTGCATATAACTTGTGTACAGGTTTCACGAGTAGAGTTTTATGGTTTTAGTCATAGAGATAACTTACCAAGATGAAATTCACATTAACACAACTTGATTTTAACAATCAAGGTAGATTCTCTGCCGACCACACTATTCAACAGGATAGTTCAAAATTCCAGAAAAAAGAAAATTTGAGGAAAAAATAATCAAATTTATTCTTGTCGAAGTCCCAACCCAACAGGGGGTAAAATCATTTATGAAAATAAATTTTTGGGTATGGCTATATATATTAAAACAATTTGAAATTTTGAAAAAAAAATGAATTTGAGTATTTTATTCAGAATTTAATTTTCTGAAGAATATTTGAATTAGATAAAAGTCTATTATTTGTCTCTTAACTGTTAAAATCATTTGATATAAGAATACATTCATATTTGGAATGAGTATTTTTAATAACCAATGATTTATAGCTTAATATAAACCACTCATATATGTTATGCATTGAATAAGTTATTTATAATACATTTATAGGTGCAGGAATACCCAGCAAAAAGTAAAAAGAAAAGCTCATCTAATCCTAATCTCAGTCAACAGCCAACTTATCCTGAAGTAAGTATTGATTCAAATAATCTCAAACTAATTAATAGGCATATATTTTATTCATGATACAGAATAATTGTTTAATCTAACACTTGTTTATAAAATATATATTTTATTGATGAAAATAATAAAGAAATTACATCTTAATATTATTTTAAAAGAAAATTTGATAATTATGTATTTTAGCAATATCCACCAACTGATAAATGGGCCAAATTAAAAGAAAACAAAATGAAGGTCCAACAACCTTACAGGTAACTAAAATTCAGCAGAAATTCTCATTGGCTAATATATGTACTAGGATTTTTAATTTAGAGATTAACCCGTCCTCATCACTATCATTATCCCATCTGACATATTCATAAATTTGTCTTTTCTCGTTTAGGGGGGTTGAGTGGACTAACATATGAGTTTCAGATCATAATAGGTCTGGTATTGAGTCAAGTGGCGTGGTTTCAATCACAAGCTTTCACATGACAAGGAGTAGGGTCGTCTTACCAACCTCATGGGTTTTCTCTGATTCCTCAGACTGCTATACAAAAAGACCCTTGTGTGTGTGCAAGCAAATGATAGATGATTGAAATAAAATTGTTCTGTATGTTAGTCCCAAAATGATCTAGTTTGTGTTGAGTGGATGTTAAACCCTATTTCTCTCTTCAAATACTGTTATAGATGCTGCAGGAGGACTGCACAACAAAACATAAACAAAACAATTGATATACCGGTTGGTTCTCCGCAAAATTTCTCTCCTAGCACACTACAAGGTTTATGCTGTCATCATAATAGTGCAGAAAGTAAGACGTTAAACCCCATTTCATTTCTGATTTTCAAGATGAATTAATATATAAATTTATTATTTTATAGAGAGGGTCCCATGTACGACAGCAGACAACGTATGCAGAGTCATGATGATTTATCTGCCTACAAATCACATGTTTATCAACCATTTGTCGGGGTTCAGGCAGCCAGAGGACGGCCACAGCCTAGACCTGAACAAAGATATGATATGGGTTGGCAAGAACCTAGAAGCAATTATCGTTAATAAGTATTATTGCGCAAATGAATTATAAAGTAATCCATACAGAAGTTTTGCGGTCTGGATTTTTTTTTTATGTATAACATGGTGTAGGACGTATAAGACTTACAAAGACTACAACGACGAAGTAACTCCGAGCAATCTGCAAATAACTACTAGCAATTGTGTGAATGACAGACTTCCATGACTGTTAATGTTATCCGTTTATAAACATATTTTATGCAAATATGTAAAGATATATCAGCCAGAATTTATTTCATCTGGGATATAGATTTATACATAGGATGTAGGCCTGCTGATCAACAAGTACAGAACTAATTTTGTTATCATATTGATATAGTACCCATGTGACTAATACTGTTATACTAAATGGTAGTAATTAATACTTCCTGTATGGTGTATCCATTGGGAACCACAGAATTAAATTATTCAGCTGTGTATTTTAATGATAGATGATACAAGTAATATTCACCTGTGTTAAACTTTTTAGACTGTGTTATTTAGTGTATATTGACTTGTTTTAATAGTAAAAACACTAATAACGACTTCATTTACAAGGATCTAATGTATATTGTTGTTTGTGGTCAGTGTTGTTTTAACAGACTTTTGGGACCAATTCGCCTAACCTGCTATTTATTTACCAATATTGAGGTGTAGAAGGAGAAATTGACCTGTGAAATGGATTGAAAACAAGAAAGGAATGGATATTATTGGATTAAGTTATTGGTGTAATAATTATTCGGCATATAATTATATAAGATTGATATAATTTAGTGACATTTACAAGTTATTTCATGAATAATTTTTTTGTAAATATCAAGAATGGTGAAATGGGAACCACTAAGCTAAAATCAATCTAATAGAAAAAGTCATAATTATGGTTTAGGATAACCCTAGATTGGGATATTCCAAAATTGAAAATAATATTTATCAACTATATATAACAGAACCACATTTATAATGTTGTAAGTACAGATCTCTACCTGAGCAGAGAAGAATCATAGGCAAACCCAAGGAGAGGGGGTAGAGTCGGTATATTGCTCTGGGGCCCCATGAAGCCCCAGGGGTCCCATAAATATGTATTCAATTTTTTTTATGTTAACATGATCTGATCCCTGATGCCCTTCTCTGGAAGTGGGTGGGGGAAGGCGGCCAGAATTTGCCTTGCTTCGGCGCATAAAAATTCTCTCAGTGACCCTGCTTATATGGGTTTTCAAGACTGGTCCTCACCATCAACTCTCGACAGTTTGTATTTAAGGATGAAGAGTTGGCGAAAATTTTACTGCCCATGCAAAATCTTGTCTATGGCATTGCACACATGACCCCTAGAAACTAAATAACGTTATTCTTAGTCCCAAAATGACTTTAGTATTGTGTTGACAAGACTTTAAAACTCCATTCCTTTCCGAACCATATTTATTTCCCATTATCTACCCCCTGGCTGGCATTAATAGAGTCTATAATACAGGCTAATAAATATACAAAGACGATATATGACGTGTGTTCATATAAAATTGTGCAATTTACTGAACCGTAGAGACAATATGTCATCTCGCAATCATTTTAATCTGCTATATATGTAATGATGAATTAAATGGGTTATCTCCCCTTAATTAGAAAAAAAAGTTAAATTATCTGACAGTTGATAAGTCAAAAGACAATCTTTATTGTTATCTTTTTGGACTTGCAATCTCCAAAAACTAGTTCATTTACTTTCTGTTGTGTACTTTGATTTCTATGTTAAGATACAGATTGAAATAAAGGTGAATTTTTCTCAGGTAAGGGAGATAACCCATTTATTAATTGATCTATGATAGTCATCACAAATCAAGTACTTAATAACCAAGCAATAACAAATTTTATTATATAACAGTCTTTTAATAAAACAATAATTTGTAATTACATTTATTTTATATGCATGTAAACATTTTTTATATAAAGATCATCACAATAATCATTGACATATTTATATAAGTTTTTTTTTGTATCATCATTTTATATTTCTTTCATTCATTTGGAAACTAGAATAAATCATTTTTTATATTCAATATTGTTTTAAATAAAAGATATAAAACATTAAAAGGCTTCAAAAGATGTTAATTTTGATGAATATTCCATATTCAACAAAAGTAATAAATCCCAAACCAACGAATATTCAATATTCTCTGAAGTATCTCAATAATATTAAAATACGATACACAAAATCAATTAAGTTGTCTTTCATTTGTGTCTTAAGATATTTTATTTTATTGGATCAGATTTAAATAATGTAAAGTTGCATTGCTGTTGCATTTTAAATAGTATCTAAAAATAGATACAAATACAATACCTATATACTATAGATATTTATACAAAATAAATACTAATAATACTTTGTATCACAGGCATATTCTACTAACAAAAGTTCTAACCCTAAACCCATGAAGGTCATTCTTATATATTTGGGTTTGTGAAAATTCATTTCTCCAAAACCCTAAGCCTCAGTTTTGCTTTTATAGTATGTTTTATAATCCTGTGTGTAATATTTGGAGAAATGAGGCTTGCTACCATACATATAATGTAAAGACATATCTGTAGAATATTTACTAGCTGGAGGTTTTCTACCATATACCTCAGCTACTTCTCTCATGTAATGTGAGGCATTACCACAACATAATCCAACCACTTCAACGCCGATTTCTTTACATTGCTGGGCAAATTCTCTGACCTGATATCTGCTACACTGGAAGGCTGGTAAATTTTCGGGAAAAGCCATCAGATCTGGAAAATGGAAATTAAATAAATTTTACAAAGCTTGTCCAATCTGGGACAAGGCAAGAATAATGAAGGCACGTGTAGGAACAGCCACGGTAAAAGCACTGCATCGAGGTAACATTAGAAAACTACCATAAGAACAGTGTGCGTCGATAAACTAACTACTGAGCTGAGTAAACTATCTAAGATCTTAGATGCTAGTATTAAGGTTATAAGGGAGATGATTTTAGTAAACCAAATTTCAAGATCAGGTGAATCTCATAAACAAAACGATAGTAGTCCAAAGTTCATTCTTAAACTACCTGTAGAGGTAAGATAACTCCCTTAAACCATGCTAAGTTTTAATGTCGAATGCCAAGTTTTCAAGTAATGAAAAATCATAAGAAAAAAAACAAATGTCCTGATCAAAGAACTCTCTTCCATCAAGTGTTAGGTTCAAATGGTCAACACCAGATGGTCCAAGATCAGATCACTCTCTTTAACCAAGTGTTCTGATTCTAGAAATCCTTGATCCATCGATCCCGAAGAGGGAACTCGGGTTTCAATATCAGATAAGAGGACCATGAGTGTCAATTAAGACGAAATTACTACCACTAACACTTACTTGTATCTGGATCAACCAGTGATTGCATCATTGGTTGTTCTGGTGTAGTTCTGTATGGTACTGGTAGAGCACAAATTGGTCCCTGCAAGATACAACGTTCGAAATTGTTTGTTTAGTAGAGCAATGTGTAAAACATTTATGTAATCCAATATAGGCCTAACAATCTGAAGATTCGACCATAGGGAGTGATATCCCAATGGGGTCGTGGGTAAAAAGTTCTGCCTTTTTAACAATATCCTCCTGCCAACAGCACTAATCCGCCCTTTCAGGGACATTAGATTTATCTCAACGTATTAGCGACGTTCTCGTAGCTCAGCACATGCAACACCTACCACCACTATAAGCGGAATCTAGAAACATAAGTTGTAGCTAGAGAAGGAGATAACAGGAGACATAGATATATCATACTTGGTCTTTAAGGGGGCCATGGTGGCTCGGGTATTATGGCGTTGGCTCACCAACTCAAAGGTCCTGGATTCGATCACGGTGTTGGCCGAAAAAGTCAGTGGTACAGGACGAATAGAGTAGCAAAACAAGCGCCTTGTCCTTCGGGTGGAATTAAAGATCGACGTTCACCACTGAACTCGTTGGCATGCACATACAAGAACCCTTGGCAGGAGGAATTCGATGAAGCGGAAACGCCGCTGTACAAGTATAATTTCCCTCATAGCACACTGCATTTCGAATGCCCGTCTTCGTTAGTCAAATGGTACAGACAACTAGTATATTTAACCGAATTTCATTTCATTTCACTTTGTTTTGTTCTTTTTTTTTAAATTTCAACCGATCTTCTACCTACCTTACACATTTCTCTTATTTTCCTCATTAAAGGTATCATTGTGGCCGGACCACGACTACAGTTGAGTCCAACAACATCAGCGCCTCCATCTTCTAATCTTTTACAGGCCACATCAAACGGTACTCCATCACAGGTTGTGTCTATAGCTGATGGTGCTATATTTATTACAGATGGAATACCTATATATCAGAAAAATAACTATAACTCTTTTTATATACTGCTTTTTTTCCTTTTCGGGATTAATTTAAAAATCACATACACATTCAGATGAAAACTCTTTTATCTTTACATGTTAGTTATTATTGGATGAATATTTTTGTGAACTTCAAGAACTGGGAAATGGGAACCACTAAAAAGAAGTAATTCGCGTTGTAATAACCCTAGATTGGGATATTGCAAAATTAAAAATAGTATTTATCAACTACATGTATAACAGAACCACAATGGAGCGGGAGGGGGCAAACTTTGTCTTACTCCGGCACATAAAAATTCTCTCTCTTTTTTTTTGCCTACTAATTCATGAGTTTTAAACCTTTCAGAATATACTTACTACAGGTAATAAATTAACCAGATAGGAACAATTTTTATACGCCCACATTTTTATGTGGACGCATATTGTCGTCGCCCCTGTTCGATTTTGATGAAAATTAAAATATATGTTTATATCGGAAAGGTCTTGGATCCGTTCAATACTTGCGCGGATAGGACCCCCACTTTCTGGTTTATGGCCCCTGATTGTATTAAATATCGCATTTTTAGTTTGTTTTCTGTCCATATCTTGCAAAATGTGACCGTAAATTGCATGGCAACCGCTTGTTAACAATATATTTAGTTTAGATATAACATTCAAAAACGCTGCTTTATCAAATCCTGTATACGCTTACCTTTGCCGTACTGTTTAATACAATCTAAGGCCACTTCCGCTTCACCATAGTCTAAAAATGTTTCAGCAATGATTAAATCAGCGCCATACTGAACAGCCCATTCTATTTGTTCCTAAATAAAAGAAAAACGAGTGAATTTCTCTGAAGATTTACTCCGTTAAATGTGGAATTAATAATCCCGTTATGGCGTTGATATATTTCTTATGTGCTATACCAGAAGTCGAGAAAATCGGAAATATCGAGTAAAATTAATATGCCCATCCCGGGTTAAATAGGACATTGCGATCTACTCAATACTACCCAATACGGCACTATACACAAGAATAACTTACTTTAAATATAGATCTAGTTTCCTCTAACAGCTTTGGGTCATCTTTTTGATAAAGTGTCGTGTTACATATATTTCCCGCCATTAAAGTTCCAGTTTCGTCTGCTACTTCGCGTGCAATTTTCAGGGCATTTATGTTGAGTTTTTCCAACAGATGTTCTTTACCAATTAACCTCATCTTTTCACGGTGGCCATAATACTGAAACAAAATATAGAGCGTTGTTTATGTACCTCGGAAATGTTGAAATCTGTATAATAACGTCGGTTATCGCTTGATTACTTCAAAAAAATATTTCGTCTATATGCATTATTTTTTTTCTCTTTCGTTATAACTAAATTGTATTTCTTTATAACAAAATAATCATATAAACGTGTATTTTTATAATTAAATTATGAAAAAGATGGACACACCACGCATAAACAGCCAATGGCAAGACAAAACACGTACGGATATTGAAGGTTATTAATAACAAAAGTATTATCAAATGATTTCATGCAGCGAACATTATAAATTTGTGATTTTGTCGTCATAGATTCAAATTGTCTTTTAACTTTTACTTACTGTAAATGCCTGGACAACATCACTCCCGGCGTGGACAAATTCCTCATGGAGTTCTCGAACTCTGTTAGGAAAATCAAGAACTACTTCTGGTACGAAAGATCCAGCCTTGAGATAACCTCTTCTTTCAAACTCAAATAGATAACCTTCCGCTACTAGCACCACTTCACCACTCTTTATACGTTCCATAAAACCTGAAAAAAACGTAGATGGTTTTCGATACTTATACGATTGTCATTAGTTTGGCTTATTAACCACGACCAGAAGGTCGCAGATTCTAATGTTGGTGGAGAAGTAAACTCTACCCGATTTGCCAGTCTGTCAACGGAAAACTGTGTAGTCATTCGGATGGGACGAAAATCCAAGATTCTGTAAATACCATTGGTTAGTGACCCACATCGACCAGAACATTGACCAATCTATTACCCCATTAAAGCCACTGATAGTGCTGATTCGAAATGTTGCACTGTTTAAAGAACACCTGATACCACGTTAGTTAAAGACATAGATGAGGTCTATGACTAGTATACTTAAAATCTGTGGTTGATGTTAGATTTTAAATGTTCACATACGTAAAAAAAATATACTAAATTTCGTCGATAAGGTTAATGACAAAGATCTGGATCTCCAGCTTAGCATGTACTTACCTTTTACTGGCATCGTGATCTGAATTCTGCTTCCTTTTCAATGATATTTCAACTGCATTCGAGTGTTATTGTTTATTACGTTCATCGTCTACGTCCTTATATAGCATTTCAAACTGACCAACAACTGCTGGGGGTTTTTTAGTGTGTGTCACTACGCCAAAGTGGCATTTAAAGGTAAGGTTTGTTTTTTTTAAAAAAAATAGAAAATCATCTCCACAGTTGTCCATAAAAGTTGTGTATCAAATCAAGATTATTAAAATGGCCTTTTTTAAATTCCAATACAAATTAGACGATTCAGTTCACACATTTGAAAATATATCTATATTAATTGAATGGCTTCATTTTTTTTTTTTTTTTTTAATTGACAACTGTATCTTTAAAAGAAAGTAGTACCACAATATTTTGTATTATTTTTGTTTCCCATCGATTCGGTTAAAACTGCATTTGACCAGCAATATCTTTACAGATTGATATGGCGGGTTAACATAGATAAATGAACTGGATTGTTCTGGGTAAAACAGGTCTAATAGAAAATTAGCAGAAGTGAAGAATACATTTTCGAGTAACTTTGGATCCGGGATCGATCAATGGACCGCGTAAGGACTACAAGATCCGTTCCGTGCTGTGTTCGAGTGAAGAAAAGAGTACCCACCCCCTATAAAAACGAATATAGGTCTGTAAACTCATTTTCAGTGTACATTAAATAAAAAAAATCCATTAAATGTTATAATTGTATCACTTGCTTGATAAAGAAATGAAATGAGGTTTAAGGTCCTATTCTTCTGCACCGATTGGGCTAATAAACACGGACATACGCTATAAACTGTGCCATAAAGGAAATTTTGCCCGGATAGCGGCACTACGCCCTAGTCTTATGATGTTGAAATTCAGCTGTCAAGGAATCGTTTACGTGCACACGGGATCTCGGTTTTACGTTCTACCCGAACGACTATACGTTGTCCCTTTCCATGTCCTCCTGCCTGCATCATTGACCATGATGAACCGACTCGGAAAATCCAAAAGAACTTTCCCCGTCAACACAGTGATCGAACACGGGACCTCCATGCTAGCAAGTTAACTTCCTACTCGTTGAGCCACCGTGGCTCCCGTTTGGTAGTTTTTAAAACGTCGTTTAGTAATTGTATTATTCCATAGAATTCTGTCGTGTAAATTATTACATGCTGATCGATACACCCGAACCCCAACCAGCACCCCCTATTCGATTTGTTCGGGGCCTGATTACTGAACTATTGCGAACATAGACAATCATGACATTATGTGGCCAAACGCTTAACGGTCTAGTTCATCTGATTTGTAAGTATTACTTGAGACATGGTTAGTTCAAGGATATAATAATGGATGCCGTTACGGTTTCAACTTCACAGTGCTCTGTAACAGATCTCGGGTTCGTTCCCGGTGTTAGTCGACAAGTTCATTGTCAGTGTAGGATGGAGGACCTGGCAAGGAATAGTGTCTAGTCATTCAGAGGGGACGAGAAACCGAGGTCCCGTGTTCACATTGGGGTGCACGTAAAAGAACCCTTAACAGTTTGAATAAGAGTGGGCCGTAGTGCCGCTGTCCGGGCAACATTTATGATTATATTTTTAAAAAGAGTTGACATTAAGGGAGCCACGGTGTCTCGGTTGAGTTAGGCCCTGGTTCACTAACCAGGTGATTCCAGTTTCGATAACGGTGTTGGCCAAGAAAGTACCTCCGGATTGTAGCGGGTATGGTGTAGGTGTTCACTGCTCAGTCGCCAACCATTCATGAATATTATTGTTTCCATGCAGTGACTGCTGACAGAGCAGCAATTTTATACAATTCATCATACCTTATTAAAGAACTTAAAATCATTTAAAATTCACAAACGGTGGCCTTTAGATTTTTTATAATCTTTTAAAATAAAGATAAGGTTTAGTCGATGTTCGCGTTCTCGTCTCTCGTCTCTTCTTGTCGACAGTCTGTATGTTACGTCATTCAACCGTTTATTATGGAAGATTTGATAAAGACTTGGTTGATTATGGTCTGGATAAGTTAATTAATGTCTAATTAATAATTTAGATAACATTCCAGGCCTAAAGAAAGACCTGCAATAGACAGATTTAGCTCTTGCATAATTTGTGTTTAACGAAGCTCACTGGAAACCGCGGGGTTTTTCTTTGACGGAATCAAACTTGTTTTTTTAATAATCGACTCCGTCATAGTTGTAGATAATCAGAACAATAAGAGGACATCGGGGTCTGATTTACCTACTTGTGGGCACTAGGCCAAACTCATCAGTGGGCCCACAAATTTAACCCTCCAGTTGCCGACCACTGTTGGCCTATATTATTGTACAGGGACAACATACTCCGGGTCATATGCCTTTTGTTCATGGGAGCTTATGTTTTTGAATTATATAATGAAAAACCCGTAGTTCATTTTAAACAAGGTTATACACTGATACGCTGCGCGACAAATTAGTTTTACCTGGCCCCCAGATACCCATGGGCCCCAGGCAAATGGTCTACAATGCCCATAAGGAAATCTGACCCCTAGTAATCTCCACAACAGGCGGGTGCGGATAAATAGGGTTTAACGACCACCCGACACAAACTAGCAGCAGTAGCAGGCGTCTTCACCAGTGGGAAGAAACCGGAGGAACCGAAGCCTACTCCTTGTCACGTACAAGCGGGGAATCTAAACTTGACTCAATGACAGACCTTATGACCTCAAGCGCACGCGTTAAACAATTCGGCCACCCAACCCCCTCTACAATAGGGACTTTAACGTCTTGCATGTCACCATTTCATTTTCACATATTGTTGCAGGTGGATAAATGGCCCAAAGGTATTTACCCTCTGTCCGTCACCTGATCCACCCGTCCGTTATCTGTACGTGATCAACTTCTGATTAGCCAGATGGATGTCAACAAACTTAGTTTGATATGGTGCCCCAGTGATACATAAAACAGTCGCCATTGTTAAAGTCGGTATTAAGATTCTTTCACACATGTTCGACTTCTCACTCATACTCCCCACAGTGTTTCGTTTGATTAGACCTAATCCGTGATTATTCGGGCTATTGCTTCAAGAATATGTTTCTAACTATGCATCAAAAAGATCCCCTGGCAGTTGGAATTTGATATAAGAGTAGGCGTATGCCCGTCTTCATTAGCTCAGAACAGTAAGGCGTTAACCCATATTTCATTTCATTCCATTTATTCTGACTATTTGCTTTTTATAAACCAAATTAGTATGTTGCTTGGGCGATGCTTTTAGACACAGTTGGACATTTTAGTCTTTATTCTTACAAATCCTTTATTGAATAACAACACGCATTTTTCGCATTTTTTAGATTTCTATCTGGCAAAGGTTCTTTTACATGCACGTCAATGTTGTCATCGGTATCTTGTCCCAGATACACTTTTATTGGAAGCCCTGACTTTAAAAATCACGACGGACCTTCTCGGCCCATGCCGAACCCGGTACAAATGACAAACACCTGTTAAAATGGAAGAGGCAATGGTGTTCAGCAGTATATAATGTATATAATACGGTATGTGTTACCAAATGGAAATATCTGATTTGTAAATACAATTATTTTCATAAGGCCAATGATGCATATCCCCCGTAGTTTAATCCTATTCTGTTCAATTTAAACGTTTCTGGCAACACTATGAAATTATAACTGACGGGTTCTAGGGTAGCGTTGACTGGTAAAGTTAATTTGGGCATCACTGTGTTTGTTTAGGGTTAATTACGTTCTGTATTTAGAAATAGTTAAAAGATCTAGAATAGTTCTAATCTTGTTATGATATAATGTTGTTGATATAGATTATAAAAGCTGTCTGTGAACAATACCAAAATACACAGCTATATTTTTTTAAAGAATCCATGTCACTTGATTTGGATGAAAAATAATGTTATCAGTGTTTATTTGCTAGCTTAAAAGGGTGCATGCGTACCTTCCATATCTGAGGTTCACAGAGCTGGAGACAATGATAACATAGATCTGATTCATTGGGGGGGGGGGGGGAGCAAGAGTCTGTTAGTATGGTAGAATCGGGGGCCAATGTTCTCGTGTAGTTTTGGGGGCCCTTTTTTTTAATTTGGGTACCCTTTTTAGTCTTGAATTAATGTCGTTTTTGTGGAATCTCTTCGATTACCATACTAAATCTGTGCATAAGCTAGGAACATCAGGATATACTCTAGAAAACACCATTTACAATCATTTTGTTTAAAAATTTGTCGCAATATAGTAGATACCCCCACCTTATGGGGACAGACTTAGTCGGCGCCTGATCTAATATGGTGTTCAATAGTCAACAAGGAAAGCCAAAACGAAAACGGAATTTCTCTTAATATTTCGAATGGAAAATTTAATGAGATTGTCCCATCACCTATCAACATATCACCTAGATTATCACATCTTTTATCTTGAATTAAATCAACTAGTTTTAGCTCCTTTAAATTTGATTTGTATTTCATCGTAGGTGTAAATGGAACAAGACCTTGCTTCACCGACTTCGCCAATCGCATAGTCTGGAAACAATCCTCTTTTATCCCAAAATAACTAGAGATCACACTCGTCTGGAACAGTATTTTTTGTGTACAGACTAAGGAAAGCGTGGGAGACACGCAACAACCATGATAAAACAGTGGGTTAAGATACTACGGTTGTACCCACGCTGTGTCCTGATAAAGGAACGGAACGGCATTTAACAATGGTGTATGCAGCTCTGGACAAAGCCCCACCGGGAAAAGTTTGTGACCACGCCCCCAATACACTCCCTTTTTTCACCAAGTGGATTGCGTTTTTGTGAGCTTCTCGAAAACCACCATACAGCCGTATGGTTTTTAACGTCGCTTCATCATAAATATATTCCATTGTTTTGAGAAAAACATATGGTTATTTTGTACACTACTAGTGGCGTGGTTTCGAATCCCTGCTTGTACGTGACAAGGAGTAGTTTTGCCTGTCCAACTTCTTGGGTTTTTTCCGGTTTCCTTCCATTGCTAAAGACCCCTACGCGCCAGCGAATTATTGAAATAAAATTGAACCATATGTTAGTCCCGAAATGGCCTAGTTTGTGTCAAGTTGGCGTTAAACTCCATTTCTCTCTCTCTCTGGTTGTTGAGTGGTCGAATAGATTATAAGGTCTGTCATTACAGTGTCATTGAGTCAAGTGGCATGGTTTTGAATCCCCGCTTGAGCGAGACAAGGAGTGAGATGGCCTGTCCAAACTCGTGTGTTTTCTCCGGGTACCCCGGTTTCCTCACACAGCTAAAGACCTTTACGCGGAATGTATTAATGAAATGAAATAAAAACCTTAATGACCTAGTTTGTGCCGAAAAAACGTACCCCCCATCTCTCTCTCTCTCTCTCTCTCTCTCTCTCTCTCTCTGGTCTGAATCAATATAATTAACATTACATCATACTTTATTTCTTTTTCGATTTAATCGAATTAGTTTAATTAATCGAAAAAATATTGAAATTAATCCTTTTATAATGTGATTCCGTTACCATCGATTCCCAATATATTATACAGACATTTCTATTTAAGATGGGACGAAAAGAACCCGAGACAGTCCGAATTCGGAATAAGAGTAGGTCGTAGCGCCGCTGTCTGTGCAAAACTTCCCTCATAGCACACGCATAGCGTATGGCCGTCTTCATTAGCCCAGTCGGTGCAGAAAAATAGGACGTTAAACTCCATTTCATTTCCAATGTATATCTTAATATACTCAATATAAGTGTGACTTGGTGGTATTTTATCCTAGATGAATATAGTGTAGTGGATTTCCTATGATATTTTTATTCAATAGTTATACACTTATATTCATAATATACCTTTATATCTTTATTTTATATAAACATTGATGGAAATAGAAGTAATATCTAGAATTTATTCCGCGTTATTCTGGCTGACCGTTTCCAGTAAACCCTTTTGGTTATATAAACTGAAGTTAGACTTATTCCCAAAGACATAATGCTGTGACATATCTGGAGAAAACTTGCTGGAAGGTGGCTTTCGCCCGTACACCTCTGCTACAATACGTTGGAAATGGGATGAGTTGCCACAGCATAGCCCAACATACTGAATACCGATCTCTTTAGCTTCTTTAGCAAATTCTTCTATCTGGGTTCTACTACATAACTGTGCTGGTAGATCAATGGGAAACGATCGTTTACCTGCAATACGAAAATAAACAATATCTGAGAAGATTAGAAATGGAAGTATCATTTTCAAGAGAACCTTTTGAAGTACCTTTAAAGACCGCCGCAAAGTTTCAACATAGATCTCGAACATCCCACCCATCTGCCCATATGCGCCGATGGAGTAAGGGAATGTTGACATATTTCTGTTCAAGATTCAATATTTAATTTATCATGTTCTAAACGCGGTGTCGTTCAACCTACCCACCCAGGTCCGTGGATTATTCGCTTGGGCGCAAGTGTTGAAATTTTACGACGGCCCTTAAGATACATTTTATTGGCAAAATCCCTTCTTAGAGCAAACCATATTATCCATAAAATGTATCTTATATCGTTTAATATTTGTAGGTTATGAGAGCATCTTCAGTAAGCGAAAGATACCAGAAGACACGGGGAAAACCCAGGTGCTTAGGTGGGTGAACTTACTTCTTACACGCCTGTGTCCGTATTGGCTCGCGGTAGGCAATGGGCGGTAGGTAATGGGTAGTGTTTATGCTCATGGTAGGTAATGGGTAGTACCTATTGGATCGCGGTAGATAATGGGTGGTGCCTATATATGTGCACGTATTGGATCGCGGTAGGTAGTGTCTATATTGTGTCATTTGTGTGTCCGTAGTGGCTCGCGTGTCTATGTGTCCGTCTTGGATCGTGGTACCTGTTTCGGGATCTTTAAGTGACTGCATCGTAGCGTTCTCTGTAGTAGTTCGATAAGGGACGGGCAAAGCAGCTATTGGGCACTGAAATTAAATTAAATTAAATGGAAATACTCCAAATAGATTATATAATGATTTAGCATTCACCATAAAATATATAAAAGAAAAACACCTAGGTGATGCTAATTTTTTTGCTGATCTGTTTAATGAACATCCTTTTGGACTCCAAAAGAGCGTCGAATCTAAGTTGAGTGGCGTATCTACGCTATGGCCGGGGGGGGGGGGGGGGCACGTGCCGTGGGCGCCACCTAAAAGGGGTCGTTCTGACATTAAATCTCCATGGGTCAAAGCAGACTCTATGATCTTGCTCTGCTGGGTGTAGAAAGAGGTGCAACTGAACAAACTGATTATGACTACATCATAGACAAATTTATTTCATAAAGAAAGGAAGGTGCAATTGTCGTTTTCATGTAGTGCCACAATTTGCTGGTTAAACGATTAACGAAATTGACTTGTATTTTGGGCAGACTTTATGGTAAAGTTGTCTAAAAAAATTATGGATGTCTGATGTTTAGACAGGGGCACAATTTCAGTGCTTGCCATATGCGCTATTTTCTACAGATAAGCTACTGTCTTAGTAACCTTCAATTAAAAAAGTAATGACCATAATTTAAACCGGGTCAAACAGGCATTTAAAATCACGAACATCTAAATGGAAATGGATACAATGTCGATGAACTATAACAAGAAGAACTACCTTGCAAGCCTTTCTTATTTCACGCAATAGTGGTAACATCGTTGTCGGACCACGATGACAATTTAACCCAACTACATCCGCTCCAGCTAATTCCAGCTTCCGACAAGCCTCAGCATATGGTAGACCATCATGGGTTGTGTTTGTTGTCTGTGGAGCTAACATTACCACTGATGGTAGACCTGAATCATGAAAATATTCACCCAGTGATGGTCTGTATATTGAAAGATTAGTTCATATCTAAAATCACGAGTTTATGGTGCACACAAGGGGTATACAATAACTTTTAAAAAGCAAGGACTAGTACAACCCCCTGCAGTTATGTGGAAGAGGTAACGAATAAGCATGAACACTTGGAAGATGCTGTTGCGTTAATTCAAAAAGGCATTCGTAAACGAGGTGCAAAAAGCAATTATCCATAGGCGTATCTCTCATACGGCTGTCGTTAAATTCAAGAGGGCACGAGTACCAGAGCCACTGATAAATAATGATAAATAATGTTGTTATGGCCTCCTTGGGTGGGTGTTGTCGGTAAATGACCTTGCACAAATCATACCAAAAATTTGACTTCAGCTACATTATATCTCGATAATACTTCCAGTCAAATCAGTTCGTTAACATGTATTTTATATACTTACCATTACCGTATTGTTTAATACATTGTAAAGCTAGATCGGCTTCACTGTAATCACTAAATGTTTCCGCTACAATAAAATCAGCACCATACTGGACAGCCCACTCTATCTGTTCCTATAGCACATGATAAAATCTCAATAAATAACAGAACCGTTGTTCCATTCCTATATTTTAGTACATGCTACCACACATTGTTTACACGTTTGACAGGTCTAATAATAAACATCATTAGAATTATAATCCCATTCCTATATATGTCCCCTCCACCATTAACTTTAGTCGTCCACGATCTTCCCTTTGAGTACAACCAATTTAAGACTAAATAACATTATCACTCTCTATGCCAAGTGTCGTTCAACCGACCCAGATGAACGCAGACAAATGAAATGAAATGGAGGTTTAACGTCCTACTGGTCAGCTCTGACTGGGCTAATGAAGACGGGCATACAACTTTCATTGTGCTATGAGGGAAATTTTGCCCGGACATCGGCGCTACGGCCTACTCTTATATTGAATTCTAAATGCCAAGGGATCTTTTACGTGCACCCTAAAGTGTATACGGGACATCGGTTTTTCGTCCCATCCGTCTTACTCACTTAGTCACCTAGGCTCTCAGACATACACAAACCCTTTAATCAACATATTATATACCTTGAATATGGCCTTGGTTTTTCCTTGAGCATCGGGATTTCCAGCTTCATATATAGTTGTATTGCAAATATTTCCCGCCATTAAAGTCCCTGTCCTGTCTGCTACATCACGCGCAATTTTTAAAGCATCAACATTGAGTTGTTCCAACAGATGTTCTTTACCAATTAACCTCATCTTTTCACGGTGGCCATAATACTGAAAGATCAAACAATATTAAACCATAAAATTTAATTATTGTTTAAAAGTAGAAAGTAATTATATAATGATTCCATTCAAATGTAATACACGTGTCAGTTAACACGCCATGCCAATTAAGATGAGATGAGTCTAGTAAGGCAAACTATAGCTTAGGCTTTGAATATCTTGGGTATTGCAAACCCACTGCTCCACCTAGATTTAAGAAAAGTTAACTATAGTTCACATTTGAGTTTTCTATTATTTATTGTAGTTCACCTAAAGGATTAAAGTCTATATTGAGTTATCGTCCTTGGTTTGGGCTAGACCACACATCGAATTTGTTTTCTGGGTTTCAGTATGTTTAAAGTACAAGCGACAAATTTACGGGACACAAACCATATTGGTATAATATGATATATATTAGACGAACAGTGTTTACCGTAAAAGCCAACACCACATCACTTCCGGCATGAACAAATTCTTCATGAAGATTGCGAACTAGATGTGGATGATCTATAACAACTTCAGGTACAAACGAACCAGCTTTAAGATAACCTCTTCTCTCAAATTCAAACAGATAACCTTCCGCCACTATCAAACTACCGCCATTATTTAGACTCTCTAAAAGGCCTGAGAAAAACATAATCAAGATATTAATAGGGTTAAAATTCGCGAATGTTCCCCTGGAATTCCAGCTTGTTCCCCTAAACAGTTTTGCAGGAAAGCATTTAATCGGGAGGGAGGGGCAATGGAGGTCTCTGGTACACAGCATGGTTAGTGCACAAAATTTGAAAAGTAGGAAGTTAAACTTGACAGTGGGTGAGGTCAGAACAAAAAGTTAGTGCTGGTGTTAGAGTTCGTGTGAGTAAAAGAGTTATCCTGAGCCCTTTAATTTGATATTCAGGTTAGAAAAGGTTCCATTTTGGAAAATATATTAAATTTTAAAATTGAAAATCATGGTCAATTTCAATATCTAGTTTGTTCTATCTACCTTTAAGTACAAGTAGATAATTCACTGTATTGACCTCATCCAAATTTGTAACATTCTCTTGGCTTTTTTTACTCAAGTGAAGTTAATCACACACAAGTGTAACTATGATACTGTATATACCGTAGAGGTTATTTAAGTTCTCTAAATAATTTTCTGTCAGCTAGTACAAGTGACAATGAGAACCGAGCTAATGAGATATGCCATGTATATTAAAATCGGGCAATGACATCATAGTCTGGTAATCCAAATATGGTAATCCCATGCTTTAGAAATGTGAATACCAGTCCTCCTGCTGTCCATATTAGTACATTGTATTAAATCTGGGGTAGCTTCTGGGCAGCTGACCAATCAGATAAAGGAAGTCCCTGGTCAAATTCCCGGGGCTCAGTCCATGACTCATGCACGTATCCTCTTTATAAGAACGAGCGGGATTTAAGTTTCTTTAGGCATCATTTAGTATTCCCAGAAGGACGTTCCCATAGCCTCCTTGGCTGAGAGGCTGGGAAACAAACACCATTAAGAGTTCCTAGTAAAGACATCATTCATTTCAGACACCATTCAGACATGGTAGAGCGGTCCTCGGCTTAGAGGTTGGGATACCGACATCATGCGGGGTTCTTTGAAGAAATAGAGACAACATGCAGTGTTCCTAGTGGGACATACCTTTAGGGACCGAGGGAGATTACCATGTAGACTTAGAAGTAGCAAAACACAAGCTAGGGGATAAGGAACTAAAAGTTACTTAATAGCTTATATATAATGTCATAGCCGTGTGTGTAGTTCCCTGTATATAACCGTTGTATTATGTATTATTAAAAACATAGTATACAAACAAAGTGTTCCAGAGTCAATTGATCCTTGAAACTTTTTACACAACGAGGACGTCAAAGTTAATTCATAATTGATCGTTGTGTCACGTAACTCTAGTGTTTCCCTAATCTCAGCTCATGGAAGTTTTCCTATTTGTTTTAAGATGGGCTCCAATAGGACAGTACCTCTATCACCCTGGGTGATGTAAAAGTAAGATGTAAAGTTTTTGATAATTTTCATAAAATGTTGTTATTTTCCCCCCTAATATCATTTTTCCATATTAAAAGCCCTTGGGTATTGCAAACTCACTGTTCCACCAGGCTTTAAGTATTAAAGGGCGTCGTACAAGGTATACTTTCTATTTTCTTACACTAGTTTACATTTGAGTTTTGTATTATTGTAGTTCACTAGGTCTGCCCCGAGTCTGAAATTTGGGGTATAGGGGTAGCTCGGACCGGGGAGTAACATAGACCAGGTGGCGTTAGTCTACCACTTCCGGTTTCGGAGTTATGAACCCCGAGCGAAGTCTGTCTGTTCGGGGTTGGCGGCTACAATAGGTCTGCCCCGAGTCTGAAATTTGGGGTATAGGGGTAGCTCGGACCGGGGAGTAACATAGGCCAGGTGGCATTAGTCTACCACTTCCAGTTTCGGAGTTATGACCCCCGAGCGAAGCCGGTCTGTTCGGGGTTGGCGGCTACACTAGGTCTGCCCCGAGTCTGAAATTTGGGGTATAGGGGTAGCTCGGACCGAGGAGTAACATAGGCCAGGTGGCGTTAGTCTACCACTTCAGGTTTCGGAGTTATGACCCCCGAGCGAAGCCGGGTATCCTGCTAGTATTCTAATAAACGTAAAGCCGCTGATCGTCATTCGAGGGATTTTTAATCCCCCTGAAAACTACAATATTGTGGAATGGGTCTCATAAAAGGAATATCAGTTAAACAATTTTTAATTTCGTTCAGTACGGGTAATGGTCAAAACAAAGCAAAGCCATCTGTAACAATCACGGCTTTATATTTCTCATTGATTGAATATAGTATTCCGATTAACCAATTTCGTTTCCATACAAGCTTACCGGTTTAAAGTCTCGTTGCGTCATTTTAGCGCAACATGAATCCCTTGCAAAATACAATATTGTGAAAGATGAATCTCTAATTGGAATATCCATCAAAAATGGTGCAATTCCCTTCAGCATTTACAAATATAATATGTTGAATTGAAATTTTATCGATCTGTGCTGCAACGATATGTTTTAAGCCCACCGCCATTTTCTTGTATGCGAACAGATTTGATAGGTCTGTTTTAAATCTTATTGAATCCAACTTTCATTGTTTCCACAAACGCTTACCTGGTGTTGTCATGGTTCGTAGTTGTATAGTAATAAAGTGGATATACAACTATTTAGACCATTGCCACCGGGTTATCTTGCGAGATTTGCTGATGGTCATTGATCACTGACCTGACCTATACCATTAACATCACAGATGATACAATAACGTGGATCAAGCCAAACAAAAAATATCCGAGTTTACTGTTACCCGACCGATTATTTTTTCTTATCCGAAATAGCCAATCTTAAACTTTTTTTCTCATTTCCAAGGCCCTATAACTCGGTTTGGGCCTGGATTTCTGTAAAAAAAAGTCCAGCGCTGAAATTTCGGTATTATGTTCAATAACTTTACTGTGTAATTTCTAGAAATGCTAGGCAAAAATTAATACAAACATCAAGAACGGAAAGTAATAAAAAAATTAACAATATTTTCTGACCGTTCTATCCTATTTTGGGGGCGCCAAGTAACCGTAAACAAAGGTATATTTTTCCTTGGCCTCACATATTGCAGATTTTACGTCACACGTTTGCACTTTGTTTATTGAGATAAAAGTACTAATCTAATGACGTACGTATCAAAACTGATAGCCTGGAGGCTCAGTGCGGAGGGGTGTCCATCAAATGGGCATAAAACCAGACCCAACATTTCTATAGCAAAATTTTGCGTAGAATACGATGCCGAGTGGTAATCAGTCCGCCGCTGGGGCGTTTTCGAGATATTCGGGGTCAAAAGTCAGATGAGTTCAATAGCACTGAAAATGAATGCGCGGCCATTCTTTTATCATGAAAATAAGCTGAAAATGATCAAAAATAATCACCCTTTTAATAAAAATGTAAACTTGCTGAATTCAGCCTTGTTTTTTGTGACCCGGGGGTCAAAAGGTGAAAAGTTTCCGTTTTAGCACTAGAGAGATTTAAAGCAATAAATGTCAGCGTAAAATATAAAAGAGAGGGAGAGAAATGGGGTTTAACGTCCACTCGACACAAACTAGGTCATTTCGGGACTATAAAATATAAAAACTAAAGCGAAACCTGTTATTAATAGGAACATTTAAAATGTATCTTTAGGTGGTCTTAGCACCGAACTTTTACTTTGGAATGTGGGAAAAGATCTTGCATAACAGAACTAAAACACTTCGAAACCTATTTCAAAAATACATAAAAATGGTCAAATCAAAATCTCTCCCAATTAGTTTTACAGGGAATGCTATACATAATGATACTAGTTGTCTGAAAAAAACAATTGAATAGTTTCATGGATTGATCCCAGTCTGCAGGCCGCGTCACAAAGCCTGCCAAACCTTTCCCCGGTAACATTTACCAATACGACATTATATCCCGTAAGCTATTATGTACAATGCATCCGTGGGTTTTACCTGTGTCCATGTCAGATACATGTTTTCAGGTCACAGGTTAACGTCGGTTTTCCCAGATTGGGAATTCCGGAAATCCACGCGGCCTGCAGGCTGGAGTTCAACATGAAACTATTCAATTGTTTTTAGGACAACTAGAATTGTTATGAAACTAAATCGTGGCGATTTCGATTTGACAGTTTTTACGTATTTTTGAAACAGGTTTCGGAGTGTGTTGGTTCTGTGATGCAAGATTTTTTTCGACGCTCCAAAGTAAATATACGGTGCTAAGACCACCTAAAGATCAGTTTTAAATGTTCCTACTGTAAATTAGAACAGGTTTCGCTTTAGTTTTTATATTTTACGCTGTACTTTATTGCTTTAAATCTTCCTAGTGCAAAAACGGAAAAATCACCTTTTGACCATCGGGATCAATAAGACTAAAGGTGAATTTAACAAGTTTACATTTTTATTGAAAGAGTGATTACTTTCGATCATTTTCAGCATATTTTCATGATACAAGAATGGCTGCGCATTCACTTTCAGTGCAAATGACCTCATTTGACCTTTGACTCCGAATATCTCGAAAACGTCCCAATGGCGGACTGATTAACACTCGGCATCGTATTCTACACAATTTTACTACAGAAAAATTGGGTCTGGTTTTGTGCCCATTTGATGGACACCCCCGCGCACTGAGCCTCTGGTTTATGACGTGCGTGTATGGAATGTAATACCAATATGAGTTAATAGCACTGGGGAGTGGAATGGGGTATAACCATTTTGTGCACAGAGATCCATACTTCGTGCGGGTTGGATGGCCGAATGGTTAGGCGTGCGCGCTGTATCATAAGGTCTGTCATTGAGTCAACTGGCGTAGTATCGATTCCCCGATTTTATGTGACAAGGAGTAGTTCGATTGTCCAACCTCATGTTTTTTCTACCGGTCCTACGTTTTCCTAACTCCCACTGCTATTGAAGAGCAGTATTTTCATATTGCAGCTATATATTATAGGGACGGATAGGAACCGCCAGCTGACATCGTCCGATCAGAAACAGTTCGTAAAGGTACTAGCCGGAAAGCAGTTTTATTAAAGTTGACATAAGTTCATGTAATATTATGATTGTTATTGATTTTAGTATTAAATTTTTGTGAACCTTAGGGACAGTGGCTATCAAAAAACAGTCCTTTTTATTCACGATCGACGTTTAAGCCCACCAGTAGCTTGGTGTAATTTCGTCCATCTGATTTCATTACCCCGTAAAGTCTGCTGATCACAATTCTGTATTTCCAAAAGACAATTATTTCTAAATACATTTTTAATAATTAATGTTCTAAAAATAGATTTTACTCGCATAAAATAATAAATCGGCTATGCAAAATAAACAATTTCGAATTCTTGGAGGAGATATCCGCCGAGCTGGTTTCCCACAACATCATGTGGAATTCAGTTTTGCACAGATTGGGATTTCGGTTCCAAGACCACATAAATAAAAAGAGAGAGAGAATGGGGTTAAACGTCCACTCCGCACAAACTAGGTCATTTCGGGACTAACAACTAACATTATGGTTCAATTTTATTTTAATAATTCGCTTATGCGTAGGGGTCTTTAGCAGTGAGAGAAAACCGGAGGACCCGGAGAAAACCCACGAGGTTGTACAAGCGACCTACTCCTTGCCAAGAGAGCAATCTAAACCACGCCACTTGACTCAATGACAGACCTTATGATCAAACGCGCACACATTAACCATTCGCCGCCCCCCCCCCCCCCATACACACACACGCATATAAATAAGGCTATATTTCTTGTTGCTGAGACACGGGACGGCATAGCAAGCAGGAAACGTCTAGTCGTTAGGATGGGACGAAAAACCGAGGTCACGTGTACACATTGGCGTGCACGTAAAAGATCCCTTGACAGTTGGAATTCAACATAAGAGTAGGCCGTAGTGCCGATGTCCGGGCAAAATTTCCCTCATAGCACACTGTATGGCGTATGCCTGTCTTCATTAGCCCAGTTCGGAGCAGAACAGTAGAACGTTAAACCCCATTTCATTTCATTTCATTTCTAAATTCCATAAATTTTCTGAGGAAGATCTTCCCCACATATCGCTCGACGGAGCTGCTAGCTGTTATCCGGAATCTAAACCGGATTTATGGGGGGGGGGGGGCAGTTTTCTCTCACCTCTCCCCCAAAACCTGGAATTCACATAGTCGCAGAGTGGAATTTCTGTTCAAAAGCCACACAAATGTGGTTATATTGGACTAATGTCTTATTGCTTTACTCAGTGACCGGTATTGCAGGAAAACGTTTTGCGGCTGTTTTATTTTCACAATATCCTCGGAGAGGGCCCGCCCATACTCATTCAATGCAACGACGGAAATTTTTTCGGGCATTCCCATTCCTGCCCCCACCCTCCTGTGAAGTTCGGCACTTTTGCATGGGAAAGGGTGGAGATTTTTTTTCAAGCAAGTAGTAGAAATTATAAAATAGTCGCAACAGAATTCCATAGTAGACGAAATAAACAAATTGTTGTGTCACGAATAGAAGCTCAAAATGCACCTTAATTTAAGGGGGTAGATTCGTCGTTCGTCGCTCCTTCCGTACCCTGTGCTAGACTGGTTACTACAAAACGACTGGTACATTTGCCTGCGATATCACCCGTGGAAGCGATTGGAATTCCACGCTTAAAGCAGGGACGAGGTGGGGCTAAATAACAGATGCCAAACAACAAAACAGCGTCGCTCTTGGCAAACCATCAAAACCGGCGCCGCTCTTGGCGAACTATCAAAACCGGTGAATCTCGAGCGAGCCACCAAAACCAACTATCAAAACACGAGCGAGCCACCAAAACCGGTGTCGTTCTTATACGATTACCGAACTACGTCCACAAACGAAGACGGCGGCATATATTCCATTGACTCTATCTTATTCGCACCTGTCAGCACGTTTCATTTTTCACTGCCTGGACAAAAAATCTGCCGGTGCAGATAGAACCAAACCTCAACCCCAAGTTTGACTAATTTTATGGCCGAAAATGTTAGTACCAGGCCACCTCGTCCCTTGGTAAAACTTGGTAGGTAGAACAATGCGTCTCGCAGCCTGTGGTTCACGGTCTCTTCCCAAGGCGCAATTTCTGTTATGACCCAGTGTATGTGCCTCTTATCACTCCAGAATTTGCCGTTATATCATAACAATGGCATTATAAATAAACAAAAGAACATGTTCCTCATTTAACCATCAATTTAATTAATCTAGTCTTTAAAGCATTCTAAACTAATTACTTTCGTCGTGTTTTGTTTTTGAGGTGAATCTTTTCTTATAACCCTGTGTATAATGCTTTGAGAAATGAGCCTGGTTTCCATACATGAAGTGTAGAGACATATCTGTAGAATATTTACTAGCTGGAGGTTTTCTACCATAAACCTCAGCTACTTCTCTCATATAATGTGAAGCATTACCACAACATAATCCAACCACTTCAACGCCTATTTCTTTACATTGTTTAGCAAATTCTCTAATCTGATACCTGCTACACTGGAAGGCTGGTAAATTCTCAGGAAAAGCCATTTTATCTTTGAAAATAAAATATGAAACTAATTATGAAAATAAAATACGAGGTTGTGAATAAAATATACGAAACTAATTAAAAATTAAAAATACGAAACTAGTTATAAATAAATGAAATATAGGTCTATATCCCACAGATGTCGAATCCTTTTGATATTGGCATGTATCGGACCACAACTTTATGAATTATGGTCCCTGATTGTACGAAACTTGAAATGCATGTTTATAACCCACTAAATCTTGGTTCCTTTCGATATTCGTGAATATTGGATCGTAACTTCCTGAATTATGGCCCTTGATTGTACGAACAATCGCATTTTGAGCTTGTGGTCCCTATAGAGGTCACAATTTTTATCCGATTAAAAAAAACGTCTGAATATTTCACAGTTATACACTACTGATTGTCTGAGCTCGAATATCGTGAAAATCCGGCAAAAACTGACGGACATATCAAGGTTGGGGGCCCTCTAGAGGCCACGGTCAGTTTTATCCGATTTGGAAGAAACATTAAATATATGTTTTTATGATTAAGATCTTGGTTTCTGTGGATTCTCTAGAGGTCACATTATTTTTTCCGATTTTAAAGGACAATATTTGTGCCAGTCATTATCACATAATGTGATAGAACTGGTTAAACACGCTCCAAATATTATTTTATCACAGAGATCATTGCTTCGATAGATGCGTAATCAATGCTTCAACAATTGGAAGTGGCGAACGCAAAAGGAAAACACGAGTTATCCCTCTATATAACTGACTGAAGTGTCGAGTAATAACAGATACATGGGCGAATTTCTACTCACTAATCATTCCTTCGAATTGGTTTTAGCATGTTCTCTATCCATCTCTTGCAAATTGTGGGGCGTATCTTGCCGGGCAGCCGCTGGTTAAATTATAATTTCTAAACGTTTTTTTTTTATCATATAAATTAGTTTGTCGTTTTTGATATCCACTTTGAATTACTTACGCAGTGTCTTGTATAGGGTGTTTTTCTTTGTTCATTACAAATGGTCCGAAAAACAAATTGCGCAAGATCATAATGTAGTGGAGTGGGTGGTTGAATAGTCGTAAATGAAATGAAATGAAATGGGGTTTAAGATGCTACTGTTCTGCTCCTTCTGGGTTAATGAAGACGGGTATATTATTTATGACATACAGTGTGCTATGCTATGAGGGGGGGTTGGGGGCTGAATGGTTAGCGTGCGCGCGCTGTATCATAAAGTCTGTCATTGAGTCGACTGGCGTGGTTTCGAATCCCCGGTTGTACGTGACAAGGAGTAGGGTCGCCTGTCCAACCTCGTGGGTTTTCTCCGGGTACTCCGGTTTCCTCCCACTGCTAAAGACCCCTACGCGCAAGCGAATTATTGAAATAAAATTAAACTATATGTTAGTCCCGAAATGAACTAGTTTGTGTCGAGTGGACGTTAAACCCCATTTCTCTCTCTCTATCTCGCTCTCTCTCTCTCTCTCTCTCTCTCTCTCGCTATGCTACGGCCTACTCTTGTATCGAATTTTATTCGAATGAATGGACATTTTCTTTGCCAAACCCCGTGGCCTACACCAATGACAATGGAAATCCAGGGTGGAAAACACTGGGACCTCCTGGTTTCCAACGTTGTAATTACTTATTCTTCGTGGGTCCACAATTGAATCATATACTGTATAAGATAACGGGTAATAAACATGTACATGTAAATTTCGAATCAAATATCATTTTATTTTAACTTACTTGTATCTGGATCAACTAATGATTGCATTATTGGTTGTTCTGGTGTAGTTCTATATGGTACTGGTAGACATGCTATTGGTCCCTTTATAAATAGAAACATGCTTATTTAAAGTAAGACGAATACTACTTCGACAGAATACCCCTCTTTTGTGTAAACGACACTGATTTAATACAGTTTTCTTTAGTTATAAAATACAGGGCCCACTTGTTATTACACGGAAAGTTTATTACTGTAAATATTGCTTTTACGGTCCAAATGTATGCCTTGTTGATCTCGTCCATAGTTCCCCGCCAATTGAGGTCGTCTCAAACATGACACTACAAACGCGAGTTATAAATTAACTAGTCCACTCTTGCATTTATGTGGACTCCATTTTATAATATGTAACTCTGGTTTGTCCATAAACAAATCGATGAACCTGTATATATTCTCCTCTCATGGGCTGTAAGGTAATTGTTACAGCTTTGTAGACCCGTGTATTTTTTACAACTAGCTTTTAAAAGGGAGACCTGGATACGTAATGTGCATATATTTATTGATCTCCTACCTTACACATTTCTCTGACTTTTTTTATTAGAGGTATGATAGTACCAGGTCCACGGCTACAGTTTAGACCAACTACAGCTGCTCCTTTATCTTCTAACATTTTACAAGCCACGTCGATTGGTTTACCATCAAACGTTGTTTCTGTAGCTGGTGGTGTAAGGTTCACCAAAGCCGGAAGACCTGAATAGGGCAAGTAGAGATATTGAAAAGCGTTTTTAAAACTGTTTGCACGCCCCGTTCGCCCCATTTGCGTTCCAATTGTATAGTGTGGGAATGACACATTTCCTTTGCGCCTACTGGTGTCGGACTACCCGATACTGATATGAGGCTATGATACTCATTAGGTACGTCACGACTCGCCCCAGAATAGTCATTGTATTGGCGGCTTTAGTTAGAGTATTGAATTCGATGAAACTGTGTGTGTTGCACTTCTGCGTAAGGTAACCAAGGACATAAGTAAAATTATTAATTTCTAAGGGAATCTACCACTTCTTACAATCGAAATACTACCGTTTCCATATTTCTTGATACATTCCAACGCCAATTCAGCTTCCCCATAGTCAAGGAAAGTTTCAGCTATGATGAAATCAGCTCCATTACCTTCTGCCCATTGTATTTGTTCCTGAAAACAGAATTGATAGTAACATACGTTTTAAAACCATGTGCCGAGTACAGAGAAGGGTCTCGGGATTTGCAAGCCCAATACCCACGTGTCAGTAGGTATTGTCATTGGTGTAGGCCGCGGGGTTTCGCAATGAAAATGTCCATTCATTCGAATAAAATTCGATACAAGAGTAGGCCGTAGCGCCGCTGTGCGGGCACAATTTCCCTCATAGCATAGCACACTGTATGTCATAAATAATATACCCGTCTTCATTAACCCAGAAGGAGCATAACAGTAGCACGTTAAACCCCATTTCATTTCATTTCATTTACGACTATTCAAACCCCCACCCCACCGTCAATCGTCCCCTGCATCGAAATACACCTTACCTTAAACATGGCCTCGGTTTGTTCTGCAAGTTCTTGGTTATCTTTTTGGTATATAGTGGTGTTACAAATATTCCCTGCCATTAAGGTTCCTGTTCTATCTGCCACTCGTCGTGCGATTTTCAGCGCATCAATATTGAGTTTTTCTAGAAGGTGTTCTTTCCCGATCAGTCTCATCTTTTCACGGTGACCATAATACTAAAATATAAAAATTAATAAAAATGAAAATGTTTCTAAAGTTTGTATATGGTAATTTTAATTACGTAAAGGTATTTTGTATAATAATATGTATTTTGTATGCTGTCCTGATAGGACGTCTCTAGACAATAATTTGTGTTACAAATCATGATTTTTTGGATGGAAAGTTTGGATTTAGACGCCAAAGCTACTAGACAAATAACCACCATTAGTTATCAAAGATATTTGATTAGGAATAATAATGTTCGTCAAAATTGATATCAAGTGTTTAATCGGTTATGGTGGTCTTATTGCAGATTGGATGAATGTGGATTTATAATATAAGAGTCTAATTAAGTAAGACTTAAAATCTTTTGGTTTTCCAAATGTCGAGAATTTGACCGAATTCTCATTTGAATTATATACCACGTGGCTCGGGGAGAAACATACATTATCAAACGTACCGTAAATGCCTGGACTACGTCACTACCGGCATGGACAAATTCTTCGTGCAAATCTAGGACTCTCTCAGGAAATTCAAGAACTACTTCCGGTACGAAAGATCCAGCTTTGAGTAAACCTCTTCTCTCAAACTCAAAAAGATATCCTTCCGCTATTATCACATCTTCTCCTTCGGCTAACCGTTCTACTAAACCTAAAATATTTATATTAATCATTTCATTTTCCTCTTGTTAAAGGGTAATATTCTATACTTAATATGTAGGCCTGAGTGAAAGCACAATCCCTGCGAAGAAAACTCGCGGGAAGGAACACGTAAATGGATTATTTCTGGAAGCCATGGAGGCTTGTTGAGTATGATACTGGCCCAATAACTAGTAGGTCCCAGTTTCGACCCCGATAAATTTATTTGGGAATACCAGTGTGCGGAAACTGCCTCTCATAGCGCACTTCATGGTTTTTTTCCGGTAGCTAGATTGGCGCAGAGAAGTACGGCATATGCCCGGGACCAACTCCTCGAGTAGTACCGAGAATGTTTAGCTTGTACTGCTACAACGACGTAATTCTGCCTACAGAATTGGATGCCCGAGTCTGTCGCTGCCTCTGCCCCAACTGCGTTAAAACAAGATCATTTCATGGGGATGGGGTTCTTTGTCAAACATGACGTTTAAGTACAGCTTCATAATAACCCGTGTTATAACATACGGTTCACTTAGTTAAATAGTCACAGTATACCACTATGGCGATTACTATTCATGCGATCATGATACAAAAAAGCATCTTGTAATAAGAACTGTACCGTTTGTCGGGCGGTTTTTCCTCTAAGGGTTTTAGATGGCCATGTTTGAATCGAACACACATACTTACCTTTAGTGGGCATTTTGATATACTTATTAACAAATAGCTGCAGTTAATGTATTCTAAGTAAATATAAGTAAGAAGTCCTGAATCATTTATCTTTATACCAATTTGTTTTATCTTTATATTATATAGGGTACAATTATTTTGTTAAAGCTCCAGTACATGCAGGTTTTTTTTCTGAAAATTTGTTTATTTGCATAATAATACTTTATGGTACATACTAATTAGTCAATTAAGGCAAATCTCTAAAAGTGACCAAACTATAATATTTCTGTCTACATTTAAACAGTGTACACAGAATATAATTCTTCATTTTTAGATATAAGACCAATTTAAATGAGTATCTAATTTTTCTTCCAGAAAGAGAAAAAGATATCTTTATAGAAAACGGTGTGATAATATGAACACGGTATCGAAATTGGAATTTTATTTATTTTCCTATTTACGTACTTTCTAGAGCCACGGCAACTTTAAAATTCATACAATGTTCTTTGATATGTATTTACTTGTTGACCGTCTTACATAATGATAACAGTACAAACATCAATCTATTTTAGTTATAGTAACGTGGCCTCATCGGCCTATCTTTTATCTTTAAATGTTCAAACTTTGTTTTGTTGACTTGCGTAGATTTAAGATTAAGTAGTTAAAGATACTCTACCACATAGACAGCTCCTTATTCAGAACTCTGCATGGAGAAACTAAAAAGTATATTTTCATTTATAAAGTTTGAAAAAGCCAAAGTAAATATAATTGATTCTTTTTCCTCACTTCTATTTGTCAGAATATCGCTACAATATTGAGTAAATATATGGAAAAGAAAAGGAAATGGCACAAACTGTTATAATGTATCATGTAACAAATTATACTTATTAGTGATCTTTATCAGAAAAACTTTATGCTCGGTAAGACTTTTGATCGAACCCCACACCGCCATTGCACTATACGACTGTATCTATTACGGGTTGATCTCCTCTATCATGAAGTGATGATGCCACTCCTATGAATTGTTACATGAAACTAAAGTGACACCATTTCTTTTCTTATTTTATAAAAAAAGTTACACTATTTTGAAGTAGGGATATATGGAAGTGATGATAAAGTCATATCAAATATGCAAATTACGTTTCTGTGAAGTGTACACTGTATGAATACTTCAATAATCTCGCGTCTTACGCAATAGAGCGTCCTTTCTTGATCCAGGGCCATCACAAGCCTATGTGGCACCCCCGGACAAAAGTTTCAGTGACGCATTCCCCCCCCCCCTCCTTAGTTGACTTTTTATTTATGATTAAACATACATTATGCGAGAGCTAATCTACCTGTTACAGATCTTTCTTTGGGCTGAAATTAGACATTAATTAGACATTAATTAACTTATCCAGACCATAATCAACTTTCGATGCCATCGCCAGGCTGCGGTATTTAGCGGATTGGAATACATTTTTTGAAAAATAATTAAACATAAAAATAGATAATCGTTAGTACGATAATAAATAAAAGTCTCGATTATCCATTTTTACGTTAAATTATCCATCACAAAATGTATACAAATCCACTAAATATCGCAGGCTTACGATGACATCGAGGGTTGATTATGATCCGGATAAGTTAATTAATGCCTAATTTATAATTTAAATAAAATTTCAGGCCTAGAGAAATGCCTGCAATAAGTATCGAGAGTTGATTATGGTCTGGATATGTTAATTAATGTCTAATAACATTTCAAGCCTAAAGAAAGACCTGTCATAGGCAGATTTTGCTCTTGCATAATGCATGTTTAAATTTTTTGACCACTTCAACAGAGTGTTTATGTGTTTTATCACTTTAGTTAAACATTTTGCACATTTCAAGAGAGTGTTTATAGGTTATTTTATAGCTTCAGTTAAACACGTCTTGCACAGTTTAACAGAGAATATTTACCACTTGAGTAACAATTCTTGCACGCTGGCTAAAAATTCTAAGCCTATCGATGGTTTCCATAATGTGTTCAACCCTCTCTTGAGAGATGCCCACAACACTGGCAATATGTCAAGTTGGTCAATCGTCCATCAGCCATCACCATGTCCTGTGCCCGGGTGATGTGCCCTTGAATGGTTGCTGTTGATGGCCTTTCCAGGACGCCGGTCATCGTCAAGATTTAAATTCCACAGCCCACTTCTTTACTGTGGAAAAGGAATGGGCATCATCCCCAAAAGTGGAGACCATGTCGGCATGTATCTGTGTTGGGGTTAGTCAGTTCAGTTACAGGTAAGGTGGTCTGGTACGAAGACAATAATAGCACTTATGTCTATGATTCATTCAATGATTTTAATTGTTGGTGGCTAAAGTTTGTTTCAACCCAGTTGATCTATCCTTCTCAGGCTTAGAACTTTTCAGCCCGTCCTCGTATATGGAGTTTTTATCAATTCATCTAAACACGCCTGTCATAATGCTGCTAAGTATTTGTCAGGGGCGGAGGTGTTCATTTTGACCCAATGAGGGCCCCCCTCTCAGGAGTGGGTGGATGGGTGTTCGGGGTAAATGATGCTTTCTAAAGTATATCTTGCTGTTTCTAGCTTTGACACAAATGAGGCGTGCGACAGTCGCATCAATTCACTAAAAACGACGTAAAATTCAAGAGTAAAATTCCAAATCTAAAAAAGGGCCCAGAAATAAGTGAGATCATTAACGCATGGGCCTACCATACCTATGGGCTCCTTCTCAGTCCACCCTTGATATTGGTGCTAGGTGGGATTATAATACTTACATCAAACTGCACTTTTACTCTGTGTACGAGGGGATGGGGCAAAAACCGAAGTTCCATGTACACATTTGTATGCACGTAAAATAAATCTTGGCTGTTGGAATTCTAAGAAGCGCAGTGGGGAAACGCTTTGGCCGAAGATCCACCCTCCATCCCCCTATTTTACGTTTCATTGTTTATGTCCGACTTAATTATCCAGTCCTAACATAAAACATACAGAATACGAAATACCAAAGTTTTATTTCCAATCACAACAAAATTCACATACAATACAACACAATAAAGTTTCTAGCTCAATCATAACAACAAAATTCATAAAACACTATCCAGTCATAATAAAATTCATATTATTCAGCATAATAAAGTTTTCTGCTCGATAATAACCAAATTCATAAACAATTATCCAGTCATAATCAAATTCATATACAATAACCCAAGCATAACCAAATTCATATACAATATGAAATAATAAACTTGTATTACCCAATAATGGCCAAATTCATAATTTTACGATATGAAGTAATAAAGCAGTATGGCCCATTAATAACAATATCCATACAATTATCCAGTCATAAACACCATTGATATACAATACAAACTACTAAACTTCTATTGCCAAGTCATGACAAAAGCCATACAGAACATCCAATTGAATCCATGCAGGGGCATTATCTAGCGTTGGTATATTGATTTCTTAATTAAATGTTAAATAATCAATTTGAGTACATATTAGCGAAGATTAAGCAGTGAGAAATTTGTTTTTTTTTTAGAGAAAAATGCAAATGCCGCATCGTTACTTTAAGATGTAGGATAGAATTGTTTCTTGTGATCCTGTGTATAATATGTAGAGAAGTTAGGTTTGTTCCCGTACATATAATGTAGAGACATATCAGTAGAATATTTACTAGCTGGAGGTTTTCTACCATATACCTCAGCTATTTCTCTCATGTAATGTGAGGCATTACCACAACATAATCCAATCACTTCAACGCCTATTTCTTTACATTGTTTAGCAAATTCTCTAATCTGATACCTGCTACACTGGAAGGCTGGTAAATTCTCAGGAAAAGCCATTTTGTCTGTGAAACAAAAATAAGTAAACTTCAAATCTAAAGTATACAAATATGTCGTACAAATTATTCTGGCGAATAGGATAAACGAAAAATGTTGAATGATTCGGGGCTATAATCAGTTCAATGATCTAATCTGTACAGGAGGATAGATCTAATGATAGAAGAACGAGTTCGACTATTACTAGAACAACCCCGTGGTTTCTACTGAGCTTCTTCAAGTTGCGGCCATAAACGGTTGATTTAGGCGACACATGAACTGTCCAGGAGAAGAGACGGGATAAAAGTTCAGAGAATGAGAGTGGTTATTGGACCCTCTAAGATTAGAAACAGCTAGAGGTTTGCCATGCGATCTAGTGTAAGCCCGTCAGAATAAAAGTCGTCCAATGCTGATTGTTATTGTTGCTTTACATTGACTTGTACACCAGAACGCCCGTAAACTAGCGTGATTCGTCATAGTTCCCATAACTTTTATAGTACAATTCGAATTTTATGACCAATAATGAACAATCCCTCCACCGTTTCAAAGATTCAATCCCGTGTCGTGTTTACAAGCTGTACAATCAAAAATATAAATAGAGAGGTGGATTCCAGATTGATTCAGTAAAGCAATAACTTACTTGTATCTGGGTCAATAAGTGATTGCATCATTGGCTGTTCCAGTGTTGTTCTATATGGTACTGGGAGTGCTGCTATCGGCCCCTGAAAATATTATATGTTTCATTACATTAAAATTTGTGCTTACTTGTAATTTAACTGTGTCGCTTTCTCTTTATTTTTCTCCACTTTCAACTAAGTTCGGCCAACAAATTTTTACTTGCTGATAAAATCGACAAAACTAGATTAGGCCATAGACGTTTGTTGTGTTGAAGTACCAAGAACATAACTCTTGGTACTTGCTGATACAGTGATGATCTGGATGACTTTATGAACTTAATTAACGCTATGCCGAGCCTCAGGGTAAACAAATTGGCTTCCTTATACGTAGTGTAGCTTCCTAGCCAATAGTCACAGAAGCAGTCTGATCCTATTCCTACGCAAACTTTGCATACCTTACACATCTGTCTAATTTTTCTAATTTCCGGCAAAATTGAAACAGGTCCACGAACACAATTTAGACCAACTACAGCAGCTCCTCGATCTTCAAGCTTTTTACAACCAACATCAAATGGTACACCATCGCACATTGTTCCAATAGCTGGAGACCCCATATTTACAATTGCTGGCACACCTGAAATTAACATCAAACGGTCAACTGGCATGTTTTTATTTTCGTTGGTACGCTAGCTTAGGTAAATACAGTGGATCTATCACTAAAGTCCAAGTACACGTGTTAAAAATGAAAGTGGTTAACAGAAATTGTAAAAAAAACCAAAACATTTAAGCCAGAAAAACGGGGCCTGGTGTTAGCGCGTTCCATGCATAAGATATATATGTCAAAATATACTGTTGGGGGCCGTTCTAGCTACTTCCAAAACGACGACTTCGGGGGAAACAAAATGGCGAGGTGGTTTGTTTAAAGGAGCTAAATCGCTAACATTTGGGACCTAGAAATTCACAAAAGTGGGTCGGAACTCATATAATACTGTAATATGAATGTATATAAACTGATTTACATTTAATGGTTTCCGTTTTTACTCCAATTTCAAATCAGTAATGTTCGGCGAAATAAGTCAGCAATCTCAATCGAGTGCAAATTTCTAGCGTCTAGTTATTCTAGTCTACATAACTCCATTTGATTTGGTGCAATGTGTCTAGCCTCGTCCCTCGAGTCTCTCAATACAACTGGGGCTGAAGCGCATTATGGTAAACGATTCGTGTACCAATGTTAAAAAAATTATTTTATCTTAAATATCGGATATCAGAAGCTCATCTTTTCCCGGTAAGTTTACATCATCAAATTGACCAATAATTGATTTAAATTGGCCAATAATTCGTGTTTTCGATGTCGAAGATTTTGGAGGATTTTGAGTTACGGACTTAGGTCCTTTAAGTGAAGAAAAAAACGATTCACAATCTTATAATTATCGACAATTACCTTGACCGTACTTTTTGATACTCTCCAGAGCCAATTCTGCCTCGGCATATTCAAAAAACGTTTCTGCAATAATACAATCTGCACCATTAGCAACCGCCCATTCTATTTGTTCCTAAAATATAAGATATTGTAACCACAAAACAGCTAAATTGAACATGTCATTTTAAGAATAGCTGATATGGGTTAATAAAGCAATCCTATCCCTGGAGTGATTCTATCCCACCACACCGGAAATGACCTAGTTGTTTACGCCCGCTTAGTGCATTCTACACGTTTTTTAAATTATTATATTGTCGTTTGTGAATCAACCTTTACTAACTACTTCCACATTGTGTTGGAGGATCTGTTTTATTTGTTCATTACAAAATGGCACCCGAAACCATAGGGTACACGACTCGTGAACTGATTATAATTGTTAATTGTGTCATAAATATTGGATATTAGGATCCTTTACTATAGTTTCACGACAAGATAACAATATCCATTTTGATTGACATTGATCCATATTGAATTCTAAATCGTGTTTTTAATTTCAAATATTATAGAAAATATTGAGTTAGAGATTAGCTCCTTTAGGGTGTTTTTTTTTTTAAAAAAAGAGTAACCTACCTTAAACATAGCCTCAGATTGTTCTATCAGTTCGGGTTTGTCTTTCTGATAAAGTGTCGTGTTGCAGATATTTCCCGCCATTAAAGTTCCTGTCCTGTCTGCTACATCGCGCGCAATTTTCAAGGCATCAACATTGAGTTTTTCCAGGAGATGTTCTTTTCCAATTAATCTCAACTTTTCACGGTGACCATAATACTGAAGTTATAATATTAATTGTGATACATAAACATAATTCATATAACGTTTCTGAAGCAGGACATGGTTTCATACCCTTGGTAACCTTCTTGATCTTTATGGAGCGACGTTCTACAGTTGACATGAAACTTTAGAAGATTGCGCATCGGTTGACAATTCGAATTTTGATATGCCATCGCTCAATCAGTGTGGCCATCGCTATACCAAGATAGCGGCCACGAAGGTTCCTAATTCATATTAGTAAGACTGTGTTAAAGTCAATGATAAAATAAAGAAACCACTTACTGTCACCCATGATTTTGCATGAGGAACAAGATCCCGGTGGGGTGCCAGTCCCTCCCAGTGTCGCCGGAAAATATTGGACTGTGTGAAACATGCTATAGAGTCGATTTGTAGCATATCTGACCCACGTTATATGTTTAACACTGGTTAAGCTTATGTTTATGATTATAATGTTGAAAAAAACCGCATTGAAACCGCGTGATTTTTTGCCATTTGCGAGGGGGCGAAAAAACTCATGGAGGCGCAAAAACTCAAAACCATGACACAAAGCTCGTCATTGCGTCCCTCTCACTTAGCCCCTGCTTACTGTAAATGCTTGCACAACATCACTTCCCGCATGGACAAACTCTTCGTGAAGCTCTCGAACTCTTTCAGGATAATCAAGGACTACTTCCGGCACGAACGATCCAGCTTTGAGATAACCTCTTCTCTCAAACTCAAACAGATAACCCTCCGCTATTAACACATCTTCCCCACCACTTAAACGTTCCACAAGACCTGAAATTGTATGAAAAAACTTGTTGGTGCTTTCAAAACGCCATAATTCACATAAAGACATCGCCAAGAGCTACATGTTGAAACGCAAATCTTGTTGAACAGTTCAAATCACGACTGGGACACCCTGCTACCTAATTATGTTTACCCCCCCCCCCCCAATTCATTAAACGTAGCTCTGAATATTAACTTTAAAAAAAATTGTTATACAAAAGCGCCAAAAAACTCTGAATGCTATTCAGTCCGGACTGGCCTCAAACCTAAGTGAAAAATTTAAAAAACAATTGACATACATGTATTGTAAACCTTTGAATATAGAGTAGATCTCTCGGTGCGGCCTACTCAGTACGCCGGGATTGATCGACGGGAAGGTTGATGTCGGGTATTTCGCCCTTTATATGTCATAAAGTGGTAGTCCAGATTAAAGATCCTTTGAAAGTTGGAATTCGAATGCCCGTCTCAAAATTTTGCACTGACGACGACGAGAAGTTAAATGACGTTTCTTCCCTCAACTTACCTTTAGTAGGCATGGTAAAAATTAGAGAGTAGGCTATACACAATTTATCTGTTGATATAAGGTACTTAGGCCTCTTATAAATAGAGATAAAAAACGAATTACAACTTTTTCAAAAAGTAGGGAAAAACTTTACGCTTTTAATGCATCGAATTTCTTATTGGATACTATTGATCAATCTTTCAAGTCATACTTTGATATTATTTGTTGATCTTTTGATATCCGAAAAATAATTATTTTAGAATATAAAAAAAATCAGTCAGGTATTTTTGTATTTTCGCGTGTTGCACTATTTGAAAAGAAGTTCGTAGTTGATTTATCAGTGGGTAAAAGCAAGGACGTTGACGATTAAAACGGCTGATAACCCCATGCCTCAAGATTTCTTAAGCGATTTTGTTTCGCTAGTGGGGTAGTTCTGAATTATTTGGCACACAAATAAGATGTTTACAACAATGTTCGATTAAACGTGGCACCAGGGTTAGGTCTAAACATTAAGGTCACCTGCAGATTTCGTAGTCATGAGATGCTAACCCTAACCCAAGACCTAGCGCTAACCTTTACCCTAACCCTAAACCACAATCCTCGCAACAATCACGTGCCCTAACCCTGTTTACATCTCGTGACCGTGGCGACATCTGTAGGTGGGCATAATATTTAGATCTGACCGTGGCATCAGGTCCCGAGTTCACAAAGCATTCTCAGACTTAAGTTGAGAATTTACCCAAAATTGTTCATCTTATTTTAACTAATATATAGCCTCTTTATAAAACTTTTGTGTATCTGTATCAAAGATCGTGATTGAAGGTTAAGTAAATTCTGAAAATAAGTCTGAGGATGTTTTGTGAACTCGGGGCCAGGTGGTACTTGAGCCATCTTTAGTATGAATGCTGGTAATTACCACTTCTTAAGAACTAAAATTACATTGCCTCTGTGCTGCATCTTGTGCATCTATTTAGGTCGCAGTCGTTCCTAGTCAAATTTTATTCCGTTGCCTATGATTTGCCGTTTTGTGTGTTACAAGATCAATCATAATTAATATGTAATCTTATAACTCATATAGTTATTTTTATATGGGTGGTGGATGGCCGAATGGTTAGCGCGTGCGCGCTGTATCATAAGGTTTGTCATTGAGTCAACTGGCGTGGTTTCAATTCCCCGTTTGTACGTGACAAGGAGTAGGGTCGCCTGTCTGACCTCGTGGTTTTTCTTTATTTAGTTTTCAAGAGTCATTCTATGTGTCTATGACTAGTCAGTGTCTAAGGTTGTATGCCGTCTGTGACTTGGCATGTTTTAATTTTGCAAAATTCAAATATTTTTCATATATATTTAGCCTGGTGTGCCGCTATTTTTTCGTGCGTTTCAAGGTGTGTCGTTGCCCAAAAATGGTTGAGAACCACTGCCTTACAACCTAAAAATGATCCCTATTGATTTTGGTGCATGCATGACCACCGGACGCAGAGCCTCTACCATTCTTTTGTATTTGTTTGTCGCCTACAGTCTGCAGTTATTAAATAGATCGTCTGAAAATGTTGTATACTTAGTCCTTATACCCAAAAGATGACCCTTATTGTTTTTGGTGCATGCCCGACCCCCAGGGACAGAACCATGCCCAATTTTTGTATGTGTCTTTTTATCGCCGGGGGTTGGATGGCCGAATGGTTAGCACGTGCGTGCTGTATCATAAGGCCTGTCATTGAGTCAACTGGCGTGGTTTCAAATCCCCGGTTGTACGTGACAAGGAGTAGGGTATCTTGTCCAACCTCGTGGGTTTTCTCCGGGTCCTCAGGTTTCCTCCAACTGCTAAAGAACCCTACGCGCAAGCGAATTATTGAAATAAAATTAAACCATATATTAGTCCCGAAATGACCTAGTTTGTGTCGAATGGACGTTAAACCCCATCTCTCTTTTTATCGCCTACAGATCGTCTTGAAACCTTTAATACTTTTTCCTTATACCCTAAGGGGCATCCTTATTATTTTTTGTGCCACGTACATTTTCTCTTTGCGTGCCTGTGTGTCGCCTAAAAACCGCAATTCTTAATGGATAATATTGAAAATTGTTTATACCACCCAAGGGATAACCTCTAATGTTTTGGCTGCATGTCCGAATCCCAGGGACAGAGCTACGCACAATTTTTGGTGTGTTCACTACTGGTCGCATTTCGTAATGGATTGTCTTGGAACTTGTCATATGTATTGCTTATAGCCAACGGACGGCAACTATTGATTTTGGTGAATGTCCCGACGACAGGGGTAGAGCTACGCCTAATTTTTCTGTTTATCATAGACTGCAATTCTGAATGGATCATCTTGGAACTTGGCATATGTATTCCTTATAGCCTAAGAATGGCAACTATTGATTTTGGCGCATGTCCCGACTCCCAGGCCAAAGTCATCGCCAATTCTTGTGGTTTTTTTGTCTACAGGCCGAAATTCTGAATGGATCATCTTGGAACTTGGCATATTTATTCCTCATACTGTAAGGACAACAATTATTTATTATAGTTGAACACTCGGGGCCCTCACATAACCAAGGATCTCTATTACACAGGTTTACACAGGTTTAGGGTAAGCGAAGGCCGGTGATTTGTTATGTCAAAGAAGTGTCGCCCCGGACATATGCTCCCCTCAGCGTGTTAGAGACTAAAATGTTTAACACCTTTTTTTCAGATTTTGAGCAAAGCATTAGTGCTGTAAGAAGACGAAACCTGTTGATTTTCAGCAATCTAAGATCAGCATCCAATGTTTCCTTTCGGATAAGCTGCTGTTGAGACAGCTGTTGTGCGTCATTGCTAACGCCCTCTGGTGTAATAATGTTGATAAATTCATGATATTTTTCTGGACATTTTCATTTCAAGATTTTAACTTCAAGACTTTTTGAAACGTAGAAAATATTTTCATAAGAGTTCAAATTCCAGAATTGTTTTTGATACTTTCAGAAACCAATGAATTGATTTCTTTGTCGTGTAAAATTAAGAAATTATTTTTTAATTTAAATATTTAATGATATATAAAAGTTACCGATAAAACGCCGAAAATGAAACATAAAGTCAATTTTTTGTTTAAAATGTTGATTTTGTGCATGAAATGTTGACATAAGAATGTAGAAACAAGAATCATTAGTTTAGAATGTTGCGTTCATGTCTAAAATGTTCAAACTGGAATGTAGAAACAAGAATCATGAATATTGTCCCATTTGGTCTTCCATATTCAGATGCGCTATTTTCCGCATCCTGACTAGTAATCTTTTCGAATACATAGCGGATCGATGGAACTGAATATTAACATTGATCTCATAAATCGACATGCGATCACTTGTGGTATGTCCATGCTAGAAAAGATGGTACACCCGACAACCCTACCTTCCCCAACACTTGAAAATGCATGTCAAGGTCTCTACAAGTTCAAGACAGTTTGTACCAATTCGTCAACAATCAAACTGGACAGAACTCGTTTTTATCTACAGTAACTGATTACAAAACGGATATTTTGACAATTTGGCGTGCATATTAAAATACGGTGAATTAAAAATAGTTCACCTATATGATTAGAATATGGCCCGGAGTACTTCAATATTGGCAGGAGTCAATAAGCTTAATATCTAGTTTAAGATATGTGCGTCATATCTCTATAGTCGGGTGCAAAGTTGGACGCAGTGGAAACCCTTTATTACAGTTGAAACCAGTGACATTTATTAAAACAGTTTCGAAATGGAGTTGTTTGTCGTGCCACGCCCTAGAGGCAATTACGCTAGTTTGCAGATCTTCTCCTTCACCCTTGGCGAATTTTGCTACAACCCTGTTTTAGGTTGACTTTATCTTTTACAGAATCACCTGGGAAACAATATATTTTGTACTCCGTTTTGGGGAGGTATTTGAGCTCAAAGAGATGATTTACAGTAGCCCACAATAATTCCACTCAAGGACCATTTTTTTTATTATCTGAAACCCATCGTGAATGAAATGGGGTTTAACGGCCTACCTACTGTTCTGCTCCTAACCTGGGCTAATGAAGACGGGCATACACCAAACAGTGTGCTATGAGGGAAATATTGCACGGGCAGCGGCGCTACGGCCTACTCTTATATCGAATTCCAACTGCCAAGAGATCTTACACGGGACCTCGGTTTTTCGTCTCATCCGAAGGACTAGACAGCTGTCCTTGTCAGGCCCTCAGTTCTGCACCACTGACAAGGGGTAAACCAGGTCGGAAAATCCAGATGAACTTTCTCAGCCAATGCAGGGATCGAACACCCGACCCCCAGGATAGCGAGCCAGCATCTTAACCACCTAGCCACGGTGGCTCCCCGAAACCCATCGTAGTATATAATATGTTAGCGTCAACAAGCAGATGCGGACACATGATAAATGGACGGATGTGCATGGGAGACGGCAATATACGATCCCGTTTCAATATGAGCGTATCAAAATTATATTTTTGAAAGTTTTATTCAACAACAGTGAACTGGTGGTCAGTCGGACAGACGTGGATTACAACAATATACCAACCCATTTCAATATAATATGGCGTATGAAAAGTATATTTTTGAAAGCTTTATTCAACAACAGTATTATTCTACAACCATGTTACATAATGTATTTACACATAATGAATCAGAAACTAATGGTAGCTTTGATATACCTAACATTTAGTTTACTTTTATTTGCAGCTCTTAACAAAACCTGTACTCCATATTGGTATTGATTTATATTTTAAGACATAATTTATACAACCATAGTAAGACAAAACTAATTCATAAGCAGCAATATATATACATATATCTTTATGTAAAAAGTCAGTAACTTAAAGATTCACATATTCAAACACCAAACATATATTTTTATTTGAAAATATTATGTTTCTAACGACCAAGGAAATTAATTGATAGACCTAGGAAGTTTATTAATTCTGTAATAAATGCAATAACAATGGTATTTCTATATGTCTATCAGAACAGGTCTGCATTTTAACAGAGTTCAAGGACAGCTTGAGATAGTGTGACTACGGGTAGTTCGTATGCTGTTTGTACATCACAAATGATGGAACTGAAATTTAAATGACTGCTACTTGCCAGTCATTAAATTATGACAATAAAAATAATTAGGTTAGATTATATGGTAAGATGGTAAGATAATTACAAATGCCGTCTCAAAGAAACATAATTTTTTACCGAGTACTCTTTATAACCATACTGCAAACGTTTTAACTTAAGCATGCAAGTAAAGATCTTAGTAACACCCACCATAATGGGTAGGGTAGGTTAAAATTATCATATGAAAACGTAATACATTATAAATGATGTTCACTTATATCATCATGGCTATAGTATACAACAGAATCATTTTGAAAATTTTTCATCATGATTAATTAGCACTAACAAGTATTATTCTGTAAACATATTAAAACCATAGATCTTCTTGATATAAATTCATATCATTGTGCTGTGAAATCATACCACCAACTATTCATAAACCACATTTTATCACATCTTTCACTTCAAAATTGTGACGTATTTAGTTTCCCTGGGATAAGCTACATATTTTGTTCCAAATAATATGACAATCTTTAGAATAATCCCAGTTTAAATATATATTTCTAAGTCATCCATGTGTGCATATTTGGTTAAAATTTCAAAAATTAAATATTTGAAACTAAATGCTTTTGAGAAGAGCAACTAAGTACTTTTTGTTTTTTCCTGAAGAAATTGGAGGCAGAAATTCAAATTAGTGTGGCCTTATGATTATGTTTAAAAAACATTTAATGCTTTAGGTACTATGAGTATATTTGAACAGATTTGATTATCATGCATGAAGAACAATGAATGTCAACATTACCAATTCACAATACATGATTATATTTTATAATACAAATGAAAGCGAATTACCAATGAAGAAGAATGTTAAGTATACTTTACAAAAACATCACAGAAAACAATGAAAATGGTTAAGAAGGGTCTTCCCTATATATATACATACACAATAACGTAAACATGTGGTAACAAATATTTACACTGAATACTTTGTAAAAATGGAACACTCTCCTTAACAAACAGTCTGGTATATTCCTGTCTAAAAACATGTATAACCAGTCATCAATAAACTTTCTATATTTACATATAAACTTCAATAACAATGAAATAAAACTTTCGTCAAGTTGTTTGTGATCTCTCTTTAATCATCTTTACATTTCATGAATTCAAAAAATCAAACGGGAGAAATTCCACTTGTGGATTCCATTTTTAAATATCTAACAGACTATTCTACTACAACTGCGCTAACATATTAAGAAAATTTGGTGAAACACTATTCAAACTTTTTCTTTTTTTAATTTGTAAAAGTATAAATTTAATGTTATTTTATTATATTATTTTATTACAATATTGACTGTTTTATCTTTACACAATGTGTAGCAAAGCTCATTTCATGGTTTTGGGTTGTTTTTTTACTGAAATCTTCTGCTATCAATGTGTATATAATTCTCTTTAGAGATCGGAAAGGACTAGTTTGTCTAGAAATTGTTATTCTTTTGGATGAGAAAGCCAAAATAATCACAGCACCATCACCAATTCATTTACAAAATTAGCATTTATTTTGGTTGATATCTTCAAGTTAATTATTTAATATGTGGAAGGGTATGTTGTCTACCTATAGCTAATTATTACAACATAGGCTACTGCAAATAACAAGCAGCTTTCATCATCATATAGTACAGCTGCCATAGTAAGGGCTTTAGATATATTAAAAGCAAATTAAATAAAGCGTATTCAGGCGTTTCAAAACTTCTGGTGCCTCTGAGTTTATCCAACAATAATTTTTCTTTTTTATTGATATTATTTTATGTCTGGGACAAAGTTAAAAAATGTCAGGTGCTTGTTCATTAGTGTTTGACAATTTGTCTGGTACAAATAAGACTGTTATTTTCAGGTCTGACCTTGTTGTATCTTCACCTAATATCTTTTAGAGATGAGAAAACAGGCAGGAAGAACAGATAGATCTGCCAATCATAAAAGGAAGACAAATTACTTTCACAATAATAAAATATAAAAGTCATAGGAAAAAAAGAAATGCTCAAAGTGTATAACATAATAAATCTTGATTTAAAAGTTTATTTATAAACATACTAGAAACCTGACCTCAAAAGCAATAAATTGTACAAAATATTTTGGTCAAAAAAAAAACTAGGCAGTGAATAAATGTTCCATAATAATCTCAGAAACAATAATAATGTCTAGAGCCAACCCAACTTTAAAGCCTTATATTTCTTAACTAAAAAGATTTCTTTTTTAAATATTTACTCACTCTGACCTGCAGAGCAAAAATCTTTCTATCAATCACTGGTCTTTGACTAGACGAACATCACTATATCTATCATACAAGATAAGAACCTTACAAACTCCATACCATATATCAACTATATGAATACATGAATTGGTATATTACATTGAAATATGTATATCTAATAGTTATAAATGCCCTCATAATGTCATTTTGATGCTGAGTGGTATTTGAGCTTTAAAATCTCACCAGTTAATTTGAATATGATTTATGATTTCTTATACAACATAATAGGCTGCAACAATCCACAACACAAAGCTAAATTTGATCCCGCAAAAACATATATAATAATAGCTAAATATCTGTCTGTCCTGTCATCGATCAACAATTGTTTCCCAAGTTAACTAATCAATAGTAACGTTTCGAGTTCCACTACAAATCGGATCACAAATCAGCCTTCAAGTTATACACAAACCTCATGAAAATGAGTTTTTCTCGATGTATTGTTGCAGTCCTACTACTACGACTGTTCTACATCACACAAGACTTGCCTGGGAGTATTCAAACCCAGCTAGAGAAGTACCGGGTTCGGGGAAGACCTGAGCACGTGATCGCCCACCATGGTAATTGATGTAGTCGGGACAAGGTGATGTACTAGTGTTGTCTTTAGACGTATTGCTGGCATTATAAACCTTATCAGTGTTGTTATTGGACCAGAAGGGTCCCTCTTGTTTTCTATTCGAGTCCTGAATCCGTGAATACAGAGGAATTGATTGATCAGTGCTTGTAGAATTATTATGACAATCAATACAATATCCAGGCGAATGAGGTGGGGAATCACATGCTTGCCCGTTGAATACAGGACTTGAATATATATCGCGATCTGGATGATTAGCTGGCCAACCACCAGGAACATTAGAGTCTGTCTCACGGTTTGAGTTGGTGTGATAATACGGAGCTTCTTCGGAACTAACGGATGGTCTGGGACTTCGTGGATTTCCGTTGGTCTCACTGCGTACCATGCTATATGGAGGTGGGTTGGAAGAGGAACTAGGATTTCTGGAACGTGGTGAGTCTGAGTAAGGAGTTACTTGGTTGAAGTTATATAGTGGATCTGACCGCATGCTTTGAGTCGTCTGGTGTGGTGGTAGTCCATACTGTTCTAATTCGGGAGCGTGGTTTATAAGTTGAATATATTGTGGTGCAGTTTTAGCCCTGGGGTTCAAATAACCCAAATGATCAAGTTCACTAACAGTTGGAGGAAGAGAGACAGGTGTGTAGTTAATTTGACCATTTGGATGAGTAGCATCAAAAGATACAGTTCGTTTTATTCTACCTGAAGTAGAGAGATCAACCACCAACTGAAAGTAAAAAATATATGTATTAAAAATTTTGACCAGATGAATGAACAGTCTTAATAGGGCCGTTGTAAAGCATGGACACGCTGCGCTGTTGCTCAAGGGATCCATGCTAATCTATATATGTTGTATTTTTGTTTAATATTATCGAGCATTTACATTTTTATTCCTGCAAGTGGTAGGAGACCCAGTGCACTGATTTCCCTGAGGGCGTATAATGCTGTTAAGACAACCATGAATCTTCAGCTTAGCCAGTATCGAAAAGCAAAATGCATGCATTAAATACCATGTGCTAAGCAAATTCTGATTTTCCTAGGATAATTTACATTTTGTATTAATCAATTTCGTAGATTTCCACTTTAGATTTAAAATCTGAAAAAAATGTGTGCATTGATTGTTTTTGTTCTTTTTTAGTATAGTTTAAGATTTATCATTTAATAAAATATACTAAAAGGAATAAACAAGCCAACAGTGAGGCTGATGTCCCCCGCCGAAATTGCAAAATAAATAGATGACACATATTAATTAATCGCACATTTATTTTTTTCACTAAGTTTCATCACTCTCTATCAGATAGAATCAAGATTATCTTGTCCCAAACCATCGACAAATGAAATCGATTAGCTCTGCTTAGCTTCAGCTCGAAATGTTAATTATTGAACTCAGTCAAGACATTCACCTAATGAACATCTACATATAATCAAGTTTAAACATTCACCTAATAGACACCTATGCCAAGTTTGAACATTCTACCTCAATTAGAAGGAGAGTTATTGTGTTCCAAAGTTTCTACCAATCAAATTGCTTATCACTCTGCTTACCCTCAGCAAAAAATGTTCATTATCGAACTTAGTTAAGGTATTCATATAATAAATCTATACACCAAGTTTCATCAATCTCACTTAATTAGAACTAAAGTTATCGTGTCCCAAAGCATCAACCAATCAAATTGCTTATCTCTGCTTACCCTAAGCGGAAAATGCTCATCTTCGAACTCCATCAAGGCATTGACCTAATCAACACATACACCAAGTTTGAACATTCTAGCTCAATTAGGAAGAGAGTTATCGTGCCCCTAAGCGGAAAATGCTCATCTTCGAACTCCATCAAGGCATTGACCTAATAAACACATACACCAAGTTTGAACATTCTAGCTCAATTAAAAGTTATCGTGTCCCAAAGCATCAACCAATCAAATTGCTTATCTCTGCTTACCCTAAGCGGAAAATGCTCATCTTCGAACTCCATCAAGGCATTGACCTAATCAACACATACACCAAGTTTGAACATTCTAGCCCAATTAGGAAGAGAGTAATCGTGTCCCAAAGCATCAACCAATCAAATTGCTTATCTCTGCTTACCCTAAGCGGAAAATGCTCATCTTCGAACTCCATCAAGGCATTGACCTAATAAACACATACACCAAGTTTGAACATTCTAGCTCAATTAGGAAGAGAGTTATTGTGTCCCAAAAAGTGTGACGGACAGACAGACGGACAGACAGACGGACAGACAGACGGGACAGACAGACGAACAGACAGACAGACAGACAGACGGACGAACCCATTTTAATAGTCCCCTGCTTTCTTCGAAAGGCGGGGGACAATAAAATCACTGAGATTAAAATCAACAGTCCTAGATCCACATAAAACCTTAAGTAGTTCCCATTTTAACCCCCACTTTAAAGCAAACACCTTATAATAAAGTCCTAGTATATATGCCTCCTACATAAAAACTTATGTAGCTCCTTATAGTTCCATTCAGTCCTTACCAAACAAATAAACACTTCAGAAAATCCCTGACCATTCAATATTTTAACCATTAATTTCACCATACCATTAATACCAACTTAGAATTCTACATATTAACACCAACTTAGAATTCTACATATTAACATAAATCAATTACACACCTTCTCACTGGATTGTTCAGCTCCACCCAATAAGTTCCTCAGACGCTTTTTCTTGCTTGTTGGCGTTAGCCGCACGGATCCACCCCCTGTAAATAACCATTCATCAATAATTATATAATATCAACTGTATCTATTCCATTTTGTTCAAGATGTTTATTCTATAACAAGATTTGTTAGTTTCTATAAGTCAGAAGCACAAATTAGTAGGTATACTGTTTGAATGGCATTTAGTAATTGAGCACATTAAAAAATAAACACAAAGTTATATGGATAACAATTACTATATTTCTATTAAAGCTACGTTTCAACAATGATTCTCTTGTCGTTTTCAAGCACAATGTGCTTGAAAACGACAAGAGAATCATTGTTGAAACGTAGCTTTAATAGAAATATAGTAATTGTTATCCATATAACTTTGTGTTTATTTTTTAAATTAGTAGGTAGCTATATTATCTACATACATGTATTATCAAAGGCAAGAAGTACCAAAATTAGAAGTTTCGATATGCCTTAATATACATGGCAATACTAAAAAAGCAAACTGGAGCACCCACAGGACACCAGTTAATTTAAAATGCTGTTTAGACACAATAAACTGTAATAGTAAAACTAAATCTAGTTTCCATGTCTGGACAACTTTTAAAATACCCTAGAGTATCTCTCTGATTATTCTCCAATCTACAACTACACATGCTAATTCCTGATCATTGTAAAATTGATAATTTTTGACTATGATCTTACAGCAAAAATATCCTAAAATACATTATATATTATGTCCTTTGATGAAATGGAATGTGAACATTGCATAAGGAATCATCAAATATGACATCAACAGCAAGACATGGTTATGTTGGTTGTATTCACTCTTAATGTACAAGGCTACTGTCATGGTGGGCTTATTTGGTCTCACTGTATAATCTTAAGGTCATGGTGGGCTTTTTCACAATCACTGCATAAGGCTATTGTCATGGTGGGCTGATTCAGTCTCACTGTATAAGGCTACTGTTACAGCAATGTGAAAATCCCACCCACTCACTCACTGACTACAGGACAAGATCATTTTTCATGACCTATAGGCCTACTGTTTGTACTGATCAAGATATTTTCCTGTACATGTTCCACCGTAGGGCTGTACGTAATTGCAAAAAGGGACGATATCGATATTGGCATTTTTTTCAACAATATAGTTAAAAATCGCGATATTTAATAATAATGTCACTTTGCTATTAAATAAATAAAATATAAATGGATTAGGCCTACTGACTGTCTACAGTGTGAGTTAGACTTGTTGGTAAGAATTGCTTTATTCATACACTTTAAACTTTGCTTTTTTTATAATATAGATTTATTAAAATGAACAAAACAACATCCTTTTTGGTTAAAAATTAAATACAACCGCTGATGTTTAAAAAGCGTCTGCTTGTGACCTTGTGTAAGAAAATTCTCAAATATCACCTGCAGCGGAAGTACGTAGGTGCGGTCTTCAAATCTTGTATTGCAGTAATCTATTTATAGATCGTTTTATTCTTGCTTTCAGAAATTAAGTTTTGTAGAGCTTTCTAAAAATATTCGTTTTTTAAAAATATGACAACCTATTTATAGCCTGGTAATTAGCCGCGGTAGTGGGAAATTTCAGGCATTTAGTAGAAGAAAGAAGAAACATTTCCAGTTACATGTGACGCCCAAACGCACCAATAGCTACCGCATGGAATGCAGGTGATGCTTGGGATCATCATGGGGGTCCAACCCAAGATTTGCACGACTCTGACTTTGAATGTTACAGTCATTGTGGCATTGAATTCCAGGGTGGAAACATCAGTTTAATTGTTTAAGTGACCAGAAAACAAATTTTGATATGCGTCGGCTTACCCAAAATGAAAGGTTACGTGCCCTTGGCATGCTACAGATCGGCACAACACAGGCGGTTGTGGCGCGGACGATGAATGTTTCTCAGTCTGTCATAAGCAGGCTATGGTCCAGATACCCTGATACACAATCTGTACAGGACAGACCACGCTCAGGTCGACCAAGGGCGACAACTCAAGCCCAGGATCGATTTATCCGTACCTTGGCCTTGAGAAATTGTGTCATCACAGCAAATCAGATCAGCGCTCGTCTTCAAACAGACACTGGTGTGAGAGTGAGTGGCCAGACGATCGGAATCGACTGCATAGGGGTCACCTTCGCGCCCGACGTCCTCGCGTGATCCCTTGTTTGAGAGATCATCACATTCAGGCAAGACGTCGTTGGTGTAGGGATCGTCAACACTGGGATTATCGACGCTGGAGCAATGTGATGTTTTCAGATGAGTCAAGGTTCACTGTTGATTTTTTGGACAGACGTAGGAGGGTGTGGCGTCGTCGAAACGAGCGCTTCCAAGACGTTAACGTCATCAGACATGATCGATTTGGGGGTGGTTCTGTTATGGTGTGGGGAGGCATCACTGTTGCTGGAAGAACGGCTTTACATGTTGTTGCAGGGCGTGTTACAGGCCAGTACTACCGGGACAACATCTTGGCAGTCCATGTTGTGCCGTTCGCACGACGTCATGGCCGCCGTTTCATCTTCCAGGATGACAACGCAAGATGTCACAGGGCCAGGATCGTTACAGGTTACCTCCAACAACAGAACATCACCACATTACCTTGGCCAGCACTGAGTCCCGACCTCTCCCCCATCGAGCATGTCTGGGACATGCTTGGACAGAGGTTACGTCAATGTCAACAACGTCCTGCCAATGTCCAAGAACTTGCTGCTGCGTTGCAACAGGAATGGGACAATCTGGACCAAAATGACCTTAGACGTCTCATTAGGAGTATGCCACGTCGGATCAATGCTTGTTTGGCAAACAGAGGAGGATTTACCCGTTACTGACTTGGTTGTGATGCTGTGGTAACTTTGCTGTTTGACCCCGGGTATCATTTTACCCTTATAATGGTCAGTATGTGCCTTACTTAGTCTAACGATCATTTGGAATAAATCGATGAATGTGAACTTCATTTCATTTTGTCATTTGTTTCTTCGTCAGTTTCATTAGGTGACTTTAATAACACTTAAAAATCAAATATCCCCTACTTTTTTTGAATAGTATAGTTTATTGCCGTCGGCTAATTTCCACTGCTGTATAGTGTATTTATTATCTATTTTTATGATATTTGTTTTCGATATTTGAAGTTTTTGGCGATATTCGATAAATTAAACCACTATATCGACGATTTTTGGACACATGATATCGTAGTTCGGTCTGAAAATACCATATTGCGATAAATGACTATATATCGAGAATATCGTACAGCCCTATTCCACCGTGAGACAAGATTTAAATTCATGCAATATTTGTGACCCATAATAGCAAAATGAGTCAGAAGTCACAAGTTTTTTTGGATATAAAGAAAAATGTTAAAGATAGGTTGCCAGGCAACGAAACATACGCCCACAGCAGCTAAATCGTCCGGGCAGTCAACAAGAGTTGTCACATATTTTTACTTTTTTCGGTAATGAAACATATATAATCTCATTAAGAGTAACAACTCATTAAGTAATTATCAGAAAACCATTAGAATTTGTTTGGTTTTTATAAAGTTCTGCCCCATACTAACATCTAGTATACAAAACTTTTAACATCATGAATTTATCTTTTCAAGTCATAAAAATTCATTGAAAATCAATATACTTGTTCGTCTCAAGACCTTAAACTCTGTGTATCAATCTGAAGTCAATTTCAAAGTGATCAATGTCCATAACGTTGGCAGTAATTATCAGAAATCGTTGAAAATCAATAGTATTTTTCGTCTCCTGACCCTAAACACTGTGTATAAATTTAAAGTCAATTGGATTTTAACTTTAGCCTCTAGAGCATTTACAAGATTTTTTGAAGTGATCAAGAGCCATAACTCTGGCAGTAATTATCGAAAATCGCTGAAAATGAATAGACTTCTTCGTCTTATGACCTTCAACACTGTGTATAAATTTAAAGTCAATTGGATATTAACTTTTGCCTCTAGATTTTTTAAAGTGATCAAGGGCCATAACTCTGGCAGTAATTATCGGAAATCGCTGAAAATCAATAGGCTTCTTAGTCTCATGACCTTAAACACTGTGTTTAAATTTAAAGTCAATCGGATATTATCTTTAGCTTCTAGAGAATCCACAAGATATTTTGAAGTGATCAAGGGTCATAACTCTGGCAGTAATTATCAGAAATCGCTGAAAATCAACAGGATTCTTCGTCTCATGACATGAAACACTGTGTATATATTTAAAGTCAATTGGATATTAACTTTAGCCTCTAGAGAGTCCACAAGCAATTATGGACGCCATACCGACAGACGGGGCGACGACAATATACGACCACATTTCGATGTGGGCGTATAAAAAAGGCTAAAAATATATTTTCAATGGTATACACACTTAAATCTGACAAATAAGGGAAACTAAATTTTGATATTTTTAGCCTATTTTAACATTTTTGTTCATATGTTATTATTGTAAACTCATTTTTCTGTCAAAGGTCACATTTAATAGATCAATTATACATCAGCTATTTGACATTTTGTTAATTCAAAAACTAAAATACAAATTTCTGCTACAGAATACAAAAGCTTTGTTAGTTAATCAAGTTATTCAAGATAATTCATACTGACAGTAATAAACAGCTAAATAACATCTATACCACATATTCACATGTATCTATACCTGTTTGGGTTGATAAGCTGCGATCTGATTGGATGCACTTCTTGTCTAGCGTATTGGCCCCGCCTGTTAGTCTGGTTGTTCCCTCGATGCCCGCTACCTCGTCATTAAAAGCAAGATTAGCAACTCCATAATAAGTATGAGTGGTCACATCATCATCGTTGATGGTATGATAGAAGGGGAGAAGGGAAGGGGTGAGGTATAAAGCTGCAAACATCCAAAAACCATGCAAAAAATAAACCAACTACAACTAATACTACCACAATATACACAAGGCTAGATATATGTACAAGGGCTTTCACTTCAAAATGTTTGCAAGCCCATCAAATTTTAACATTAGCAAGATATTATTTTATTACAATTTGATGTCTCAATTGATTTATGTATTCTAAGTGTTTTTACACATAAAATCTATAAATTTAACTGTATTTAAGGTTAAATTCTTTGAAATTCTAGTAATTGACTGACAGGTAAAATCTCTATCTGGTCAATTTCACTGTCAGTCAGTCCAAGACTGGCAAATATGACTGAAATAATAGCCCTGTTATATACAAATAAAATTATATCAATATTTCATTGTATTTTTCAGTTGTTTACATCGCTTCATCATGGCCTACACAAAATTCCACCAAATCTTTTGAAAGGCTCTGATTATCTTGAACTTTTACTGACTGTCTAATTGATGTCAAACGTATGTTTAAAGCTGTTGTCAAAGTCCCAAACATGCTTTTTAGTGATGGCAACGATGACCAATTGGTCATAATAATTTTCATCATAATTATCAATTCCTGATCAGAATATTAACAGATTACATGATCTTATTTAATACATGTATTTCTATATATAACTAGCCCTGTAACCATAACATATTATATCATGCTATAAAAAAATATACTAAAAATAAAAAAATGAAATAAACAATATGCAATAAAAGGAAGGAATAATGAAACACAATATAGAACTAAAAAAAATAGAACATGCAGCTCATACCAGCCTTAGTTTTTGGACCCAGATGAAAATTTCTTATGAACAGTCCAAATAAGCCAGATCAATCATAAAACATCATTTGTAAATATTATCAGAAATAATTGAAATTCAGTAAGCTGGGTCTTTAGCAGTGGAAGGTAACCAGAGGACCTGGAGAAAACCCACATAGTTGGACAGGCCACCCTACTCCTTGTCACGTACTAGCAGCGAATTGAAGCCTCAAAATACATAACAACATTGACAGCAAAATACTGCCATATATGTAGATATTCACAGACCAATATCACAATATGGCAAGATATCAAGGTATTTTTTTTTTGGGGGGGGGGGGGGGTTATCACTATCTAACGGCAGTTGGAAAAGAAATTTAACTGTATTCATGGCATATAAATTATTGGCAGACAACCAAATTCATTTGCCAGTCAATTTTACTGTCAGTCGGACTGGTATATATGACTGAGATGAGAGCAATGATTTCAGTTCTAAGTTCTAGAACCTCGTGGGTTTTCTCCGGGTCCTCCGGTTTCCTCCCGAATGTTAGTCCCGAAATGACCTATTTTGTATCGAGTGGACGTTAAACCCCTTCTCTCTCTCTCTCTCTCTCTAAGTTCTAGAGTCTAGCCTAAATCATAACATTTGAATTTTTTCAGCCATGAATAATATGCAGATATTTGAATAAATTATGTTTTAGACACACTTTTTGATATAATTATAGTTATGTAAAACAAAAAACACCACAACATCAAATGGGGCAGGAGTGGGGGAATAAAATTTGTGTTGTTAATTTAACAAAATGAAACAGGGTGATAAAGGGGAGATGATGATGAATTTAAACCATACTATGATATGTCATAAACTGAAGATAATCATTAACATCATAAAATCATTTAAAATGTTAAACAGTCAATACTATGAAAATCATTATGCCTCTAACATTAATGATTTCAGAATTTTGTAAAAAGAAAAGAATTAACTTCCATTTTAAGATTATTTAATCATAATGAAAGGAAACCATTATCTCCATCCAATAGATATTGATTTACGAAGATGTTTAGTAACGAGACTAACAAAGCTTAGTAGCTTACCATCTGCTTGCGGTGATGACTGTAAAATTTCATCTGCTGACATGGCTGCACATTTCTGCTTAATCTGTTTTAATTCATCTAAAATACTGGAAAATGATGGCCGATCTTGTGGATTAAAACTCCAGCATTTCTCCATTATACCATATCTTCAATACAAAATGTTAGAGTGAAATTCATGTAGATGAAAAATTCCTCAAAGTTACATTTGTAATATTATATAATAAGATATGTTAAAAGATTATTTCACTAGAGTTTCACAATAACTTTTAACAAGGCTTAGACTAAAAAACAATTTGTGTTTAATCAAGTAAGACTTTTACATTATTTGTTGCAATAAAACTCTACCTTGTACTAAAGTTCAATATAGCACTGATAATAATTAATATCTTACATTTCTTCAGGACATTTATCAGGTTTATCTAATTTTCCTCCTGATCTAACAAAATGGAGAACTTCCACATTGGTTCTAGCTGGATATGGTTGTTGTCCTAGTGTTATCACCTCCCACATCAAAATACCAAATGCCCTTTATATATAAACAATATATAGGAAAAATTTGACAGGTTGAAACGGCACAATTATTACATAACAAACAGCATAGATGGATGAAATTTTAACAAAACAGGGAGCCACGGTGTCTTAGTGAGTAAGACGTTGGCGTGCTAACCTGGAGATCCTGTGTTCGATACCTGCAATGTCCGAGAAAGTTCATTGGGATTTGTCGGAGTGGTTTCCCTTGTCAGTGGTGCAGGACAGAGGGCCTGACAAGGAACAACAAATGGTCGTTTGGATTGGACGAAAAAACTGAGGTCCCATGTACGCATTGTGTTCATGTAAAAGAAACTTTGGCAGTTGGTTTTCGATATAAGAGTTTGACGTCGAAACCCCATTTCATTTTATTCATATTCAAGATTTATCTTTTACAACATAGTAGTTTGCAAGGGATTAAAATTCCCTAAAATGATGCCATGAGACATAGCTAAATTTACATTTTTGGTACTTATTTTTTTAACCAAAATTGTAACAAAATAAAGTGGGACTATCTATACTTACCAAATATCAGAAGGTGTGGTAAATACACCATCAACTAACGATTCTGGTGACATCCATCTTACAGGTAATAAACCTTCTCCTTCCTTACGATAATAATCATTTTTATAAATATCTCTCGCTAAACCAAAATCACCAATCTTTACAACCATATCTGTTGGATTTTTACTGGACACTAAACAATTGCGAGCTGCTAAATCTCTGTAACAAAATACAATTACAAATATATTTAATATCTGAATAAAACAGAGCCTTATTTTCAAACCCTTTATCTACAATATTTTAAGAAAGCAGCCTTTTCATTGGTTGAGATCTTAAATTGTATCAAAAATGTATTGGGTTTTATACATATACAAGTTATAACCTACCTGTGAACAAAATGCATTCCTTCCAGATATTCACAACCATCTGCTACATTTACACAAACACGGACCAAATCAGGTAGAAATAATCTTGGTGGACTCGACTAGAAAATAAAATAATACTGGTAATAATACCCGTCCATTGATTTAATCATTCAAAATTTAAACCGCTACTGTTAAATCATACTTTCATTAGATAAGTTAATTCAAGTTTACATCATACTGTACTAATTAATAAAATGTACATTTTTTACCACTGTTGTTTTGCCTGAAATATTCTATATTTTCCAAAAGAATTAAGATGGAATAGGCACAGATTATCTACCATAGTTAGACTTTGTCTTACAGGACTTAAAAGAGAGAGGTAGACAGAGCAGCAGTGTAAAACGGCCACTTAATACAAACTGGGTCATTTCAGGACTAACATTTGATACTGCTTTATTTCAATTATTATTTCAAAATAATAATACTTTCCAAACTCAGTATTTACAATTTTCCATCTACTTATGATCATATTTGATTGTTACAAATTTAATAAAAGTATGACTTTAGCTAAAGTAATACTTAAGGATGAAGTAAGAAAATTAAACTTACAATTGTGGCTCTACAGCATCTCAAATACGACAACAGATCTCCACCTTCCATTAACTCCATGATAATAAACTGTGGATCATTGTCTAAACAAACTCCTAATAAACTTAAGATATGTTCATGTTTAAAGTTGCTCATCAATAATGCTTCTTTTAGAAATTCTTCTTTCTCCTGGTCTGATGCACTTTTACGTAATGTCTACAAAATATTTCAAAATATTAATCATTATACTACATAGAAAAAGAAAACATTGAAATAAAATTAATTTGTAATAAGTTTGTTTTATTGTTCAATCTCTTGTTATTTGAATTCCAAGAGATTGTGAAGTTTATGGATAAAAAACCTGTACTGAATATATGATCATCATGGCATTAAGAGAGAGAGAGAGAGAGAGAAATGGGGTTTAACGTCCACTCGACACAAACTAGGTCATTTCGGGACTAACATATGGTTTAATTTTATTTATATAATTCGCTTGCGCGTAGGGGTCTTTAGCAGTGGGAGGAAACCGGAGGACCCGGAGAAAACCCACGAGGTTGGACAGGCGACCCTACTCCTTGCCACGTACAACCGGGGATTCGAAACCACGCCAGTCGACTCAATGACAGACTTTATGATACAGCGCGCGCACGCTAACCATTCAGCAATCCAACCCCCCATCATGGCATTAAAGGTGAAAAACAATATAAGTTTCGAATGTTAATAGTAGATCATCCTACAATATTTACTAGAGTGATATATCTCCCAAACACCACCACATTAAATATCAGTCTAGTATGATTTAGAATGGTTTAATATTTTTTAAAATTTACCACAATTATTTTTAATTAACTGCATTCCAGTTATAAATCTCTAAATCATAAATTTGAAAAGTTTTATTTTACCTTGACAGCAACCCTAGTTTCACCAGGATTTTCAACAATATTCTTAGCTACACCTTCAAAGACTTCTCCAAATGCACCACTGCCCAAAAATCTAGTTAGAACCAACTGATCTCGACGGAAATATGGTAAAGATGCAATATCTTCATCAGTGGGTACAATGCTACAAAACAGAAAGATTGAAATGAAATGGGTTTATTAAAGCCTTACTTTTCTGCACCAACTGGGGCTAATGAAGATGGGTATACACCATTCAGTGTGCTATGGGGGAAATTTTGGTCAGCTTAGTCTTATACTGAATTGCAATCTTCCAGGTTTTTTTTAAGTACACACCAAGGGGAACCCACTGTGGAAAATTTCTCGAATAACACCAGGATCAAATCCCAAACCTTCTGGTTAGTGAGCAAAGGATATAGGACTAAAGGCACAGCAAGTCAGAACATTCACAGGCAAAACAAGTATAATAGTTCACATATATATATATCAAAAGTAAAAAAAAAAGGTATTATTTAAGAGATAAACACTTTCCAGATTCAAATTTAGAGGGGTGTTATTGTGCAATAGACATGTCCTGAGAGCAGAATGGCTTGTATGAAAAAAATGAAACTACTATTATTACCTTATTTGTCTAAGTGAGATAATGATTAGAGTGTGAAATCAATAGAAACAAATGTTAACTTAAAATGACCATTACTTGAATACTCACATGCAAATATTTGTTTAAGGCTATCTGAACTGACTGGTATTCTATGTCAATTAAAATTAAAGGCATTTGATCAGTTTTTTGTCTCATATGAGAAATATTTCGTAATATTAATCAAATGATATCAATTAATGAAGACGGGAATTGATGGTTTAAGTTGAATCAAATATCTGAATAGCAGTCAAATAATGACTAGAATATTTGATTAGTAGAATCAGCATTTAATATGACCAATAAAATTTACCTGAAGGCATATAATGTATTGCTTTGTTGAACAGCTGTATGGGGAAGTTCTCGTAATGTAGCCAATTCCACATCTGGTCCTCTTATTGCTACAAATTGTCTCGCCTTGCTCTTTTCAATTTGACGTTTTCTCGTTACTAACAATAACAAAATAACAATTTCTTTCTTTAAGGACTGTTTTGTTGTCTTGCACCTCAAGAAATATGAGGGTATGGGGTTCAGTTTATATTTTGAACAGATTGAACATAACTACCCACTTGTTACTATCAATTTACAGAGACGGAGAGAATTGGGGTTTAATGTCCAATCAAAACAAACTAGGTCATTTTGTGACTAACATATGGTACATTTATATTTCTATAATTCGCTTGCACGTATGGGTCTTTAGAAGTGGGCAAAAACTTGAGAAAATCCACAAAGTTATGCAGGCATTACTACTCCTTGTCAAGTACAAGCCTGGGATTGAAACTATGCCACTTGACCCAGTGACAGGCCTTATGATCTAAAGACCGATCAGCCATCCCACCATCCCATCATATTAAAGACTTACCGAGACATAATATAATAGCAATAATAACAATTAGAGCTATGACACTAACAGACAGTACTGCTGCTATGGTAATAGTTACTGTTTCATCTCTTGATTCAGCTACTGTAAAAACAATATTTACATTTAATGTTACAAACAATGGATTTCTATGAGTACAAAAGCTGATAGCATATATAACCAGTTTTAACGCTAGAAAGATAGAAAACAAATTGACTTTGGCAAAACCGTGCCAATACACACTAAATCATTGTTATTCTTTGGTCATGGACTGAATTTTCCATTCAGCTAATCAGCTAATGAAATCCAAAGTTATGTTAAATAACAGCAAATCAAAAAGTTTGTTTTTTTACCAGCCAGTAAAACCTAACAAACTTCTTATACTCTTAGGACTGAAACCAGCCTAATAAGGAAAATCACTAAAGTAAAGTCCTTGTGTATTTATCATCAATAATATTAATTTACCAGGCAGTGCTGCAAACAGACTGCTATTAAGACTGAAAGGTCCTAGTCCATTAATATTTTGTGCAGCTACTCGGAAGACATACTGTGAACCAGGAGTAAGTTTATTATGATCCATAAGCCATCTCTCTTCTGTACCATTATACAAGGAATTCCAGTAACCTGTCTCTGCTTCACTGCAACAAAAATTGTAACCAGTGAAAACTTATGAAATTACCTAGAAGGACCAGAGGTGTGTTCAGGACTTTCAGCAGGAGGGGGTTCACAGTGGAGATGTAATGTTTGGTTGTTAGGTCAGGGGGATTACCCAAGAATTTGATCAGATCAGAAACTCTAAGAAAATATTTCTGCTCGTTTAGGTGCATACATGTATAGAATTATTGAGTAGTGAGACCAAAATGGCGTTATCGGATGTTATTTCGATGAATGTAGAAGAAATAAAATATGCTCTCCATGAGCAGGGGAGGGTTCAGTCCACTGGTTTCCCTGTCTGGACACATATATGTCTGAAATCATATTATGGATTTTAAAGTTACTGTGTACAATATTTGCCATGCATCCACAAATTTTAAATTAAGACTTTCAATAACACAAATTATAAAGGAAGGAACTAGGTCATTTGGGAATAATAAGTGTTAACTATTTATTTCCAGCATATTAATTAAACACTGTTGTCACTCTCCAACCCCATGTGTTCAAGGTTGGTTTACAGTTTCTGTTGGTTCTGAGCACAAGTGTAGAAGCAAGCACAGCTCCTATACCCCTTCATGTTGCAGTATTATAAATGACACATATTAATTAATTGCACATTTATCTTAGCGTTAGTGGAAAATGCACATGATCAAACACTGTCATGACATTCATCTAATAGACACCTACACTTAATTAGAACTTAAGTTATCAGTTCCAAAGCATCAACCAATTAAATTGCTTATCTCTGCTTAGCCTAAGCAGAAAATGTTCATGATTGAACTCCATCAAGGTATTCAACTAACAAACAAATACACCAAGCTTGAACATTCTACCTCAATTAGAAGGAGAGTTAATATGGGGTTCCAAAGTATCGACCGATCAAATTGTTTAACACTCTGCTTACCATGTACAGAAAATGCTCATTCTCGAACTTAGTCAAGGTAGTGATGTAATGAAGCTATACACCAAGTTTCATCACTCAGAAGCAAAGTTACCATGTACCACAGCATCAACCAGAGAGAGAGAGAAATGGGGTTTAACTTCCACTCGACACAGACTAGGTCATTTCGGGACTAACATATGGTTTAATTTTATTTCAATAATTCGCTTGCGCGTAGGGGTCTTTAGTAGTGGGAGGAAATCGGAGGACCCCGAGAAAACCCACGAGATTGGACAGGCAACCCTACTCCTTGTCACGTACAACCGGGGATTCGAAACCACGCCAGTCGACTTAATGACAGGCCTTATGATACAGCACGCATGTGCTAACCATTCGGCCACCCAACCTCCCCAGCATCAACCAATCAAATATCTTATCTCTGCTTAGCCTAAGCAGAAAATGCTCATCTTCGAACCAAGTCATTCACCTAATAAACAACTACAACAGGTTTGAACATTCTATTGCAATTAGAAGGAGAGTTATTGTGTCCCAAAAAGTGTGACAGACAGACATACAGCCAAACAGACAGACAGAAAGACACATTTTAATAGTCCCCTGCTTTCTTTGAAAGGCGAGGTACAGCAAAAATGTATATGGTACCTGTATTCTAGAATATATTGATCAATAGCTGCACCATTATCATTGGGTTTTTCCCACTGTATTTCATGTGTTCCAGCCTTTAATTGAATCACTACAGGTGGTAGAGGTGCATCAGGTGAAGTAGCTGTAAATATATAAAATCTTATATCTTATTGGTTCTATCATTATCAATACAAAATCTTATAGGTAATTTAAAAAATACATAATAATAATAATAATAAAAGTGTAACTTACCTAGTGTTTTGAAGGTAAACCGATTGTCTTCTGGCCATTGTATAACTTTAAGTGAATCGTACACCAATTTGACTCGGAAAGTGTATTTTGAATTTGGTTTAAGGTTTTCCACTGTTTCTATATACTGTGTGTTATTATCTGTATGGTAGAAATTGGTATTTTCCAACAGACCATCCTGGGCATCCTATAGAAAAAAAATTCATTCATTGAATGTTTAAGACACTTACAAAGACTCAGGTATACTTCAAGAAAAAGAACCTACATGTATGTGGGCTTAACTGCCCATCAGAGAGCTGGAGAGACAAAGACAGAAATGGTGTTTAAGGTCCACTTGAAACAAATTAGGTCATTCTGTGACTAACATATGGTACATTTTTTTATTACAATATAATTTGCTTGCATGTAGGGGTCTTTAGCAGTAGGATGAAACTAGAGGACCCAAGAGCGGGGACAAAACCACAGCACTTGTCTCAATGAAAAACCTTAAATCTGATGTGCATGTGTTAAGACCATTCAGCCACCCAACCCCCTCAGAGGTTTGGATCATTCCATAGATATAGTTATAAAGAAAAATATCTACATTTGTCTGTTCGTGGGAACAAGCAACTTTATTATAAAGACATTTATATGATAACATATTCCTCTCATTGAATTTGACATCTGACCTTATCAAAGAAAATCTAATTTTAGCCATATGTTACAGAACTTTTGTTTGTCAACTTTTGGTAAATTTTTGGACTTGTGAGTAGGATGCAATTTGGTTGTCAATTATTTGAAAACCAAATTGCATCCTACTCACAAGTCCAAAAATTACAGTGAGCCATACCTGAGTATAGAAGATCATATGCCGTCTTACACTACCATCACTAGGTGAAGTCCACTTGATTTTTAAAGCATTATTAAAAGCTTCATCCAGTTCGATATCTCCTGGTGTCTTACATGTTGTTACATTAACATGACTTTCATTGTATAGTTCATTTTGATAGGCTAAAACCTGTAAATATAGCAGAATGAAAGGAGGTTTAACATCTCATCAATGCAATACTACAGTCATTTTGTGATTAACATTCAGTAATTTTTGTTTCAACTGATATATGTGCAATGCGAGTTGAGGGAATTTTTCCAGACAACCGTATAATATAGTTAATTTCCTTTAGCACAGGAAATATGAAAGTGTGGTAATCAATTAGGAGGTTTATATTCTTTTAAATAAAAATGGGCCCTGCAACCCATTTAGAGTGACACAGTGGTATCTGAGAATCAGGGCATCCTACAAATCTCTCCGTACTATTTACATATACCCAACACTAGCTGACACTTGAAACTCTTTTCAATCCATGCAAAACTATTTGTTAGTAAATGTAGGATAGATTAAAAGTTATCATTTGTTTTGTTTGTAAATGTAAATATATTTATATACATATATAAATATTAAAGTAGATAAAGTACAAATACTTCTTTGTTTACGGTAGATAAATGCATAAATAAATAAAAAAATATGTCCAGGTAAAAAATTCTCCACTTTACTTCATTCTGACATACATTACATTATATAAGCTAGCTGTCTGCCTTCTATGGGCGTCTTCAGATATTAATAATGTATACAAAATATTGCAAATATATATTCTATTTGCCATGTTGTTCCTAATCGTTATTTAGATATGTTTATACTGTATAAATATGTTGTCTTTAATGGATATTTTGGTATAATAAAATCTCATCTTAACTACTTGCTTTCAGGTCCTGACAGTTCCAGACTCAAGCCATGTAAGATAAAAATGGCTAAATTTTGCAAAGTTTGGTTGAAGCACCATGTACATATACCAAACTTCACTCCCAACATATATGGGCCATACAGTTATTATATAGCTTCACAGATGTGTACAATATTACATATAGGCAAATTAGTACAAACTATGTACACAGGGAATGTTTGATTGAAAAGTTACCCATTATGAATGTATCAATCAATTTAAATACCTTGAGATAATAAAGCTGACCAGGGCTCAGACCTTTGATATCTGTTTGTAGAAAACCTCGTCTTGATTTTGTAACCTTATCGGTCTGTCCTTCTAACTGAACACCATCAGAAGTTCTAGTTGACCATCTGACAACATACATCACATTGCCTTCTGGACCATTGCGCTTTATAGGAGGTAACCATTGCACACGTAATTCAAAGGGTGTCAATGCCTCTGCAGATACATTTCTAGGCTTGGATGGTGCTGTAATACATTTTATTTATAAACTATTATACAGTACTGCATCAATAACTACAAGAACAATTCCAGTTACTCCCAAAGACTATTAAAGAACTCTGCAGAAAAACTACTCTAAATACAAAGATTTTTTCAGTACATACAGGGTACTATAAATCACAGACAAGACCTTTTTTTTTCATCAATATAATTCGAAGTAATACAAAAGGTGACATACAAGAAAAGATATTTTATAGATATTTTTATTCTACACATCATATCCAAAATGTAAATAATTTCATAAAACATAGACTAAAATATTGCTTCATGAATGCAAGGGTTTCAATTGATGGACTTCAATTTACCCTTCTCACAGTGAAGTCTTATTATCCCCTGCAAGCAGAAATCAAATGGGGTTTAAAGTTCTACTTTACTGCACCGACTGGGATAATGAAGATGGGCATATGCTATGTAGTTAGCTATGAGGGAAATCTTGCCATGACAGCGGCGTTTCAGTCGACTCTCATTTCTAATTCCAATTGTCAAGAGTTCTTTTATCAGCACGGTCTTTCATGCCATCCAAACAACTAGACACTACCTTTGCCAGGCCTTATGTTATGCACCACTGTTAAAGAGATAACTGCTGGGAAATCCTGAGGAATTTTCTTGGTCAGGAATGAACTAGAAACCCCAGCATCTTAGTCACTTAGTCAACCACCCCTGCAAACAACACTTAACACATATAATCACCTCCATAAAGTGTAGAAATTCTGATAAGTTTCCCCAGTGCTTCAGATAAATATTCAGTATAATAATTACTGACAGCAACTTGAAATACATAATCACTGTAAACATCTAGTCCATCTATAGTTACTTCTTTCTTATACGACTCCTAAAATACACCAATAAATAAATATCACAATAATATGAAATGAAATGGGGTTAATGTCCTACTTTTCTGTACCAACTGGGCTAGTGAAGATAGAGATTTCTTCATCTGCGGCAATGTGGGTTATATTCCAGTGGGCTATGCAGAACATTTTGCCCAGACAGTAGCACTACAGCCTACTCTTATTTCGAATTCCAACTGTCAAGGGTTCTTATATATACATGTACAAGGGACCTCAACCACTGACAATGGGGGGAACTCTCTCAGATAATCCTAAGGAGCTTTCTCAGGCAACACAGGGCACTTACAAGAAATCTCTAGCTTTGGTTGCCCGAGTCTTACTAACTGAGTCTTACTAACTGAGCCACTGTGGCTCCCTTGATCACTATAGCACTCCATTAAATTCTGAGTGAAACTTAAGTAGAGCAAATGTTTTTTAAGAAGTTTGTTACTTACAACAGAGAGACAAGAATCAGGCTGTGATCCACAGTCAGTATGAGCATTTTTAACACTTGTATCATCTTTACGATAATATATTGTAAACTTGTCTATAGGTAAACTTATACCCTGACAAACTGCTGGACGTTTAACCTCTTCTAAACGTAATCGAACTGACGTATTAGTGACCTCGATACTTTCAACAGTTCCATTATATGGACCAGGATCAAGACACACAGAATCTGCAATACAAATCATAAACTTACAAAATCTGCTCTTCATATGAATGAATTTAAGGAGATCTCTTGCTATCTTCATCTTTCAAATTATGAGTCATATAGAATTTGAGGGGGAGTGATTGAGTCGAGAGTGTAATGATCACCCAATTGAAAGTAGGGCAATGCTAGGATTTTCTATGATTAGGTGAGTTTAAGTCTATTTCTAACAGGATATTATTCATAATTTATTACATTTATTTTCTATGTGAGAGTGATTAGGCCTCCTTAACATTTTTCTAAGGCGCAATCACATTTTTTATTGTAATTTTAAATCAGCTCGGAACTGTTGATCCCAAACTGCAAGGTTGCTTGGTGGAACTATTACAATAACCTGCATATCATATTTGTTTTTTCCTGTTCGTTGTTTTTTTTCTTGAGTTTCTTTTTTTAATTATTTTAAAATCTGTGAGACAATATACAAGTACCTGGTAATGGCTGTAAATGAGCACCATAAGCTACCATATCATTTACATCTGGTAGATCTAGTTTAATATATCCACTACCACTGTCTTTATATACACTATACAGTTGACCTTCATCTTTATTATACCAATATACTCTCATATGATCTATAGCTATCAGATCTGGTGGTAAACCTATTATAGTTAATAATATAAAATATATAACTTCATTTACAAAGTACATCACTAAAATATACTGGGCCATTGGTTAAGAGGAAAAACAAACTCTAGTATCTGAAATATGTTGAATGCATTATGAATTGGTAGACTGAGGCAAAATTGTTCACAAGTCATTGCATGAACAGTGTTCATAAACTGTTATAGCTAAGTAATTCCCGCTTAGTCATAGTATGAACTGTGTATGTGAGCAGCAGGCCAAGGAGTTACCATAGGAATAGTGCAATGACATATTGTCCGGACTAAAATTCGTTTTAGTCCACTCAATGACTGAAACCACAGCGCCAATCGTCAAATATATTCTTTTAAAAAACCCATACCATAATCATCTGACGTTGATGCTTTAAATATTTCTCTACATGTACAACCATCTACATCTGTAGCTAGAATAGTTTTACTTTCTCTATTTACAATAACAATCTCTGTAGCTCCTTTATCAGTATAATCTGTAGATATAACTGGTGATATATTCATATTTATTTCACACGAACAATCAGCATTAATACTTCTTCTACTTCTTCTGATAGATCCTTTAAACAGTTCTACAATATTGCTACCATTTAAACAACTTCGATATAAATGTCCATTGCCATTATTATCTATTTCTGTCCAAAATAAAGAACTGTAAAAAAGATAATAGAACATTTTACAATACCATGAGAATTTTACTTATTACCTATGTCAACCTTTCCCTTTGTTCCATGAAAGATATAATAGTTCATTTGCAATGAAATGAAATGGGGTTTAATGTCCTACTTTTCTGCACCAATTGTTTAATAACATTCACATTAACAAAATGAAATGAAATGGGGTTTATTGTCCTCCTTTTCTGCACCATCCTGGCTATAAGATGGACACACCATGATGTGCACTATGATGGAAACTTTGCCCAGACAGCAACGTTACCACATTTCATCTGATTTCAAACGTCAAGAGATCCTTTAACATGCACACCAACAGGTGGACATTGTTTTTTGTACCATCCAAACAGTTTTTCTTCACCAGGTAGATCCACTGAATAATCTGCATCAGGATTTTTGGGATCGGCACATATGGTCTACTGCACTGAAAACAAAGTTGTTTTTATGTAAGAACAGTAGACAGATACGTCAGACAAGACGTCTTGTTTAGCAGTCAATTCTGTTGTGTAGTTTTCATGGTTGGGGGGAGGGCAAAGCAGATTCAGAGACCTCCCCAAGCTACACTGCAGCAGTGATACCTTAAATATCCTGACAGACAGACAATGAAACAATAAATGAAATAATATTTATGATGTTTTACCTTGTATAAGGATCCGAGATAACACTCCCTATATTTCTACTTCTATCCAAAACAGTCCTATATTTATTCTGATCAACATGATATCCTTTTATACTATTGGCATTATTATCACCTTCCTCTACTACATATAATGTTCTACTAATCCAATCCATACTTAAATCTTTACCTCTACTTTCTAGATGCATTAACTATAATATATGAGATCATATCCACTGTTTAATATCATTCACATTATATAGTCTCATTGCTTCATTATAGCAAAATAGGAATCCCTTGCAAACTGCAATATTGGGAAAGATTAAACTCTAATAGGACTATTGGTCCAAATTGAAAATTCTTCGATCTGTGCTGCTCGCTATCTAATAAGCCCATCGCCATTTTGTTGTGGGCGAACAAAAGTAAATCCTATTAAATCCAAGACAATAGATTATCTAGCATTTGTATTTTGATTCTGTTTTCTTAATTAAATGTTAATGATCAATCAGAGTACATATTAGTGTGGATTAAGCAGAGAGGAATTTGATATCTTAGTGAAAGATAGGTTGCCAGGCAACGAAACATACGCCCACAGCAGCTAAATCGTCCGGGCAGTCAACAAGTGTTGTTGCATATTTTTACTTTTTGGGGGAATGAAACATTTATAATACACTAAAATCTGATTGAGAGTAACAACTCATTAAGTAATTATCAATCTAAAGTCAATCGGATGATAACTTTAGCCTCTAGAACGTCACAAGATTTTTCGAAGTGATCAAGGGCCATAACTCTGGCAGTAATTATCGGAAATCGCTGAAAATCAACAGGATTCTTCGTCTCATGACCTTAAAATCTGTGTATAAATTAAAAGTCAATCGGATATTAACTTTGACCTCTAGAGCGGCCACAAACAATTGTGGACGCCGGACCAATGGACGGATGGACCGACCGACGGACAGGGGCGACGACAATATACGACCACATTTCACTATGGGCATATAAAAATGAAAATAATGCAATATTACTTAAACATATATTTATCTTCATCTCGTATTTCTTTATGAGGTAGAAATTATTTTTTCCTAAAATATAACTTATAGAATTTTATACTATTATGACTAATTAAACCAGACTATCATGCAGCTGAAAATATTATCAAAATTTTGAGTACTTTCACGTATCTATGACAATACTTACAGGTTCTTGATTAGATTCTTTAGCCACAAACAGAGATTTAGTTCTTTCAATCCAGAATGTTCTATCTTCTTGTGCTAGGAAAGCCATAGATGATGGTGAAACACTGGGTAACAGTATAGTGGAATTCAGATGTTCATCCATCTCAGAAATACGTATAGCAGATTTAGTAGCTATCAGAAGTCGTGGTACAGGGTTCACAGCTATAAATAAAAAAACATCATACATTTGAAAAGAATATAAAGGACCCAATATACATGAAATGATATTAATTATGTCCCCCTTACCCCCATCCTTTTACCTTGAAAAAACTATACATGTATTTTGTTCTTTCTTTAAAACTACTTGATTATTATTCAAATAACTAATTACCATCAGTTTTTGCTGAAACGGCTGTTGATTGTGGACCACATCCAGCCTCTGTACAGGCTTCAACCTAAAATAAAATAAGTGTAATTACAATTAAGTAAAATTATAAGAACAAATACGAAATAATACTGATTGATGAATGAGGACTGCATTTATCAGCAGAAGATAAGATACTGTTTGAATGGTTACTTAAAGGAGCTAAATCTCTATTTTTGGGAACTTAAAACAGACGAAAATGGGTCAGAAAGCATATATTTATGTAATATCAGTGTACCGGTATATAAACTGATTTACATTCAATTTTTAAAACATTTATCGTAATTTCTACTCAGGAGGCAACCTCCACCAACAGACTAAACCCAGATGATTCTATATCATTACAAACTATATATACCACTGTGGGGTTAATACCACAATTCATAGATGACAGTATTATTAACCTGCATTGCAAATTCATTTTTTAACCAATTCCAAATATCAGGAATATTTACCTTGAAGAAGTAAGTTTTATTTGGTTTAAGAGGATTTAAGGTAAAGTGTCTGGCTGTTCCTGGTAGCCGTACAACAGTGGCATCACGTTCATCTCTCTCCCAGTGATAGACATAGTGATGCTGTAGTATACCGTTAATAAGACCGGGTGTAGACCAACGGAAATCAGCTGCTAACGATTGTTGGGAAGTGGAAGCATTCTTTACTTGTGTCACATAAACTCTTGGTGTCTGTGGACTTTCAGGTACTAGAAATACAATCAAATATTGAATATAATATTGCTAAATCAAGTAACAATCTGCAATGAAACAAGCCAACAATGAGGTCGACTGTCATGTTACTTATTGTGTGCTTTTTTGATAAATGAATAATTCATGGATTTTCTTCACAAAAATAAGTAACAATCTGCAATGAAACAAGCCAACAATGAGGTCTACTGTCATGTTACTTATTGTGTGCTTTTTTGATAAATGAATAATTCATGGATTTTCTTCACAAAAATAGATAAATGTTATCAAATACTTAAAGGTAGGCAGTAATAATTGCTACAGATAGAAACATTTATAGAATTTTTATCGGCGATTTGAGTCAAATTTATCTATGTGAGAATCGATGTTTGCTCCCGATGCACCCAAGGGTAAAATTTTTCTTGAAATCAGCACTAACAAACACATGGATTTTTTTTTAAATTACCTTTATTTTACTGTACTCAGGAGAAATTTGATTGGATGATGAGAATAGACATGCTCTGTCAAAGACTCAAGTTTTCAGTCTCAATACAGCAATGGCTAGAGAGGGATTTCTCGGGCCATTGCTTCTGGAATATGAAAATGCTCATGATTGAAATTTGTTTTAATGTTTTCAATGTTGTGCATTATATACCGTACCTGACATGGGAGATCTAATTGGTACTGTTATTTTATCAGCGTAGCCCCAGTAGGTATATGGTTGTATAGTTACAGTCATCTGAGTATATGGAGAGATACCTTCTCGTGGAAAACTGGTCTCTTTCGTTATCTGTAACAAAAAACAAACAAAAATCAAATCATAACAAAATACATGTCATTATATTGTATATGAAAATATCAAAACGGTTAGCCAACATCATGAAAGTGTGAAGAGGTCTTAAAAGAGCAGCATCGGCCATTAAAAACATTTGCCTCTTAATAATGAACCTAGAAACACATGTTATAAGACTTTTGCCAAAGCAATTGAACTTTTAGTTCTCCTACATCTAGATAAATAAACAGCTACCAAAGCCACCATGAATAATATTTTTGTTTAAAATTTCAAAACTCAATAATTTGTACTAAAAGCTTTGAGAACAGCAACCAAATTATTTTTATTTACCAAGAAATAGGAACCAATAGTTCAATAATTTATCCATAAGAACAAAAATTCAAATTTGTGTGGTCTTAATCATATTAATATTTTTGCTATACTCACTATATGATGTGCATAATCTCTAATTTGTATATATACTTTATAATAAACATGACCATGATTAACTTCTGATGCTGGTGTCCATGTGACGTTAAATCTTGACCAATGACCAACAACTGAAATATCTTCAGCTGCCAAGGGATGGGGTATTACTACTGTAGTTTCTGAATTCAACCCATCTGGAGTAAAAAATAAATATCATATATAGAGAGAGAAATGGGGTTTAACATCTACTCACACAAATTAGGTCATTTCAGGACTAACATATTGTTCAATTTTATTTCAATAATGATATTACTCCATTAATTTGAAGAATTAAAATCCATAATTTAACATTGTTAAATCCATTCAAACTGATGACAAGAGCTATTTGATATGGAAAAGCTCTCCAAAATTCAATTTCATATAAGTCTCAGAGAGCAAGAGTTATAGCTCTCCTTTCATTTCAAGCGCTGATATAGAATAAATGTTTGTACATACCTGGGTATTTCTGTAGAGAAGGATGTATGACAGTAAATGCTGTAATATTTTGAGATACAGGTGATATTAGAGAAGAATAATTGCCATTCTGATCACCAACTACAAGAGATTCTGATTTATCTAACCAGAATAGATGATATGAATAATACTGTAATCCTGACGATCTGAAACAAACATAGATAAACATAGCAATATTAAAAGAAGTGTAACCGCAGAGTCACACTAGTGGATTTATCTTGAGGTCTTATATCTATAGGACAAATCCTTTCATGTGGATGGTAAAATCAGTATAGCTTAGATTTTCTGGCCTACCAATTAATAAATCCTGAAGTATAGAATAAGTTCTATTTATGCAGGAGTTGTCCTAGGAACTGACAAACAGTGTCTTCTCAATAGTTGTCTTAAAGGATCAATCCACAAGCTAGAGAGAGAGAGAAATGGGGTTTAACGTCCATTTGCCAAAACTAGGTCATTTCGGGACTAACATGGTTCAATTTTATATCAATAATTTGCTTGCATGTAGGGGTCTTTAGTAGTGGGAGGAAAACGGAGGACCCAGAGAAAACCCACGAGGTTGGACGAACGACCCTACTCCTTGTCACATACAACCCAATCCACAAGCTCCACCTCACACCACAGCCTGTGGACAATTTGGAAGCTGTATTAAAATTCTTACAATATTTGTCTTTCTAAAACACTGCATCATTTTATAAATAAATTCTGAGATTTATCTTGCAATTAATTTTTTTGTTTTGGTCCAGTACATTGCAAATACTAGATAGAGCTAAAACTAAAATTTATTCAACTATTATTTTGTTTAATATCTGTTTAATGACAACAACAATTCTGACTTAATAGACTAATTGCCACCTTAAAGATAACCATTTCTGAACAACTATGATTAAAAGTGATTACATTTCCCTTCTTAGTACAAGGATAAGCTTCTAGTTGTTTGGATGATACGATAAACCAAGATCCTGTGTACATGATGGCCTGCACATAAAATAACCCTTGACAGTTGCAATTCAAAATGTCCCTAATAGCACACTGCTTGGTGTATGCCCATCTTGATTAGCTCACTTCGCACAGAAAAGTAGGATGTTAAGCCCATTTCATCTTATTTCATTTTGTTTCCCCACTTACCTCAAGATATTGTTAAAATCACCAAACTTCTGTACAGTGGTAGCAGCTAAACTTGATTCTGCACCATTTAAACCAACTAAATCGGCTACATATAAATCTTGATTCTCATAACTCTTCACATACCACATGACCTTCTGAAGGTCAAAGTTGATAGTTAAACTTATGACATGTTTACCCGAAAAGAAAGGGATGGTGAATATTTGGGTATGATCTTCACCATTTAAATAAGTTGATTCAATTGTATTAATAGTTGCCCAATAAATTCTACCTGCAACGGAATCAATAACCATATCCCTGGCAGCCGTTTGGTAGATTGAATCATTTATAATACCATGAATATCTGATCTTCTTATCTGAAACAATGGAAACATTTATCTAGAATATTTTTTTCAATGAATGAAACCTGAAAACATAAATTAGAGTTGTGTTTAATTACACCCTAAATAAAATATATTACATAGTTTTCACAATTGTGATTTTTAAAGTTTATAATAAAATAATAATAAGTACATCAAACTAATACCTAAGTGAGATTTATAATAACAAGTCTTTGTTGAATAATTGGTGTTGAAATAATTATCTACAAATTCCATTAGAATTTCAGAGATTACATTAAAATATTTGCAACAATGTGTACATATTAATCTGTATAAATTTTTTGAAAGACTTTCATGTAAAATTCCTGAAAAATATTATTTACCACACACTTTCATGCAAAATATAAGATAAAAAAAACAATATTATTGACTAACATTTCTTACAAAAACCACATGTACTCTAACAAAACATTCCTCAAAATTAAAATAAAAATCAATCATTCAAGATACTTTAACAAATGTATTTAATAGGACAAAATAAAAATCTAAATAATTATTCAAATTCAAACAAAATATATATTTGGTAGATAAAAATAAAACCATAAGTACGGGCACCATTAATATAAGGATGGTAATAACAAAACCTACATTAAGAAACCAAAACATAAAACATTAAGAGATTACAATAGTAATGATTTTTATTGTATTATTGACATCAGATCCATGCTGCACTCATCACACTTTACACATGAAATTTGGGGACATCAACAAGTTATAATGACAAAGCTTTTTAAAATTTCAATCCTAAAAATATGTAAGTCATACCATTTCCTTTATTTTAATAAATCTATTTCTATTAAAATATTCTCAATATTTGCTGTATATCATAAAGTTTAAAAGTCTCAATCTTTTGGTTATGTTCAGATACAGTATAGCTTTGGGAGCTTTATCATTAAATATTCAAAATGTTTTCATTGGTCAAAAGCTAATATTTCTGTTATGATTTTAGCTCCTTAATCCAATAAAAATGTTTTACCAGTATATTTAAAATACTTTAAGTTTTCATGATTCAGGCGCCTTAATTATATACACTAGAAGTTGTATTTAAGATGGTATATCTCCAAACTATTTAATGATATCTTCAAAAATAGAATCTACAATCAGTAATTCTGCCAGAAATGATACAAATATAAGTGAAAAGCACTATGTTCTTGGTTCGTAAAATGTGACTTTGTCATATAACTGTTGGAAGAACTGAACATTTTGAACATTGGTCTGCTACCACAAAATGACCACATAACTTACCACACTATCCACCCACTGCCCTAGACTATGCTCCCTTAATAAAGATTTCCTATGACTTTTCCACTTCTTTTAGATAGAAGGATAAAAGAAATTTAATTATATAATTTGTTTTTCACAGAAATAATCTAATGGCGTTTTTGGTTTTCTTAAAATCTCCAGAAATGTAATTGCATAATTTTTTTTCTCACAGAAATAATCAAACAATGTTTTTTATGTTTCTTTTCCATCATAAATAACCATCAACAAACACTATTTTTTATAAGCAAAGCCAATTAAAAGCAAAGCTTTGCTTTTTACCTAGAAAGCCTTATAAAAGCAAAATCAATATGATTTTTTTATTCAGAATTATGTCTACTTTCAGGATTGCTTCTTGCAAAGATTAGAACATTGCAACTATAATGTATTCATAAACAAGACCATTACTCATATTTTTATCCAAGCAGCATATCACACTTTTATCCTATCCTATCATTTTAATCAGCAAAATCTAAAGCTTCTAAATAAAAACTCTCATTTCCAACATTTCATTCCCAGTAAAAACATTTTTCTAATCTCATAAATTTTGGAATATTCAATCATAAAACATTTAAACCATTGTCATCTGTCTTTAAAAAAAAATGTTGAAGTCGCTGTCCGATTATAATATAGGTACTAAATAAGTCATAAGAGAAGACTTATAATATAGGTACTAAATAAGTCATAAGAGAAGACTTAACCCTTTCATTGCGTCTACCGGGTATTATAAAATGTCGTTAAAATACGCGTACCCGGTATTAACGTGTACTCAGTAAAACCCTTGCTAAAATTAGTACCGTAAGTGCAAGTGCCCTCTATTGTATTTTCTATACACTAGAACATATTTCCACGTTTCAAAGTGGCAAACCATAAAATGGTGGAGTGCATTGTGACAACGTAGACGATGCACTCTCGACGAATTCGTGAATGACGTCTTGCTGACCAACAGGTGGACACCAACAGGTGATACACATGATTCGTTTCCAGTTACTTGATAATGATAGTAGTCAGGACAGTGATTGCCGATTGGTATTATGAAGTGTGTGATTTGTTGCGTGACGTTCCGCCCATGGCATTGTCTCCCGTGCATGATGAACAAGCCCAATATGTGAACATGATAGCCCCCCTTTTTTCCTCAAAAAAGGGTCTAGCACAGGCAGTGGATTTACGTCTAGCATTGAAAGGGTTAAGCTCCCAACATCAGTATCACAGTGAAGTTCTAGTGTATAATAAATCATGAGTCTTAATAAGTTCTAGTAATCTAGTGTAAACAAAAGTCATAAAAGAAGATTCTAGCTCCCAACATCAGTATTATAGCAAAATTCTAGTGTATAATAAATAATAATATAAATAAGAGAATTCTTTAGCTCCCATTATCAGTATTATAGTGAAGTTCTAGTGTATAATATATTAGTTATGAGAGAAGTCTTTAGCCCCCAGCATCAGTATTACAGTGAAGTTCTAGTGTAATAAATAAGTCATAAATGAAGATTCTAGCTCCCAACATCAGTATTATAGTGAAGTCCTAGTGTATAATAATATATTAGTCATGAGAGAAGTCTTTAGCCCCTAACATCAGTATTATAGTGAAGTCTTAGTGCATATAAGTCATAAGAGAAGTATTTAACCCGCAAAATCGGTATCATAGTGAAGTCCTGGTGTATAATATAAGTTGTTCTTGCTATGACACATGTGAAACACCCAACAATAACATTTATAGTAAAGATCTACTGTAATTTGTAAATGCCAAAAATTAAGAGTTTTTATTATTCTAAAGACAGTGATTTTGCTGATAGAGCATAAATATACCATATCAGGGTACAAGAACAAATTGTCAAACTGATCGTACTTACCACACGTTTATCAGGTTCTGACCAAAAGATCTTTTTCCCCAACCAATCATATGCCAAACAAGAGGCAATGTGAGCTTCTTTAATAGTAGACTGTTGTCCTGTGTGTCTGTCATATCGGTATAGATCACCTGATGATGTTGTCCACATAACCATATCACTATGCCATGTCAGATCTGTTGTATCAAATACATAATTATCAAACTGCCTAATTACTCAATAAATTGGTTTGTGTGGTATTAAGGATATCATAGTGGCTTAATGAAGTACGATGCTAGTTCACTAACCACAAGGTCCCAGTATTGGTTGAAAAAGTTTCTAAGGAATTTCCAGTCTGCTTTCCACTTGTCAGTGAAAATCGACCAGTTGCTTGGATGTGACGAAAAACCAAGGTTCTGTGCATACCATTGTCAACAGTTTAAAGACAATGTTCTGTAGCACTACTGTCAAGGCAAAATGTCCCCTTACAGCACACTGCAAGATATATGTCTGTGTTATTTAGCCCTGTTGGTGCAGAAAACTACGATGTTAAACCCCATTTCATTTTGTGTGGTATTTAAGGATTGAATGAATACCCAACTGCACATAATTCGATATTGCTTAAAGACAGTTAATTAACTAATATATATATACATGTTCAACATACATACCTGTAATTTTGGTAGAAGTTTTAATAACAGTCTTAACTTCATGATTCCTTAAATCATGTTCCAGTATTTCTCCTTGTCCTGCTACATAAATCTTTACTGGTATGATTTCTATAAAATCAACAAGTATATAATTCAAGATTACAGTAAGTTCACGGTCTACAAATCATTTGTTAGTGATTCTCTTAGAAATCATCATTCACTTATCAATATCATATATAATTGTAAACAAGAATGGAATTAAGCTCTTTCACTGCCATCATCTGGCTCAAATTCAGGCTTTGTCATATGCATGTCATTCATTCATTCAGGCAAAAATTTTGTGTTTGCATAATAATGTTTCTTTTTGTTTTTTTTAAACAATATTTTATTCAGAAATTGAAAGGGATTGAGGAACAGGCATAATAATGTTGTTATTAATAGGTTTAATCCATGTCCAGTAAGTTAAAAATCTCCAGGCAAAACAGATTGATGTGTGAACAATCAGGGCTGTCTTTTTTAATGCATGGGTACACAGGACAGTAGTTTGGAGGCCCCACAAAGCATAGGGACCCCATGTTGTGACTTGCTGTCTAAACACCGATTTTGTTGGAAGTTAAAATAGAATAAATATATGTTTAATTTTATTGACCATTTTAATTTTTATTCTTGTGAGAGGTTGTATAGGTAGGGTCCCCTGTGTACTGTTTCGCCCAGCCGGGGGCCTATAATGCTGTTAAGATGGTCCTGTGTACAATAGTGTAAGAGATCTGCTCCGTAAACAAAATCAAGATGTAAGGAGTCCATATCGGTATCCTTCCTCAATTATGTTTGGCACAGGGGAAAAAACTAGACCAGAACACTTGATACAACTTATTATTCGTGAGTTCTCATTGCTGATAATATAATTTGTTGTACTTTACATTAAATTCAGTTAGACTCTACAGATAAACTTGTACCTTTTTTGAGGGTTCTTCCCATAAATACTTCGGACCAGGGTCCAATTCCAGTGTCCGACACAGCTTTAACCCTGATAGAGTAGCGAATATCCGATTGTAATTTGGATATGGTTATGCTGGTATTTGTAGCTCGTTTAGTTATTACTGATCTGTTATATCTATTACCACTAGCCTGTATTTCTACAGTATAGTCCCATTTATTCCATGCTCCATTACCTGTATATAAACAGATATTATAGTTCATATTTAAAAATAAACTGCCTGAATGTCTTTGGCAATATTTCACTTTATTAAAATGGAAAGACCTCTTTGATCTTGGTCCAAAAAAAAAATTGTTGACTTCACAGGATTGTATGTGTTGATAACTGTCATGGAATGACAGATAAAGCCAGATATAAAAAAGATACATAGAGTATGAATTTTACATAGCTAATAAATTTTCATTGTAAATTTACAGATCAAGCTTAAACTTTCCACAGATGCATACTTTACCTTGATATTGGAGTTTTTCTGGTGCTTTCCAAGAAATCTGAGCTGAATTTGAATTAAATAATGCCTGGATACCTCTAGGTGCAGTAAAAGGTACTAAAATAGAAACATGTACTATTAATATAAACTATACAGGAGTAAATGGAATCTGTGCTATATAAGGACAGGTGAGTGAAAAGTACAACTATGTTAACGTCTGATTGCCAACGAAGGTGATATCGCAAACAAATGTTTCTTGAGAAACTTGCCCAAAGAGCCGTTCATGATTGAGGTAAAACCAGCATGACTGTGAAGAATCTTGTCATGTTCCTTTATAATGTCTAGGTATAGCCAGGGTCCAATTCAATAGCATGGATGCATTATCTTTGTAGTTTTATGTCATTGATGTTAAAGGCTTGTTTTGCTCACAAGTTGCAACAATGATAAGTACAGTATAATTTTGACATTATTAAATTGTTCTGAACCAAAGGTAGTCATGACAATGATATAATTTAAGTCATATTTGAACTCTGTCTTCTTTAGCCCAGTTGGTGCAGAAAGTAAGATGTTAAACCCCATTTCATTTTATTTCATATTTGAACAATTTATTATGATGGGTCCCATCAACATATTATATGTCACTTTCAGACAAAAACCAGCGGCTGCCAGGCAGATACACCCACATTTTGCAAGAGATGGATAGAGAACAAGTTAAACAAAAAGAGATTTTTTCGTAGAATCAAGGGCAATAATTCAGAAACTTACAATCCGATATGCACGAATATCGACAAGAACCACGATCTGTAGGTAATAAACATGTATTTCAAGTTTCATCAAAATTGGATCAAAATTGTGGCCTCTAGAGGGTCCACAACCTTGATATACCATATTTTTACACTATTTGCATACGAGGGGCAGCCATTTTGTCCGGCAGTTTTGGTTCGATTTTCACGAAATTCGAATTCCTACATCATTACAGTGTAACAGTGATATATTTGAAGGTTTTATTGATAGGTATTCCCTAATTGTCAAACTTCTGCCTAAAAATTCTATGAACATTGCCTGAAATTGGACTATTTTATAACAAAATTAGCTAATTTGCCTTTTTTTTAAATGACACATTATTACCTGGTGTGGGTTGTACTGTAGGGTGATATATATTCAAACCACTGTAATGTGTGTTAAAGAAGAGTAGATTATTCTGTCTATACGTATTATGGTCTTTATCGTATTCTTCACCTATTATACCATTTCCACTGGACCAATAAAATTTACCATCATAGTAAGTCATACTCAACATGTTGGAGAAGTTGCCCTGTGAAACATCTCTTCTAATATCCTGCACATCTGAACCATCAAAATATGAAGCCATCATGGTGTTTTTCGTAGAGTTAGGATAGTAAAGTTGCATATTGCTAAAATCCATAGCAAACGATGTGATGCGGTCGTAGAAGACCATTTGTTTTTGCTTAATTGGTCCTGGTTTTCCAACATCTGCTAAATCTACACGGTAAATACCTCTCCCCAGTCCGTAATCACTATAATACATGTAACTGTAACATACAAATAAAAAAACATTTATTCAAAAATATATCAATTTTATTTGTATAAGTTGCACACACCAAGGCTGGTACTGTATTAGCCTACTGTCACAATAATGAGGTCAAATCCATATTTCCGACTGTCACAAACGATAATGAGACCAAATCCATACTATCAAACAAGGCAGACAAATAATAGAAATTTGTAACTCAAAAACTTTTTGACCACCCAATCCCCAGAACTGTACATGAAATGTTCAAAACCTACCCATTTAGGGGATCAACTTTAACATCAGCATTAATTGACTTGAGACCACTAATAACAACAACACATACATCAGTTTTAGCATACAGGGGACAACTGTAAATCTAAAAATAAACAACAATCATTTATCATATTAAAAATTTGAATAAAAACATGTGCATATATTTTATTTACATACATGGCTTTCACTTCAAAATTTGCCATCTAGTCAATTTTTTTACTTATTTTATTTGAATTGGTTTAGCAAGATATTTTTCTTAACAAATTTTAAAATTATTAACACATTCACTCATGGAATCAAGGCCATAAATGCAAGGATTCAAATTTAACATCTGGATGTCTCAATCTTATATCCTGGGATGTATTCTTGTATTGTTTGTTTTATCTTTGTTTTGTTATACAATCTTCCTGTATTGTCTATAGGGCCTACAGTGTCAATGCCCATTTTCCTTCCTCTAATGATTGGTTAAGAGGAAAGAAGACCTGAGACTTTTTTACTGTGTGCTATGAGGGACATTTTGTCCAAACAGAAAAGCTACAACCTACTCTAATTTCGATTTCCAACTGTCAGGGGGTCTTAAACGTGCTGCCAATGGTATACACGGAATCACAGGTATTCATATCATCCAAACATCTAGACACTTTTCATTGCCCGAGGGGAAACCAGACTGGAAAATCTTCTGAAAATTTCTTGGACAACACCCGGATAAATTTTGACATTATTAAATTGTTCTGAACCAAAGGTAGTCATGACAATGATATAATTTAAGTCATATTTGAACTCTGTCTTCTTTAGCCCAGTTGGTGCAGAAAGTAAGATGTTAAACCCCATTTCATTTTATTTCATATTTGAACAATTTATTATGATGGGTCCCATCAACATATTATATGTCACTTTCAGACAAAAACCAGCGGCTGCCAGGCAGATACACCCACATTTTGCAAGAGATGGATAGAGAACAAGTTAAACAAAAAGAGATTTTTTCGTAGAATCAAGGGCAATAATTCAGAAACTTACAATCCGATATGCACGAATATCGACAAGAACCACGATCTGTAGGTAATAAACATGTATTTCAAGTTTCATCAAAATTGGATCAAAATTGTGGCCTCTAGAGGGTCCACAACCTTGATATACCATATTTTTACACTATTTGCATACGAGGGGCAGCCATTTTGTCCGGCAGTTTTGGTTCGATTTTCACGAAATTCGAATTCCTACATCATTACTGTGTAACAGTGATATATTTGAAGGTTTTATTGATAGGTATTCCCTAATTGCCCGAGGGGAAACCAGACTGGAAAATCTTCTGAAAATTTCTTGGACAACACCCGGATAAAACCTGGGACGACCTGGGCGACCTTTGGTTATAATTTTTTCATGACTAGTGGTAGGAACTAGATACCGAACGTGGATAGTTCGGACCATCGTCTGTTTAAAGATGGCTGCCCCCATGGACAAAATTCTTTGTAATTTGACTTTACTTATTGCATAGCACAAATATTGAAATAATACTCAATTTTTAGACTTACATAGATTCAGACAAAAAATATCTGCTTATAGAAGTAGCTATCATTTATAATTCTTTCAAGCTTTCCTTAAATCATATGTTAAACAAAAATAATTCTTTCTAAATATTCTACACTTACGTTTCATCGACACCCACCATCTTGGGACTACTCCGATCATATCACATTAACAAGGTTCAGTATTTTCGGATTCTGGTCCGCACTAAATGAAATTCGGATTCAGATAGTTAAACCATAGTCAGGAAATCAGATTAACCAAAGGTTGCCCAGGTTAGTGAGCCAGCTCTATACTAACCAAGCGATATTCACTACAATGGGACCGGAGACAATTTGGACCGGCGTGATCAATACTATTATTAGGGATGATCATAAGATATATGTTACAATACATACCCTATCTCTACTGATGATAAAAGCTCTATCATTCAACCAATCAACACTAATAGTAGTAGGCCTTAATATACTGGGATATATGTGTGATCTAGCATTAGATTTATCATCTCCTACAGGAACAATATGCACTTTGCCGGTAGAATCACTAACAATAATTTCTTGTCTTTTTGTATGAATACCAACTCCTGGAAATAATAATCATTGATATAATATATTTCATCTCTAAAAATCAATTCATACTAGTTTTGCTGCTACCAATGCATGGTGTTAAAAAACAGGGTTATCCCCTTATCATGTTTTATCATTTTAGTGTAACTTACTATATTTCTTCTCATAAGTATTATATATTTCATCCCTAAAAATCATTTTATCAAAAAGTTAAATATTTAATTTGGCGCACTATTGGATGGCTCTCAAAAAACAGAGTTATGCCCCTTATCACATTTCAGTACTATTACTTCTTAGAAAAATTTATTGACCATAATTCCTTTAAGACCAAATAAAACTGAACAATAATAAGTTGACAAAAAAGTTAATAAAACAATGTTGATCAATACAAAAATGTTTATGGAAGTTTCATGATATTATACAAAGCGTAACTTGTGATTTTTCCTTGTCTACTTTAGCCTATTAAATACAGCCTATACCTAAATAAGAAATATTATATAAAAGTAGACCCTAAGTAAATAAGTTAAAACAGATTTTTTAATACACTTAGCATGCCACAAAAAATAAAATATTGAAACTAAATATATTGAACATGTTATCTTATACCATACTGTAATCATAAAACACACACAAATATTTTAAAATGCATTTTCTTTTACAAATAACATTTAAAATGATAGTTATTTAGGAGATAAACACCTCCTGTTTAGAATTTAGAGTACTGTTATTGTTCATTTAATACTGTTTCAAACATTAAACGACGATATCGTGCACCAAATGAATAAATTACCTGTAAACATTAAAATCCAGTTATTTTGCAATGCATTTTCCCCCTTTCAAGTAACAGTTGAATAAGGGTGTTATTTATATAGTAAAATATTATTATATTTCAAATCACTTTCAAAATCTTAAATGAATGAACACACTCAGTAATCAGTCAATAAACATCTTAGTTACTATGTCAGTAATAAAATACATATAAACACGGATAGTATACATCAACAATTAAATTTGTATAATTAATCATCTGGGTATGTTACTTTAGATCATTTGCACAATAATGACCATTTTTGGAAATCATTTTCTCTCAAAACTGTAAACAATAACAAAAAAAGTTTATTAGCTTTTTAAAAATACCCCAAAAATACAATATACAATAAAAACAAAATGAAAGTTGTTTAATACACATAGGCTACACAAAAACATCAATAATGGAAGGGGAGACAAATTGGTGCACATTTTACCTTTAATTTCTCCTTCAGCCTCAAATATAACTTCCAATCCTTGGTTAGCATAGATAGATAGAAAGACAGAATTAGATAGAAAAACAGACAGAAGAAAGAAGAGAAAGAATCAATTAGATATACTTGAATAATTATTACATATCCAGGACACTGTGAAATAATATTAATAATAATAATTCTTGCATCATATAGTGCAACATTCGTGTACATGTGAGATCTATTCTAACACTGAATGCTTTTCTTGAAAAAGTGTGTCTTAAAAATACATTCCCACAAAAGTATTTATAGGGTAGTTATTTCTAATAAAGGTATGGCATATTTGGTATATATGGAAAGTAGATCGATAGACACCTAATCTTACTAGAAAAATATTGGATTCTTTGAAAAACACCCATGGGGTGCCGACAGCCTGTGTTCTCGAGTGACATATGGAGCACTTCTTATCTGTTGATCTTATGGCTAACAATTAAACCGGAAACATAAGTTGGCATGGGATAATCCAAGAATTTACTTAGGCTTCAATATTTATGGTATGGACAGCAACTAGCTACAAATATTAACTAAAAATGGACTATATCAAGTCACGTAACAAACAAGGTTTCTTAAATAGATTATTGCATCATGGGGTAGTTAAAATGTTTCGAAAGGGACTTGAATTAAAATTTTGACAGAAAAATAGTTTGTATATGTTTTAAGTCCAAATATATCATCAAATCACACAGTTTGTAAGCAGGAAAGCATCTTTAAGCAATGTCCTGAAGTGCTGTACAGTTTTAGCTGATTTAGCATTTTCATACGGTTATGTTGTTCCATAAAGATCCTTGCCAAAGGTTGATGTCTTTATAAAATATTTTTGTAACTTTTTCTAATCCAGTTACCTTATATAACCAAGTTACATTTACATCAGTTAAATCAATTTTAGTATTTAAGCATGAATTAAGATATTTTTCTGCAGGTTTGATTGTATTAGTTCGCTATAGATAGTTCTATGGCTTTTATAAATCAAGCAACATAGGCAAGCCAAGTGGATACACAACCATCATGTAATGTATGCAATATAGCTGTGAAAAAGTTGCATTATCAATTGAACAATAGATCAAATATCATATATTTTCTATAACATTATATTCAAAATAACCTTAGGCTAACCTTAATTATCTAAAATTCAAGCCTGATCTACTTAGATTTAGGCATTTTACCTGAGCTCTGAATACCTCAGTGACAACGACAATTGACTGTAATGTGTATGAAACATCTATAGCATAGCAATGATGGACTAGTATATATAGTCGTTGCAAATTTTACATTTTATCTGATAAGAACACCACTGTCACCACTGGTGTACATTGGTGTTGCAGTTAAATCATATCAAATCTATACAAATTTATCAACTGGCAAAGAACTCCACAGTGGCAATTCCAATGCTTCTTTAATACTGTATTATTTATATTTAAAAATGGAACTATTCTGATGTCAATGACTTATTCTCAGAAACTTTAGTCATTTAATTTTGATAGTGCTAATGCTTCTTTGATAATGTATTATTATTTATATTCAAAAAGTGAAATATTTTGTTGTCAAAAGCATATTGTTGTAAACAATACCGGTAGCCATTTGACTGTTAAAACTTTGTCTCAGATTATAGATTTCTTATCTGTTATATGTCAATGTAACAGTAAAATTCTACCTATCATATGTATTAACTAACTGGTTCTCCACTTTTGTTCCTGCTTATTAAAGCACAGATCAACATTCAAATTTCAAACCATCCACATTTCAAATTTGTCTCAACTTGTATGCCACCCGGCCCCATCCCTGCACACCTCTATTATCTAATATCAATTCATATGTATGTATAAACTGATTAGTTATCAAACTACATATCATTTGAATAATATTCAAGCCTGGAAATAAGGCATCTGTCACAGACAATGTCAGGCTTTCTCAGGTACAATCCCTCTGGTGTCCATCATTTTGTCAGGCAAAGATTTGTATTCTTTCTGCATTTTTATTTTATTGATATCTTTAACACATTTCCGTCAAAATTTTATGATGCCAGGTACTCAAATTTTGTTATGTTCAACTAAAATCAATAGTTCTAGACTTATCTTTACTCAAATAATTGATGTTCTATCTACGATCTATTTCAACAATCTGTCTATGTTATATAGTACTTTATGTATACGTAAATATATTTATTTTCCACAAGCTCCCAAAAAAATCTTGAGCTTACCTGTGACTTTAATATCTCTTGACTCTGTTGCATAAATTTTCTTGGGCAATCCAATTAAATTTTTGATGTTTTGTTTACAAACTTGATTATCAGCTCCCAGTATCAGATAAGGTGTCTCCTGTACAGTTACTACAAAATATTTTTAAAAATCACAATAAATATCACTTAATTTAAATCTTTAATTTAAAAGCATAAAAATGTTAACTTTTAAGTCGCTTTAATTATATAAAATTCACACAATTTAAATCTTTATCATTTATCATTTTCTATCCACAGTGTCATTCAACCCACCCACACACCCGGTTCCACGTGGACTCAAGTGTTGAAATTCTGCGATGGTCCCTTAATGTTGATTGAATACTCATTATTTATTTCATTATATTAAAATTCTGTTTGTAAGAACACATGTTAAACAGATCTAAATCTGCTCATGAATCATACCCATAAATCATACTTTTTATACAACATGAATTTATTTAATATCAAATTTTCTATATCCGATATACATATATATAGTTAAACAAAATTCCCAGATTTAAAAATTCTGTCCTTGGGGATTATACTATATAAATATATGTAAAACAGTCAAGCTCATAAATAATTTTTTTTGCTATGTGCATACATTATAAGCAATTGATGTCATATAATACATTGCATGCAGATATGAGTACATTCCGAGAAATAGCCATTGGGGTTATACTGACATGCAAGATTTCAATGGTATGATTATTAATGTATTAATAGTTCTAACAAGATAAACAGGTTTAGAAAAAAAAAAACAAAAAAAAACTGAACAGTTTCTATTAGTAAAACTTACGTTTCATTCTTTTTAAAGATTTCAAACATTTTTCATACTGATTGTGAACAATATAAATAATGAAGACATTTCTAAATTTTGATTTGGTCTTGAATAGGCTTCACAAAGTTCACTTAAAGCCAGATTGTGCCAGAATTTGCTATATGTAAGATTATTGTTTGTTGTATCTATGGTCTGCAAGTATATATTTTAGTTACAGTCTGGAATATTGTGTCTTTATTGTATTGTCATGCACCACATCAGAATACCATGGTGGGAGTTACCAACTGAAGTACTATAACAAGTGATCTAAACCATGTATATAAATCATACATTAAGGTTTCCAACCTACTCATATGTATTGGTCAGGACCGTTTGTCTTGAAAAATTATCAAAAGTGCTTGGGACCGATCAGTCAATTCACACTCTAAAACTAGCATATTTTTCCAAAGCCTACTTTCAAACATAGTTATGACCAACCTCATAACTATAAAAATCAACAAATGGTACAGATTGTGCCACATACAGAAGCCATGTCCGGGGCCTTATTCCTAAAAACTTAAACTAAAACATTTGAACTATGCAGCCTTTTAATTGGTTGCGGGTTAATATCCTAGCACAAGTTGTAACTCTTAGCCAATCATAAGACTGAACTCTTAAAATATTTTTAAAAGTTTTCATCAATAAAGGCTCCAGCTCATGATTGGTGTTTAGAATAGTGTACAGTCGTCAACAGAGGACTACATTATGTGTTTTGTTAATAATTCATGATTAAACAGTCCTGATAGTAGAACAATACAAATTATTCTATATATGAGAATCTTATTAAATGACAAGAACATGTCCATTACCTTCTATTTTAGCATCTGTCAAAAGAAATTTCTAAAACAAAGTCACTACAGTTGTATTACAGTCACACACATTGTAATAGAGGCTAATTTAATCTTCAGAAATAAAGGCAGTCGGGTACAAAAAAACTGCTTATTGACCACAACAGACTATCAAATAATTGCACAGAAATTATGTAAATTCTCAACAACTGTGCTGAGAAAGATACAGAAGTAAATTATGATCTTTCAGAATTTAAAAAAAAAACACTTGCATACCAAGAAATTAAGAAAATCAGTAATTCACTGCTATTCATTACCAATATTGATAAACATCTGTATGTCATACATTTCTTGTTCAGCGGGTGAGTGTAAGTCTATTTATAGTGTAGGCGATTTGCAATGAATGAAATGGGGTTTAACGTCCTACGCTTCTGCACCTAACCTGGGCTAATTGAAGACGGGCATACGCCATACAGTGTGCTATGAGTGAAATTTTGCCCGGACAGCGGCGCTACGGCCTACTCTTATATCGAATTCCAACTGCCAAGGGATCTTTTACGTGCACGCCAATGTGTACACGGGACCTCGGTTTTTTGGCCCATCCGAACGACTAGGCAGCTGTCCTTGTCAGGCCCTCCGTTCTGCATCACTGACAAGGGGGAAACCACGCCGGAAAATCGAGATGAACTTTCTCGGCCAATGCAGGGATCGAACACCCGACCTCCAGACTAGCGAGCCAGCGCCTTACCCACTTAGCCATGTGATCCCCCTGCGATTTGCAAAGAAAATATGTAACCCAAGATCATTTCAGGCAGAAGGCAACAAACTCTACATGAAAATTTGTCAAATTGGGCAAAACTTTCCAATTCCACGTGTTTAGTCATAAGGTAATACTAATCAGTATTAGATAGGCTTAAAACGGTAAACTGCTAAAGTAAAGTCTATAGGCTAATCAAATCAAATATAAGCTATTATGAAATCAGAAATATTTTTGATAACATTTTTATTGCCAACTGCATTCCTAAAGAATCTGAAATTACAATAGGACTCAATTAGACAACTTTTGAAAATGATTCTTGCAGTAGTTCGGAAATAATATGTACCCTCATGCAATAAAAATGATACCAACACATCGATCTATTTGCAGCACTTATTTCTGAAATTATTAACCAGTTCTGTCAAATTACTGTCCAGTGACTCCAGTCAGTAATTTCACTTAAAATCAAAAATGTTAAAGAAGCCTGTTCTTCTTCAGTGAAATGATCACAAGCTGATAATCTGTAAGAATCCACCCACAAACAGTACAGAAACTACTCAACATTCATCAAAGAATTAATAAAAAGAAACTCTTCTTCATCTGTCTTTAAGGCGTTTAACGACCTAGCTCTGGCTTATATAAAACCTCTTGGCTACCAGCAAAAATCTCTTCTCTCAGAAAAAACAACTTCTAAAAATTCAACTGTGAGCATACCAATTCGAAAACATGTCTTTTCCTATGCCAGACCTATTCTCTGGTATAACCTATTATAGACAATAAAACGGCTAACAACAATGGGCTGTTTTAAATATCGACAAAAAATAATCTGTTTCAAAATCTTGACAAAATAATCAGTCAAAATGACAACCAACTTTAATATCATTGACCTTTGTAGCAACCATTTTTGCAATAACAATCATTTTTGCAATAACAATCATTTTTGCAATAACAATCATTTTTGCAATAAAATTTAATTATTGCAAAAATGGTTGTTATTGCAAGTGGAAAATCAAGGGAACCATTTTTGTAATAAAAAACATTTTTACAATAATTTCTTCTTTTGTCATTTTCATCATCACTATGATCATTTGTTTACCCTGAGGATTGTCAGAAACATTACTGACATATTGATCATGCATCTTATCATCAGCAACACCATTTCCATACCCATTTTTTTTTTAAGAAAGTGACAACAGTTTTTCATTACTGAAATTTTATTTAAAAAAAATGGTTGATATTGTAAAAGTAGAACGTTGAGGGAACCATTTTTGCAATAAAATTTTGTCTCATGATCTTAAACACTGTATTAAAAATATAAAATCAATGGGATATTAACTTTAGCCTCTAAAGCATCCACAAGATTTTTCAAAGTGATCAAGGGCCATAACTATAGCAGTAATAATCAGAAATCATTAAAAATCAATTGGATTCTTCATCTCATGACCTTAAACACTCTTGAAATTGTTAAAAATCAATAGGCTTCTTTGATTCTCGACCTTAAACACTGTGTCAATCGGATATGACATGTAACTTTAGCCTCTAAAGTGTCCACAAGATTTTTCAAAGTCATCAAGGGCCATAACTCTGGCAGTAATGGGAAATCGTTTATGACCTTAAACACTGTGTATAAAATTAAATTCAAACAGATATTAATTTTAGACTCTAGAACTTCTACAAGATTTTTCAAAGAGGTCAAGGCCATAATTCTGGTAGTAATTATCGGGAATAGTTGAAAAACAACAGGCTTCTTTATCTGATGACCTTAAATACTGTGTATAAATTTAAAGTCAGTCGGATATTAATTTTAGCGTCTAAAGTGTCCACAACATATTTCAAAGTGATCAAGGGCCATAACTCTGGCAATAATTATCGGAATTCGTTGACAATCAATAGGATTCTTCGTCTCATGACCTTAAACACTGTGTATAAATTTAATGTCAATCGGATATTAACATTAGACTCTAGAGCTTCTACAAGATTTTTCAAAAAGGTCCAGGGCCTTAACTCTGGCAGTAATTATTGGAAATAGTGGAAAATCAATAGGCTTCTTCGTCTCATGACCTAAAACACTGTGTATAAATTTAAAGTCAATTGGATATTAACTTTAACATCTGAAGCTTCCACAAGATATTTCAAAGTGATCAAGGGCCATAACTCTGGCAGTAATTATCGGAAATCATTGAAAAGTCAATCGAATATTAACTTTAGCATCTAGAGCGTTTCACAAGATATTTCAAAGGGGCAGTAATTATTGGAAATTGTTGAAAATCAATAAACTTCTTCGTCTCATGACCTTTAACACTGTGTATAAATTTAAAGTCAGTTGGATGTTAACTTTAGCCTCTAGTCAATCGGATATTAACTTTAGCCTCTAGAGCGTCCACAATGTGGGCGTATAAAAATGCGTATGGAAAAGATGTCGCTGCTGATAATATGCATGATGAATATATCAATAACAGCTTTATAAATGACAATAATATTATTATTAAATTATAATCATTCGACTGGGTCATGATTTTGCTTTGTTACAGACCCAATAGCTAATTTTATTACTACATCAAGAGTACAAAATTGTGTTTGTAGCTATCTCTCAAGTCTCAACATTGCTGGAGATTTCACTTTCAAATCATTCCAAACAAAAAGAGAGAAAGAGAGAGAGAGAAACAGGGTTTAACATCCACTTAAACATGGTTAAATTTTTTTTCAATATTTAGCTTATGTGTATGGGTCTTTAGCAGTGGGAGGA